TGACAATAACAAACAAGGCTTTCAAAGAGGGACCTTAAAATTCAAGGCCTTTTCAAGAGATCAACAGGGATGCACCCTTGAGCTGGTTCCAGGGCAATACTCAACAATGCAATCATCGAACATCGCCCACTAACCACCCATAACAAATAAAAACATACAGAAGCAGTAAAGGTTGCAACTGTATATTCTCTTTTAGTAATGCTGATAAACAAACAAACAAACAAATACAGTTCAAATTGAATTACTTCATTAAGTCTCTAATGCCTTAGTGTTTTTGATTATACAGTTTATTCAAACTCTGCAAATATAATAAAAGTAAAAGGTGATCTTCTTTTCATATTTTACCTCAGTTCAATCCAATATGTGGAAATACAAATTCACAATGAGATGGTGAAAACCATTCTGTGGGAAAATTTAGCCCCTACTCAAAAAGACATTGCTATTAAACTATCCACAAATTGTCTCTATATATGAACCAAAAATGTTGCAGTGCAAGGAGAGACAGAAACCAGTCTCTCTATTAATGGCTGTATTGCAGTTTGAACTCTTAAGAGGTGTCAGACAAGTGATGACAGTGGCTATCAATGTCTTTTGTAATCTAATAGGGAACAGGACTAATTGAAATATAATTTTGATTATTTCTTTTGATTTCATATTAATAATTTAACAACTATGTGTAGCAACAACAAAAACACACTATGAAAGAATACTGTACAGTTGCCTTGTAAAGTTTGGTAATACAGCTGAGTCTTATAAGGTCATCACTGTTATGTGCGTCTCCACTATCGCAAAGCCATCATCATGTGTGATGATAATCCTTTTATTAACAGGAAAAACAACTGAATTTTCTGATCAAATAATCAACATTTCTTTTGAAGCAAGGATAAAACATGCTAAGACTTAAAAAAATAAAAGAATTGGTTCTCAGGCAATGGCCTTTGAAAATATAGTGTGAGCAGGTGGTGTTTTTTTATTGAGGGTGTGTGTGTGTGTGTTCAAACTAGTATGGAACCAAATGAACAGTTGTGAAACCAAATAAACAGTTGTCTACAATCAACCCGGGAATGGGCCTCCCTATATAAATGTATTCCTTGATGTGTAAAATACTGGAATTCAGTATATGTCTACTGTTAGACTTGGAATATTTAAGTATTTTTAAAAAAAAATTAAATGGAAATAAAAATGAAACATGCAGCAAACTTTATGATCATGCGGGCGGTGCCTGAGAACCAAGACTATTATTTTTTTTAGCTTCATGAGTAAGATTTAATTAAAATACAGAAAGTAAAACAAGTTATTTATGGTTCATCCTCAATGTTTACCACTACAATTGTGTCACAAAATGGATGACAGGTTATATCTTGTAAACATGATAAAAATATCTTTGCATTATGCCATCCCTAATTTCATTCTACAGTTCATCAATTCACAATAAGTTGAACATATGAGAAGAATTGTAATATTGGCACATAAACTGGTGGTTTAGCATTGTCTAATGTGGCTTGACAAAGACAATTAAGGTTACAATTAAGATATCTTTGAACTTGAAAACTAGTAAAAGTATTACATATATTAATCGTATAACACTCTCTCACTATATAAATACATATATTTATCTACCAGACTTATAATGCAAGGTGGGTTCAATGTCAATCTGTATATTACTTCAGTTGTATCACAGTGTGGTAGTCACATCAGTGTTATCACGGTGTGGTAGTCATGTCAGTGTTATCACAGTGTGGTAGTCACATCAGTGTTATCACAGTGTGATAGTCACGTCAGTGTTATCACGGTGTGGTAGTCACATCAGTGTTATCACGGTGTGGTAGTCATGTCAGTGTTATCACAGTGTGGTAGTCACATCAGTGTTATCACAGTGTGATAGTCACGTCAGTGTTATCACGGTGTGGTAGTCACATCAGTGTTATCACGGTGTGGTAGTCACGTCAGTGTTATCACAGTGTGGTAATCACATCAGTGTTATCACGGTGTGGTAGTCATGTCAGTGTTATCACAGTGTGGTAGTCACATCAGTGTTATCACGGTGTGGTAGTCACATCAGTGTTATCACAGTGTGGTAGCCACATCAGTGTTATCACAGTGTGGTTGTCACATCAGTGTTATCACAGTGTGGTAGTCACATCCGTGTTTTCACAGTGTGGTAGTCACGTCAGTGTTATCACAGTGTGGTAGTCACGTCAGTGTTATCACAGTGTGGTAGTCACATCAGTGTTATCACAGTGTGGTAGTCACATCCGTGTTTTCACAGTGTGGTAGTCACGTCAGTGTTATCACAGTGTGGTAGTCACATCAGTGTTATCACAGCGTGGTAGTCACGTCAGTGTTATCACGGTGTGGTAGTCACATCAGTGTTATCACGGTGTGGTAGTCATGTCAGTGTTATCACAGTGTGGTAGTCACATCAGTGTTATCACAGTGTGATAGTCACGTCAGTGTTATCACGGTGTGGTAGTCACATCAGTGTTATCACGGTGTGGTAGTCACGTCAGTGTTATCACAGTGTGGTAATCACATCAGTGTTATCACGGTGTGGTAGTCATGTCAGTGTTATCACAGTGTGGTAGTCACATCAGTGTTATCACAGTGTGGTAGCCACATCAGTGTTATCACAGTGTGGTTGTCACATCAGTGTTATCACAGTGTGGTAGTCACATCCGTGTTTTCACAGTGTGGTAGTCACGTCAGTGTTATCACAGTGTGGTAGTCACGTCAGTGTTATCACAGTGTGGTAGTCACATCCGTGTTATCACAGTGTGGTAGTCACATCCGTGTTTTCACAGTGTGGTAGTCACGTCAGTGTTATCACAGTGTGGTAGTCACGTCAGTGTTATCACAGTGTGGTAGTCACGTCGGTGTTATCACAGTGTGGTAGTCACATCAGTGTTATCACAGTGTGGTAGTCACATCCGTGTTTTCAGTGTGATAGTCACGTCAGTGTTATCACAGTGTGGTAGTCACGTCAGTGTTATCACAGTGTGGTAGTCACGTCAGTGTTATCACAGTGTGGTAGTCACATCAGTGTTATCACAGTGTGGTAGTCACGTCAGTGTTACCACAGTGTGGTAGTCACATCAGTGTTATCACAGTGTGGTAGTCACATCGGTGTTATTACAGTGTGGTAGTCACATCGGTGTTATCACAGTGTGGTAGTCACATCGGTGTTATCACAGTGTGGTAGTCACATCGGTGTTATCATAGTGTGGTAGTCACATCGGTGTTATCACAGTGTGGTAGTCACATCGGTGTTATCACAGTGTGGTAGTCACATCAGTGTTATCACAGTGTGGTAGTCACGTCCGTGTTTTCAGTGTGGTAGTCACGTCAGTGTTATCACAGTGTGGTAGTCACATCAGTGTTTTCACAGTGTGGTAGTCACATCAGTGTTATCACAGTGTGGTAGTCACATCGGTGTTATCACAGTGTGGTAGTCACATCGGTGTTATCACAGTGTGGTAGTCACATCGGTGTTATCACAGTGTGGTAGTCACATCGGTGTTATCACAGTGTGGTAGTCACATCGGTGTTATCACAGTGTGGTAGTCACATCGGTGTTATCACAGGGTGGTAGTCACATCAGTGTTATCACAGTGTGGTAGTCACGTCAGTGTTATCACAGTGTGGTAGTCACATCGGTGTTATCACAGTGTGGTAGTCACATCGGTGTTATCACAGTGTGGTAGTCACGTCAGTGTTATCACAGTGTGGTAGTCATGTCAGTGTTATCACAGTGTGGTAGTCACATCGTTGTTATCACGGTGTGGTAGTCACATCAGTGTTATCACAGTGTGGTAGTCATGTCAGTGTTATCACAGTGTGGTAGTCACATCGGTGTTATCACAGTGTGGCAGTCACATCAGGGTTATCACAGTGTGGTAGTCACATCGGTGTTATCACAGTGTGGTAGTCACATCGGTGTTATCACAGTGTGGCAGTCACATCAGTGTTATCACAGTGTGGTAGTCACGTCAGTGTTATCACAGTGTGGTAGTCACATCGGTGTTATCACGGTGTGGCAGTCACATCAGTGTTATCACAGTGTGGTAGTCCCGTCAGTGTTATCACAGTGTGGTAGTCACATCCGTGTTTTCACAGTGTGGTAGTCACATCAGTGTTATCACAGTGTGGTAGTCACATCAGTGTTTTCACAGTTTTATGTAGAAAGCCAAAATCGATTCAAATTAAGTAGTCATACTCAAGAGACCTAGGACTCTGGCAGATTGGCAGTTCCCACAAGTTTGATCCAAGGCCTTCAAACAACCATTGTTTGTGTGCTTCTACGATGTTGTATTATGAACGTCAATCTAGTAGTGAATGATTCTCCAAGTTACACCTATTTACACCTACATTTCACATGTGCACTAACTACAAAGTGTTGCCTTGAGCTAGACGTGAGGCCCTGGAGCATAGCCCACATTAAATGCAGCCAATCATTATACAATCTCATTAAAATCATATCTATGTTCTCGCTGCCGCTAAACAAAGATCTGAGGACATCCCATTACAGGTCACGTCAGGACGACCTTTCGAGAACTTTGACCGATGACTGAAATGACATCAGCCAAGTTGACATCAGCCAATTAGAAAGCAGCTTTCTCAAGCTTTACGGCACTTGTTTTAACCTTGCGAATTCCATTTCTGTCTACGCTTGAAAATATTTTGACACAGTTCTCGATTAATATTTTGAAACAAACAAAATATGAACAAACATTCCTGAATGTCTAATATATGGTTGAGAGAGTGGCAGTGCTTCCTACGAAATGTGCAATGTGTCCTCCGTTGAAATGTTTATCCCACGGAACCGAGAGATAGATGATAATTTTGACGGAATCAGTCGTACGGGCCGTAACTGTCGTTCGGAATACCCTGTGTTAACGTTTTCGAGGTTGCATGGTTAGTAAATACATTCCGACTGTCACTTTCATGATCATGGTAAGCGACGCTTTGATTGGTCGGATGAAAGGTCGTTCTGACGTGACCCGTAATGGGATGTCCTCAGATCTTTGTGTAGCGATAGCGAGAACTAAGATCTGCTTTTAATGAGATTGATCATAATATCACCCCGCCGCATCAACCAAAGGATGTTAAAAGATGATACCCTGCCTGGTGCTCAGCATTAAAGTGATATAACACAAGGATTGGTCTGTCGTCAATCCGTCATGGCATGGCATTAACAATGGTAATATGGAGGAATTGTGTGATCCTTCAGTCATAGTGCTGAGGTCGTTTTGTACAACAGCACACTGGTGATGACAATAGTCTACAACAGTTAAGTAAAAATACATATAAAGCATTCCAAAACTACAATTCTGGAACAATGTAAAAAATCTTTTAGACTACTATTAAAAAAGGCATAGAGAAACTGTACAAATAAACAAGTACCCTGTCCTGGACTACGAGACAGAGATTAAATTTGGCTGGGTTTGCAATGTGTCCATTGGTGTTAGTTGATGGCTTCATCCAATTGAAAAAAAACAAAATATCATAATCAGGGCCAACCTTTCGAAGTCAAGCATGGTGAGGACGTGTGTCGTGTGTATGTGGAATGGTGAACATGCTTCCAGAGTACTGGAATATATATCTTTTTGGCTAAAAATGAAAAAATAATATCTGCAAATAATCTCATGCATGTGTGATTGTCTTGCATGTGTCATGTCTGAGATCTGAGATTATTTAAAGCTTATATTCTGTAGCCTTTGGCAACAATAAATCCATAGTCAAAATGTAAAAACAAAGAATTCAATAGCTGAATTTCATCTTTAGCCATGTTGTTTTGTTAAATAGTTTTTACTTATTGCCTTTTCATATGACAGAAGATCCATTAAACAAGAAATTATGGCCTAAACAGAATCAGCAACACCTACAAACTGGGTGATGTCTAACACCTTGTCAACAGTTCCCTTCATTAGATAACAATGGTGAAGATGTGTGACCAGGGTTGTGGAGGAGACTGGTCTTGAGACCAATAGTGGTATCGGTTGCTTCTGACAGTAGCAATTCAGTACCATCAGTGATTTGAGATAAGAAATTCTCAAGTGACAACCGCAGTGATTGTTGGTTTCATGAGATATTTCTAATTTCTTTGTTATAATACAGTTATAGGTGTCACTTCTAGGCAAACATACTGTACTGACAAGTATTGAGCTTAGATCAGAAAATGCTGACATTCAGCTGCTTAGATAGACATGGTCAACTGAATAACAAATAGTGTTGACCTAGTGTTGACCTTGTGTTTGAGAACCAAGAATTCTAAAGCCTTACTCAAACCAATGTGGCAAAAATTTAGTCCAACAACAGAACAAATTTGCTGCAGCATAACACAAATATATCTTCAGTGTTGTCCCAACCATATTCAACAATATACAAAAATTTAGGCATGTGATCAAACTAACAGAAAAAGAGGACAACCACAAGGCTGTAAACACAGTAAATAACACAATGACACATACAGACATTGCTCATGGGAAAACAACAATTTCAACATGGCCTGATAAAGTACAAATTCTGACATACATAATTATCCCTTCAACTACCTTTTTATATGATAAATCAATCCTGTAATGTTGTACTAATTTTGAAACACTGATGTAGATTCTGAGATCTAATTGTAATTACAGCAAGACAAATTTCATCTGTGATGAATCAATTAGGTCCAGTAGTTTCAGAGATAAAATGGAATACGTAGCTGACATCTGACAATTGATGGCACAGGTGAGATATCAGCCATCTAAGTTGCGACCATTGGGTCCAATTTAGTGACCAATTTATCTACTGCTCGCCACTCGGCTACCTAAAAGTCAACATAACTGGTGACAATATCTGTTTGAAATATCTGTTGGTTCCTAAAAACTTAGGTTTGGCTCCTAAAATATTCATGTTTGGAGCCGCTTGGCTCCCTAACAAAAAAACAAGGGCTGGATATATAGATATAATATAAACATGACATCGTTAATCTCCTTCTAAAGTAACCTGCTGCCTTTGTTTGATTCAGTCGTCCACAGCAAAGGGGAGTTCATCTATGTCAGTTCCCCCAGCAGTTCAGTCTTGGCATCATTCAGTTCGTCCAGCTTTCTCTCAAGTGATGTCTTCTTCTTAATGTCCTGAAAACAAGATTTAGAAGCTTTGATTACAGAAGGCATTCAACACATCAACATGAAAAGTAGTAATGAAAATAAAAGAAACAAAACAAGGACTGGTGAGTTTAGAGTCGATTTCCAGAGAGTGAGGTAACCATGTTAAACTGCAGCATGGTATCCCAGTGGGCAAGCACTGTAAATCTGGCATTAGACCAGACTAGTGCAAGCAGACCAACACACACAATCATGCATGTAAATGCAACATAACCTTGAACACAACTTTAAAAACCATTTCTCCCCACCTCCACCTCTAACACACATCGAGCATGTCCCTCAGTGATGTGGATTTTGCCCTATATAAATAGCCTGATTGTTATTATTATTATTATTATTATTGAGTTGAGTAGGTAAGGCAACACTTTTTTTATATGTCAATGGATTAGGGGTAGGGTAACAAGACATGTTAACATATAGCTCACTCTCTATTTCATGTATTTCATACTTACAGCTTTGGAGCGTTTTTTCTTTTGTCCCAGTGCTTCCAGCTGCTCTGTACACTGTGTTATCTCAGCCTCTATGTCCTGTAGTTTCAGGGTGTAGATATCATGGCCACGCTGGACAGATGGTCTTGGGAACAGCTCTCTGCTTTCAACAACAGACTCTTCCCCATTGGATGGGTTGTCAATAGTGATGTCGTAGGCCTTTGGTCCAGACCAACTGAAACCAAGAACAAAGTAGACCCTCTTCTGCCACATACTCCTTTTCATTGTTGGCAGCGATGTCGGGATTGTGATGTGGAACTTGTTTCCACCGGGAAGCTGGAGTTGAACCTGAACGTCCTGACCACCCACGAGCAGAGTGCCTTCAAGGCGCTGGAATCTTCGTTTTGCTTTCTCAGACTGCCAGTATTGATTGTCACGCATTCTTGCTCCTTTACTCAACAGTTCCTTTTGGTACACAACCTCTGTCAAGCCAACGCCTTTGCCTAGAAAGAAAAGTGTGGTATCCTTCCTCCTGGAGAACTGTTCCAAATCGCGATGTTTGGGATAATTTGTAAAAAATGCCTCCCTCCATCGGACCAAAGCTTCCTGTATTTTCACTTCAGAACACATGTTGAATCCCTTCATCCTTCTGCTGTCAGTTGGGAGGTGAAAGAGGACCAGATACAGGTAAGTCTCCAAATATGGTCGGCATTCTGGCTGCTTAGCATTGTACAACTTATTGCTCCATTCTAAAATCTTTGAATATGGAATGGATGCTGTCTTTGAAGATCCAGCAACATGAAGGGCAATAATTGTGTTCAGTATCGTGACTAAATCAAAACCTGTGCAGCTTTCAGATTTGACGTTTTCTTTCATCAGATCATAAACTGCAATCAGACTGTCTTCCCAATCTTCTTCATATTTCAAAGCAAGAGCTCCTTGTAAGGAAGTCACACCCATTCTCCGGGCACGTCGTCTTCTATATTCACAAGCATCTTCACTACTGAGAGATTCTGGTACTTCATCCGAGTCTTCTCCAAAGAAGGTATTTACATTTTCTTTAAGGATAATCAGTGTTTTTCTGTCAAGCGACCAATCTGGCCTGAATTCTTCCCTTGAGTCACCTTTCAACTGTACCATCTCATCCTCCAGCTTCCGAATGGCTCTAAAAGCTGATTCACCCAGTGACTTCATCATTCCTTCTTCATCCCTGTCCAGAAATGAGAAGGAGTGGGGCTTGTAGCATCGATCAACAAGAAACTTGTGAAGGTCTTCCCCTCCAGTGAAGCTCTCAAAGTGACAAAAGGTATTCAATAACCAGAAGATAACCCTCAGTTCCCCGAGGTAGCCACCATGATTCGTCATCAAACTTTTCTCAGTTTCACTCAGGCTTTGCTCTTTTCTGAATATGTCGATAGCCTTTTGTGCAATTTGAAGAATCTCACCAGCATCTTCGTTTCTGATTTTCATTCCTTTCTTGGCCCTTTCGTAGTGGTCCAATAATTGTTGTTTGTACACCTGTCCATAGGTATCCCAGAGGAATGAGTTCTTGGGACGACTCTTTGTTGCAATTCTGGCATACTTCTCGGCTTCAGACCAGTTGCTTGTGTGGATATAGAATCTTGCTATCTGTTGAGCAATCATTGGATCTTCAGTTTTCTTGAAAACTTCAACACAGATGTCAGCAGCTTTATCAGCTCCTTCAGTTTTATTGATATGCAAAATAAGTTGTGAAAACTTGGCAAGTCTTCCACCTTTCTGCATGACCCTTTTCTTAACAAGATTTTTGATAATATTCAATAGTTTGTAGGTGCTGCTGTTCTCACAATCAAATATTGATGAGGAAAGAAACTCAAGCATGATCTCACTGGTCTGAAGGTTATTTTCCCTCATGATGTAGTCAAGGATTTCCCTAGCTAGGAGAGCACTGGTGATCCTGATAGTCTTTATGTGTGTTCCATGGGCACCTCTTTGCGATGATTCATTCACCAAGACACGTAATGAGGTGCTCATAGTCGTCTCCCATCCCTTCCCCCTCAATCCACTTTTCTCTAATATTCCAAACTGCATTATCCTCTTGTGCTTTGTCTGCATTCCAATGATTGGGTCAAATGCAGAAATTGGAATTGTTTGGAAGTCACCATCATATGTGTTGATCAAAGAAAGGTATCTGAGAAGTGTTGACTCTTTAGTGTCATCAATTTCTCTCATGAATTCTGTGACAGTTCTCTTGATGTAGTCAGGGTCAAAGTTAGTCTTAAGGATGTTGAAGGAAATCAGAAGTTTGGGATCAACTTTTTTATCCTCATTAAATTTTTTTTCCAGGTTGTCATATTTCTTCTGAAACCATTCAAGCTCCCATTTCTGAAGTTCATGCTTCAGAAGAACCTTTTGTCCTTCGTGAGACCTTGTCAGGTTCACACCTCTCCTGCACCAAAGGACAACACAGAATACCTTGAAGTATTCCTCGTATCTTGAGGCCACCTTGGCCTTTTCCTCCAGTTCCAGTAGTAACTGATGAACCTTATCCTCCTCTTCATTGTCAATGAGAATCAGAGGTGGTTTCCTTGTTGTTGGCTCATCATAAATTCTCAATTTTGCTATCTGTGCTGATGTTTCATCAGAAATCTTCCTGACTACACAACATCTATACTTTTCCTTCAGATCCCAGAGAATTTGTTTTGATGAAGTTGTCCCTCCTGCACCTGGCTGATGCATCAGCGTTACCAAATTAACCCGCAAGTCTTCATCACGGTTGGGGTTTTCAAGAGCATTTTCGACTTCTCTCATGAGCTCTTTGTGTTGATGTCTCCGTAAGACATGATTATCTCTGAACCAGAAATTCATCCATTGGACTTGTCCTCCTCTAAAAAACTTCACTTCAAGACTCCTTCGTATTGTTTCTCTGGACTGTTTGTCTTCCAGTTCCTCATCTCCTTCACATTCTCTGCTGCTGAGTATTTCCAGATCATTCATCTCTATTATGTTCCTTTCCTTCAGAACACAAAATGCTCCAGAAGATGTTGGCAGCTCACATGTTCCTGTCTGTTTGGGGTTGATAATGTGTGTGAATGTTGTATTGACATGTCTCCATGGCATCCCAAGAACGCATCTGTTCTCAAGAGATTTCTTTGACACAACATGACGCCTAGTCAGTTCATCCTGCCACAAGTTGGCTATTTCCTCTGTTTCTGCAATAACCATCCATTGATCCTTAAACTTAAGAATGACTTCATCGGCTGCTTCCAACAGAACTTCATAGTTCTTGGAGAAAAGAAGGATCAATAGCATACCCCTTCCAAGTGGAATGCTTGAATGAAAGAACCTCAGAGCTTCCTTGAAACCTTCAAATCTCTTATGTTTCCAATCATATGGTTGCATTTCTTCTTTAGCCAGTCGACTGTAGCCATTGCAAAAAATCCAAGATTTTTCTGTTGACAACTTAAGAGATTCTAGAACTTTATCTGAGTATTCCTCTGCATTTTTGTCAAAGTTATCAGTTGTATGGACTTCGTAAACTTGCTCCTTTTCATTAGCTGAATAGATCCCTTTGGAATCACTGCTTGGATCAAAGTCAAAGACAGCCTTGGTATCAAAATACTGGATGAAGGACAGGTTTTCTTCAATATAGCCATGATCCATGGATGTGTCTAGTGGACTTATTAGTAAAACAGGATACATTTCATCTTCTATTGTTTCACTGCCACCTGTAAACAGATTGAGAATCTTCTTCCTCAAATCTGGTGGCACATAGGAAGGTGATGATTGGATCTCCTGTTGAAGTCTCAATTCTGTCAGGCTCTTCTTCTTCTCCATGAAATCATAAATGTCTTTTTCAGAAAGTGAATTTATGGTTCCATCAATTAATCTGTACAAGTGTTGCTTCTTGGCCTTGTGTGCACCTACCACCTTGCCCCGAATAAAGAAAGCTTCCTCCATCACAACCTTTCCACTGGGAACAACATCGACCTCCAACACCCAGAGTGGTCTGTCTGGTGTCTCAGGATCAGCAACTTCAATAAACTTTCCGGACCGAACTGCCTGAAATGCGATGTCCTGCTGATCTTCATAAAATGCCTCTCCAATCAGTTGCCTGATGGTGTCTTCACACTTCTCTCTGTCAAGATGAATTCCAACAACTTGTCCCTGGCAAAGATCAGAAGGCAATGGATTGATGCCGACATAGAACGTTCCATTAGTTCGGTCATTCATGCAAGCAGATGCAAACATCACCGTCTCCTTGGCAATCTTCCTGTACATATTTTTCTCGCCTTTCTCAAGTTGCAGAAACTTCTTTACAGGGTTGATCATGTTCTCTCGTGAGTAGCCTGATATTTCTATCATCCTTCCCCTTGTGTATCTATCTGTTGGGGATACAGGGGAATCAAACCTCCTGAAGTGCTCTTTGTAAGGAGCTGCAGCAATTGATCTTGCTGATGTATCGCTCTCTCTAGCTGGTGTGGTTTGTACAGATGGAGATGCAGTTGGCTCACCCTGTTTGTCCTCCTTTCTCATGACTCTCTGCACTGACATGCTACTGTCACCAGGCGGTGCAATCTGTGGATTTTGTTCCAATACGGCCTTTATCTCAAACATCAATTTGCGTCTCTTTCCAAATGATAATTCTTTGGTGGAGAATTCCCGTCTGAAATCCTCTTCTTTCATTGTTAGAAATACAAACCCATCAATGTCTAGTTCGCGAAATTTTGCTATGAAATTTTCTCCAAGTTCCAGTTTCTGAAACATGGGTGTTAAACATGCAACAAGATCCTCTACTGTCATTGTCTTCATGTCTTTGTGCTGACTGACAGGTTCTGAAATGACGAAGAAGTGTGATTGCTTAAAGTTTTAGAAAAACAAATATATACTCACTTCCAAACGAAACACAAATCCAAAAGTATGAAATGTCCTAAAACAAAAATGTATAATATTACCTTTTCTAACCATCAGTCCATATGGGAGAATATAAATGAAGAAACCAGATAACAAAAGAAAACACCTTCCAGCACCTTAAGACTAATGAAGCTTGCGCTGCTGGAACATTATTCAATCTGTAATGGACTTACCATTACTGATATCAGGATCAGGTCCTCCAGCATCCCCAGCTCCACCAGCTACTGCAGCAGTGGGACCAGCACCAGCACCAGCACCAGCATCAGCATCAGCACCAGCACCAGGTGCTGTAGTAGGCACCTCCAGTGGAGAAGGTACTACAGGAACAATTCCTGTTTCATCTTTTGCTCCAAGATTTAGAAACTTGGGACTGCCTTTGTCAAGGACATAAATGGATCAACAGCAAATAGACCAATGAGCAATAAAGCTCCCTTGATAACCTTATTTTTCTAAAACAAGGAAAACTAGAAAGGTGTTTGCATTCCATACAAAAACAGAAGCTTCCCATTGCACAGCTTTCCTGAATGCTCTAAACCCTTCCCAACAGAAACACATATTTTTGACTTTACCAAATCATGTGACAGACAGACAGACCAATATCTACCTATATTTATCTATGACCCCTAATGTAATGCAGTCCTTAGCCTCAAGAGCACCATCATGGTCACTTGTGGTAGAGCATCTCCCCAGAGAGCGAAACGGCGGGGGTTTGATTCCTGGGCGAATCACACCAAAGATGCCTGGCACTCAGCATAAAGGGGCTAAAACAAGGACTGTTGTGCCTGAGTGGGGTATTCATGTTAAACTATGGCATGGTATCTCAGTGGGCCAGGACCATAAAATTGTCTGGACCAGTATAAGCAGCCACACACACATGTACATGTATGTGCGTGCATGTCACTGTATAAGTGTAATAAATTTGAACGTGACGTCAAACCCCCACTTCACCTCACCTTAGACTGAAGTTACCCTAACCATAAGTGATAAGCACTTCTGGCACAACAGAAATACTGAAATATAAAGTTCCATGCCCATAAATACCTGAATAACAAAGTTTTAAACACTTCTAGCTTAAACATATGACTTCCTGTTTCGGGAAAACTATTTTGAAACATGTGCTCAAAGCAGTACAACTTTGAAAAAGAAACTACCCCAGTTAAAATGTTTCAAGCATATCCTGTCTAATGACCTTGACCTTCAATCTCAGCCACAACCAGCCAAAAAGTTTAATATCTAAAGCAAATCTGGCCCTACAAATGTAAAGTTACTGTTGCATACCCTTAATAGTCAGAATAAAACAGAAGAATGTGTGAATGACCTTGACATTTAACATGACCTTGACACATGCCAAGCTCACAAGGAATTGCTTCAGAGTTATTGATAATCCTAACATCTGCCTTAAGTGATTGATTAAAGGGGTCTGCTTGACAAATTGCCTCATAAATTTCCTTTTAGGCCCAATTGAATCTGTTTCTGCAGATAATTGTGACTAATTATTCTCTGGGGGTGACCTTTTGAATTGTGATGCTTTTACAGAGAATATTGATGTATCCATGACAGTACAAGAAAATAGGCATTGCAAATGTGTCATCAAATTAAGGATACACCTTCTTCCTCTATTGGCAAGGGAGGTATTCATGACAAATCTAACAGTGTGAACATCAAATATACAATAGTTACAATCAATATGTCAGCAGATTGTTAAGGATACACCTTCTTCCTCTTGCCTGGCTCAAAGATAACTCCCGAGAAGACCTCAATGACAAAGTCTTTCAGTTTGTCATCCTTCCAGTCAAAGTTGACACTTCTTCCCCTCAGTACACAGACAGCATTCCTCACATCAGGCAAGGTGCAGCTTTTCCCTGCCTCATCTACAAAGTTCTTCAGAAGTATCTCCCTCACCAAGCTGTTGATGTCATAGCTGGGCTCATCTGAACATTTGTGAATGAATAGGTTTCGGCAGCAGTATTGAGACAGTATTACTACTGAGTAAGACTGTTGTTTTATGGTGTAGTCACCAATTTTGCAGCTCTACCACATCTTCCCGAGGCAAGGGAGTTAACGTGAGTCTAGAAGTCCAGTTTCCACCCTTGCAGGAATTTGTCACCCTTTCCAACTACGCTGGAATTTTGTGGCTCAATCGCAGGGCCACCAGTGGCTATTGCAGGTTATGTCCCTTCTATTGACCAATCAAAATTCCACTGCTCATATCACTTGCTTAAGCTTCAAACAAAATTGTGCCACCCAGTCAAGATGATCATATATAATAAAGATCAATATTGTATTAAAAAAAGGTCATACATAGCGAAGTGCATCATGTTACTTAAGTATGTTGATTTGAAACATGAAAAGATTTGGAAAATATCTGTTCATGCCAAGTTGATGGTAGACTTGTTTTGCAAATCCTGCAATCGACGGAATCTGCTCACCAGTTGCCATGGTATTTACAAACCGAATGCCAATATTGTTACGTGATTTGGATTGGACTGTGCATAGTCTTATTAGACCAGCCAAAATATAACTCAGACATTCAAGCCTAGTTTGGTAAGGATGTGGACTGGACTTCTATAGTCAGTGAATTCCCTTGCCTCGAGAAGACGATCAACCAAGGCTGCCTGTAAATACTTAGGACTGGGACAGGAAAGACAGTGGTTGGTAGCATGAACAACAATCCCTACAATCAGGACCTTTGTCCAAGCCAGGTCACATGTTGTAGAACCCAATCTTCTCCCTATTCCGTGGGAAGGAGCCTCCAGGAGAACTAATGACAGGGGACTCCTGTGGCATGCAACCTGTGGCAATTCCAAGTGTGCTACCAAGGGCTCTACCACAGGTGCTACAAGGGTGCTACCAGGGATGCTACCAAGGGCTCTACCACGGGTGCTACAAAGGTGCTACCAGGGATGCTACCAAGGGCTCTACCACAGGTGCTACAAGGGCTCTACGAGGAGCTCTGAGATGCAACCAAGGGCTCTACCAAGGGTGCTACCAAGGATGCTACCAAGGGCTCTACCACGGGTGCTACCAGGGTGCTACCAGGGATGCTACCAAGGGTTCTACCAAGGATGCTACCAATGATGCAACAAGGAGCTCTGAGATGCTACAAAAGGCTCTTCCAGGGATGCCACAAAGGTTGCTACCAAGGTTGCTGACCCGTGAAGATTCTGGGTAGAATAGGTCTTCAAGAACCCATGACTGTCATAAAAGGCAACTGTGCTTGTTGTAAGAGGCGACTAATAGGATCGGGTGATCAAGCTCACTGACTTGGTTGATGCATGTCATCGTATCCCAATTGTGTGAATCGATGCTTATGATGTCAGTCACTGGATTGTCTGGTCCAAACTCGATTATTTACAGACCGCCGTCGTATAGCTGGAATATTGCTCAGTGCGGCTGCAGTGCATCAAAACGTTACTGCTTAAATGTTTTTTCTATGTTATTCATAAAAATGTTACAATCACTCACTCTTTGTATGAAGATAGAAAGCAGAGTGGTGGGGCATAAGGGATTTATTCTCCCAATCATAAAATTATTTCCCTCCCATGTGTGATATATAGTATTTTATCTAGATCACGTCAAGCAATCACATATCACCATTCTGACATGGAGGTATGATAACACTTCTTACCCCCAACATCACTGGCGTCAAGCTTTGTCTCCTGCAGTCGATCAAAGATGTATTTCTGATGCTTCTTAACAACACCCAGAAACCACTTATAGGCATTTAGGCTAGACGGTTTGTGTTTCAGGATACGCAACAGTCTCTCATTCTTGTCAGCATCCACTGGCTCATATTTCACCCTCTGTTCATCTTCATCAGTCAGTATATCGTCTGGACAGGACTTGAGGTCATCGAGGAGGTAGATGGCAGTCAGGTCCTTCCTCAGAAAAACCCAGTTCTTCTGGATCTTTGCCCAGTCTTTTCTGTCCATCTTCTTTGTTCACTACAAATATGACAATGTTATATCATAAGGTTTGATATACTGGTCATTGAGAGTGAGTGAGTGAGTAAGTGAGTTAGTGGAATTGGATGAGTGAGTGAGTGAGTGAGTGAGTGAGTGAGTGGAATTGGGTGAGTGAATGGGGTTTGTCGGTTGAGTAGGTGAGTGAGTAAAATGCTGTTCAATGCAGGACGAAAGACATCACTCACTCACTCAGATAAAAGCTTTAATAAATAATGCAATCAGTGTCTGAAATAATTTTTACTCCCAACAACCTAGGCTGGTGACTAATAAATGTAAGTAGCCTGTCTTGAAATTTACAGACCAGCATTTGTTTTAAATACATGCTAGAGAAGATAGCAAACAATTAATCATCTTTCTCAGAGGGTAAAATTCCTAACATGGGGATTCTGAGTTATAATAGGTCCCCGGGAATGCTGGTGGTGACCTAATGGATCGGGTGGTTGATTGCGTGTCATACGGAGTGGATCATTATTCACAATATCAATCACTGAATTGTCTGGTCCAGACTTTATTATTTACACACAGAGAACGACGTCATACAGCTGGAATATTGCTTAGTGCAGCATAAAACAACAAACAAACAAGTATATATTTTTAAAATCTCAGCTCCTCCACATACTCATCCCTAGAATATCAAATGATCGGTCAAAAAATATAAATAGTTTTTCTAATTTCAGCTGTTTTTTTGCATGTCAGGGTCGTTAGCTGACAATATTTTTTCCAAGTGTTTTTAATTTGCTAAAATGTCAGGGAAGTTGTCATTAATTGTTTATATTGTGGAATCAGTGAAAACACCTTCACATATTCTGGTGTCAATACTGGACCATATTTACAGTCCTGAATTTACTACAATCACTTATCATCAAGTATGAGACCCGTGAAGATTCCGGGGTAGAATAGGTCTTCAGCAACCCATGTTTGTCGTAAAAGGCGACTAACTGGATTGGGTGGTCAGGCTCGCCGACTTGGTTGATGCATGTCATCGATCCCAATTGCGTGGTTCGATGCTCGTGATGTCAATCACTGGATTGTCTGGTCCAGACTCAATTATTTACAGACCGACGTCATATAGCTGGAATATTGCTGAGTGCAGCGTTAAACAACAAACAAACAAACAACATCAAGTTTGATCTTACTGACCAGGACTTCCTTAACTCTGGATTCTGAAATTAAATTAATTTATTAGTGGTGTAGCTAGTATGCAGCAGAAAAATGAAAAGCTTACACTTTTAAATCATTACAAAAATGAAAAATAATAAAGAAAAGTGCTATTTTGTATCCTTCTTTCACTCGTTTGTTGTAGTCAGATGATCTTTGGTTAATTTACAAGTTGATCCGGCGGCCAATGTGGAAACTGTCGTTGGCTCAATATTGTTGTGTTTGTTCGTTGCATTAGTTTTTGAGGGTATCTGGATTGTATCAAAATGATGAAACTGGTCTACGGTTACTGTATGTTATGTCCAGAACATGGAAGGAAATCTTTGTGATACCTTTGGTTTAGATAAAGTGTACAGTAGGGGTGTCACGATTATCAAATCCATCGACAATTAGATGATACGATACATGTAACACGTTTATTTGTATTGATTCATATTCATAATCTGTATCAATTCATATTTTAACATTGTAACATTTCACATTTCATTCATATCTGAATTATTTAATACTGGGGGCACATCTAAGGTATTTCGTGAAAAGGGAGTTTGCTATTTTATTTAATAGTGGAAAATACTTTTGTGGATACTCAAGTTTCATCTGCAATAAAGTTTCAATTGAATAAAAAAATTCTATTTTCAAAAAGACAAGATTATCAGGAAGTTTTAAGCCTTTTAATAGAGTTTATGCCCTATCAAACATAAAAATACATGCAAAATTGCTGCGAACTGAGTATTGATCGTATCCTGATAAGTATCGGAAGATAGTAGTCATATCGTGACATCCCTAGTGTATGTGCTGGTTGTATTTGGTCTGTTTTTGCTAAACATTATACATGATTCATAAACTGTACTGTTTTATGCTTTGCTTACATATTAACTTCCCCGAGCTACACCCCTGTTTATCATGTAATTAATGCTCCCGAAGTCAAATTCACATTTACATATTTCTCTTTCATGTCCTGAAAATGACCCTCATTTGCTGCCACATACTATGGGGTTATGCTAATTGGGGGTATTGCACAAAAAACATCATTAAAATTTGTTTGTTTGTTTGGCACCAAATCACCAGCACACAAAGTCAGCGATCTAACCCACTCAGCCACCGAGGCTGTGGCAGTGTGGGTTCGAATCCCGATCCCATTATTCGCCTCTAATGGCAAACATGGTTGGTTGGTTTGTTGTTTAACGCCGCACTCAGCAATATTCCAGCTATATGACAGCGGTCTGTAGATAATCGAGTCTGGACCAGACAATCCAGTGATTAATGTCATAAGCATCGATCCACGCAATTGGGATCGATGACATGCATCAACCAAGTCAGCAAGCCTGACCACCCGATCCCGTTAGTCGCCTCTTACGACAAGCATAGTCGCCTTTTACGGCAAGCATGGGTTGCTGAAGATCTATTCTACCCTGGATCTTCACGGGTCGGCAAGCATGGATTGCTGAAGACCAATTCTACCACGGATCTTCATGGTCGGGCAAGCATGGGTTGCTGAAGACCAATTCTACCACGGATCTTCATGGGTTGGCAAGCATGGGTTGCTGAAGACCAATTCTACCATGGATCTTCACAGATCGGCAAGGTGGGATGCCCTCCTGCACTCACCATCTGGATCTATGTGGATTAGTCTTGACCCGCTAGACATAGTGGTTGACCTAGACTAACATCTAGTCCCCTAAATAAACATATCTTACAGATAAAAACCAGTTGTTAAATTATCTTTATAAAAATAGAATAAAAAGGAGCCCAGACACTAGGGATGGGTAACTCGGGTACCCGGGTCGGGTGGGTACTGAGTAGGACCCGGGTACCCACAGGACTACCCGTGGTAAGTCACGTGATATATTGTTTAATGACAAAAATTATCTTGAACTCTACGGTTACACTACAAGCCACTGAGGTTCCCATTTCTTTCTGACTATGCACCCATTCCTTCTGATTTTTTTCATATGGTTGAATAAAGATATAACTTAACTCAGCTTCAGTGTATGGATGACCAGGTTGTTTAATACATGTATCTAAATACGTGTTGGCAGGGCTATGCTAAAAATGTTCCCAATCGGACATTTTGAGACATCTCCTGAGGCCTACAGTAGGTACTCGGGTAGGGTCGGGTAATAGAGGGGTGGGTACCCGGGTAGTATATTTGGATTCATCACAGCCCTACCAGACACTCTTAGTTTTCAGATACTGCACTAATCTAGACTTGCCAAACATATTATACTTGCATGGGCTGTATTGGGGATATTTGTTTCATGGTTGGTATGACGGACTATGGTTGATCAGCTGTTGATAATGAACATGATATTCAAAGCAGCTGCCTCATTGAATAGGTCTTCAGCAACCCATGCTTGCCGTAAAAGGTGACTTTGCTTGTCGTAAGAGGCGACAAACGGGATCGGGTGTCCAGGCTCGCTGACTTGGTTTGAAGCATGTCATCGATTCCCAATTGTGTGGATGGTTGCTCATGATATCAATCACTGGATTGTCTGGTCCAGACTCAATTGTTTCAAGACCACCGTCATAGAGCTGGAATTTTGCTGAGTGTGGCGTAAAACAACAAAGCAACCAACCAACCCTCATTGACACTCTCTAATCCCCTTCACCCTCAATGACAAGGGAGAAATTTTGGCACTATGGGGATTTCTCTAATTGTTAGATATATATACGTTTACAAATTAATTACTCTGTATGCTGCTACTAGATATCTGTACCTATCTCTCGAGACCTACAGGCGGTGGTGTCGGGTAATATGGAGGTGGGTACCCGGGTAGTAAATCTGGTCTTGTTCCAGCCCCAGTTGTGATAAACAGAGGCCTGGTTAACATATCCTGTCAAGACAGTCAGTTGGTCAGTTGGCTCACAGGAACTCGTTTGTTGGTCAGTTGATATATATCCCCTATATGTAACATGGTTGGGGGGGGGGGGGGATATATATTTTTATTTACTGACCAACAACGAGTTCATGTGAGTTCGCTGTCTCGTTTTCATGTTCAAAGACACTGCGCGCAGCTCGAGAGGTTGGCTAGAAGCGATATTTCGAGGGGGTTTGTGTTCAGATTATGCTGGCTGTCATATTTGCCACCGTGTACTTACCGATACGTTCAACTTAACCTTTCTTGGCAGACAAAACACCAAACATCAGCATTATGTAACCGACCATCGTTTCCGATAATCCATTACCTGTTCGCCGAAAGCTCAACTCCGCAACAACGTTCCTGTTCTAACGCATTTATTGACAACGATGTGAGGAGCCAAAGCAGTTATATTTTTAGGTTTATGGTATTTTCCAACTTTCCAATTCATTTGCAAAGCAGTTAGTTCCCTTCGTCCCTTATACAAAACTGTTAGTAGTCTTGCATTGCGCGAACGCTAAAACCCCTCAACAATAACTCATAACAAAACTTCTACATGCCAAAACTAAAAACAGAAACTGATTGGCCCAATACACAGATAATGCCTTGAATTTTTCCTAGGGTTAGTTATATCAGCGGCGTAGCTTGGGGAAATTCAAATGTTAGCAATCTTATTTTTCTTAAATACTTAATTATAGGCTTATCAAATACAGGCAGGCCCGATCAACTTATCTAAACCAGGGACATCACGAAATATACTTACCCCATTTTGTACATATCACATTTTAAGTATAAAACAGCTACTAGGTTGATTATTGGGATCAAACCCAGATGTCCTCATAAAATATAAATTGTCATTGCAAGAGAATAACCACTCTTGATTATCCACCGAAACCATTAGGCATAAAGGGCAAGCTAGCTGTGAAAGAAATATGAATGGACCACGGAAATTCAGTTATGACACCAGGTGTTCGCGAAAAGGTTAAAGGAAATGTAACAAGCAAACAACACCGAACCAACTCAGCACCGACAATTTTGACACTGGTAGGCGGGTCATCATATGTAAATTAACAAAAGATAAAATAGCTATAGACTTGGAAAACATGATAGATTCTAATTACAAAGAGAAGTTGAGACACTATGAGACAAATGCATATCTGGTCTGGCCGAAACCTATCACCTCTTGGAAGGATCACTGTATTAAAATCTCTAATCATTCCAAAACTAAACCATCTTTTTGCTTCTATACCTAACCCCCCAGAAAGTGAAATTAAAACATTTGAAAAAACATGCTTTAGATTTATATGGGGAAATAAACCAGATAAAATAAAAAGAACTCACCTGCGGTGTGAAAGATGGAGGATTAAACGCTCCTAAACTTAAAGAAATTATACAGTCTCAAAAAATCACACTAATTAAACGATATTATAAACAGACATCTAAATGGTGCAAATTATTCAAAGCCAATTTACCGAAAGTAGGTTCTGCAGAAATATTTGAATATAATTGTTCGAATTTTAAAGATACTCTCAGTCCGTTGATTCGTAATACGTTTTACAGCGATCTTCTCTCAGCCTGGTGGGATTTTACATCCATTGTCAACACATCCAAGTTAGTTACTAATACTATAGCCTCAGAAATCATTTGGAACAATAAAAATATTCTAATAGATAATAAAGTAGTTCACTATCCAAATTGGAGCGAAAGGGGTGTACACTATGTCAATGACCTTTTGTGCAAAAACGGAAACTATCTACCATATGAACAGTTTAAAGGCAAATACAATGTGAACACCAACATTTTAAGATATAGAGGAATACTAAGCGCACTAAAACAGTATTGCTCAATACACTTTGTCGACTTTAAGGACATACAGACCTATCAAAAGCCATTCATACCTACATATCTGTCTGAACTACTGAATGGCAATAGCCAGTCATACTACAGAACCTTGATGAAAACATTTAATGTCAATAACCAACATTGTGCAAAATGGAACCATATTTTAGAAAACGATCTCGAGTTAAGCGTGTGGCATACTTATAACCATATACCATTCCGATACACAAAAGATACTGAACTACAATGGTTCCAGTATAAAGTATTACATCATGTACTACCAACAAACAAAAGACTTTTTAAAATGCGACTGGTTGATTCGGAGACATGTATTTTTTGTTCAAATAGTAAAAAATCTGTTTCCAATGTACTGGCAGACTGTAGCAAAGTGAAACCCATATGGCAAAAACTGGAAGAGTGGCTATCAGATGAGATTCAGGTTAAACTCACATTAACAAGAAAAAACATTCTGCTTGGATCTGATCAGCGACACAACGATCCTATAAATGTAATTATCCTACTTTGTAAATTCGTAATTTTTAAATATAGATATTCAAAAAAGGTACCGAACTTCCAGTTTCTTAAAAAAGAGATTTACAAATATTACATGCTTCCAAAATACACAGCTCTCATAAGTAATGGTATCGATAAATTCTACACATTTTGGTCATCTTGTCATCTTTTGTTTCCCACACAATAATTCTGTTCTCAACATTTGTTTACTGCCTATGTATTACATTGTATAGCCCATGTGTAAAAATGCAACAGAAATAAAGTTAAAAAAAAATAAAATAAAATAGTTATAACAAACGACTGAAAAAAAGAACCCACGAAAGCACTTTTTTATAATCGGTTTTTTAAATTTTATTTTTGTAATAATTTCAAAGTGTAAGCATTTGCTTTTTGTGCAACATGGTAACTACGCCAGTCAAGACGTAAATTATCTCGCCGTTATCACACCAAAAGACCGGGGTTCAATTCCAACCATGGGTACAATGTGTGAAGCCCATTTCTGGTTTCCCCTAACATATCTTGCTAGAATATTGCTAAATGCGGCGTAAAACTATACTTATTCACTCTTATCAACGATCTGCTTATAAACGATCTTTTTGTTAATCCCTATCAACAACAAATGTAAAGACGAAAATAGAAGAAATAGTGATCGAATCACTGGATCGCAGAGAGTAACATAAAATTTACCATAGAGGAATGGTCTGATTTTATACGTACGGATTTTGGTGTTTGGGGAATAGAAAACATTGGATTTCCGTTCTCGTTCGTTGATCAAACCAGTTTCGAATTTTAACTTGATCGCCATTACCAGAACGTTGTTGGGATAATTCCATGATCGCCTATGGACATTTGGTCAAAACAGCAACTATAAACCCATATGGAGAACCAGTTGTCAGTTAAAGAAAACCAGTTATTCAGTTTTCTTCTGACGTTATCGCTCTGTGTGCATCTTCCCGAGGCAAGAGAGTTAACTGTCTTTAAAAGTCCAGTTTCCACCCTTGCCGAGCTAGGCTTGAATTCCTGGGCTCTCGTACCTCTCGTATCACCTGCATTTGTTTCAAACAAACTGCGGCGCCCAGTCAAGACGATCTGATCGATAATCAAGATCTATATATTGTGATAAAATGAGTTTACATCGCGAAGTGCATCAAATCACGTGAGCACCTTCATTAAAAACATGAAAAGATGTAGAAAATATTTGTTGACAACGAGTTAGCGGTGCACATGTTTTGCAAATCCCGCAATCGACCGAAATCTGCATGACAGATTACGAACCGGATTTCGATTTCGGAGCGCGATTTTGATTGGACTACGATAGACTCGTTAGTCCAGCCAAAATGTAACTCCATAATACCAGCCTAGTTCGGCAAGGGTGAAAACTGGACTTTTATAGTCAGTTAACTCACTTGCCCCGGGAAGATGTCTGTGTGAGAAACATCAAATGTGGCATTTGTTTTCCTTTATATATTCAATTATTAAACGTCAACGCCAGAGTACAACCATTCTTTATTATTCCCCTAAACAGATATATTTTGGAGTAACAGGCAAAAGCGTTGAAACTTATATAAATGGATAACTGGAAATGAGTGTTGACACAGGTGTTCTCAAGCAATGATCCATAACGTATACAATACGGTAGTCTGTTGTTCAATATTACAACGATATTTGGAATGTGGCCAGTGACAGCCTGATGGATCAGATATGAATTCCCATAAGTAATATTTATACCGATATTGTCTCCTGTGACAACATCCATATGTTTGGTTCATTTGCTTGATTTGAAATAACATTTATGTAATCACAAATTACAGTACCTGATATCAAGACAATCCGACTATTAACACACACATGCATGTACAATACAAATTATTAAGGGAAGCTCCGTACATCGACGAGCAAGAGTTACTAGACCGTAAGACATGCACACGCAATGCTGAAAGTTTCAGAAAGCCTCGTTATGAATTTTGTGATCACTTCTGACAGCAATCGCAAACAGATCGAAGTTGACTTCGTTAAATCGAGTTCGTTATTCATTTTTATAACCATCCCTGTCCCACAATTAAAAAATACGACTAAAATAGTGCATACACTTGCAAAATGAAGCAATGTTCATTCAAAAATACCAACGAAAATAATTGTTTTGCTTGTGACTTTCTTACCGTTGCCCGATGACCTCCCGCTGACGCTGAGAGTAGATCGCACATCGAAGGTAAAATTCTGTCGTATATCCAGGCACGTTTTGCATTTGTACACACGTTTAGCTAGAGATCGGTAATATTAATGTCTGATAGAATTTTTAAAAATCGAAATTGTGAGGATGCTACACATGCAATCCTGCAGTGTGACGACATTTTCTTCAGATTTGGTTCGAACGTTGAATCGTGTTTGATAAATTTTCAAATGGAATACTCACGTTGGTACTTTTAAATGAATACTGATTCCCCTATTCAATTGTAAGATTTGAAAATAAATTGAACACCACATAAACACATTAAGTAAGCACTTACCGTTATATCAAATCAAAACCGCTTGTGCCTCGAACGTTTGCCGTACCTTCTATGCGTCGGCTGCTTGAAAGGACGCGCGAAAATAACAGCGCCCTCTATTACAAGGTGTTAATTAGGAGTAGCTTCCCTTGAAAAAAGTCAAGAAATGTTTCACAACGTTGTAAAAACGTTGGGCCAACGTCAGAATTCCGACCGCGACATTGCCAACCTTTGCCAACGTTGGCCCAACGTCTGACTGCTATCTGGGTTGATGCTGAACAATAAAGACAACAAACAGGGGCAGCATGTGTTACAGAGCACATTGTCTACCCTACATACGCATATATACACACATGAACACTGCTGAACACAAATAAAGACTGCTTTTATACCATTCTAACACAATACTATGGAAGACTTGAAAGGACATTGTCGCGTTGTCGCGCTTTGTTAAAAAATATTAAAATATGCAGTAATTATTACAAACGTCAAGGATTCCATACAATACTCACTCTGACCCTGTTCATGAAACTATGCGACTATACCGGTAGCTTAAACACAGTTGCTGTATCAATTTGTTAGGTAGATATACTACCCAAAAGAAGTTAAGGACCACCCGATAGTAATATTGTTAATCTGTCATGGCATGAATGAAAGAAAATGCGAGTTTCGTGGCCTAGTTATCATGTAGAATCCATGTACGTGTTGGGTTGTCGTATGTTTAACAATGGGGCTATAATATTTCTATGAAAAGAACACGTCAAGGCCTAGTATGAGGCAAACCAAGTGCCATTGACATGCGTTCACTCAGTCTAGATTCAACCCGTTTCAGGAAAATAAATGTATATTTTTCATTTTAAAAAAGTAGCGGTATATCATACTATTGTCATTGATGTTCATAACGAATTAAAAACCTCAATATTGCAACATATTGGTAACAAGGGCTGAGTTTGTTAAAATTGTAACGTTGTTTTGTTTTGTAATATTGTATATGTTATAATATGATAAGATACTACAATGCGTGTATTAGGTATGATCGGGGAGGTGGGGTAGCCTAGTGGTTAAAGCGTCCGCTCGTCGCGTTGGAGACCCGGGTTCGATTCCCGACATGGGCACAATGTGTGAAGCTCATTTCTGGTGTCCCCCGCCGTGATATTATGGGAATATTTCTTAAAGCGGCATAAAACCATACTCACTCACTCACCTGTAGTCACCCACTCACTCACCTGTAGTCACTCACTCACCTGTAGTCACTCACTCACCTGTAGTCACCCACTCACTCACCTGTAGTCACTCACTCACCTGTAGTCACCCACTCACTCACCTGTAGTCACTCACCCACTCACTCACCTGTAGTCACTCACTCACTCACCTGTAGTCACTCACCCACTCACTCACCTGTAGTCACTCACTCACTCACCTGTAGTCACTCACCCACTCACTCACCTGTAGTCACCCACTCACTCACCTGTAGTCACTCACTCACTCACTCACTCACTCACCTGCAGTCACTCACTCACTCACTCACCTGTAGTCACCCACTCACTCACCTGTAGTCACTCACTCACTCACTCACTCACTCCCATATGAAGTGTGAAATGCATTAATAAACATTTTATTTTCAACATGAAAAACTAATACAAAATACTTACAATTAAATTGTTAAAATATATTTGTTTAACACCGCATCCAGTCATGTTCCAGCTACATAACGGCGGTCATTAATCAATTCTGGACCACACAATCTGGTGATTGATCACTCACTCTTAGGTATAATGAAATAGCGTTCCCTGCCTAGATGATGGTTGGTATTAGTTGGTTTGACAGATATTAAGGTAAGTTGAGAAGACCCATATTTGAACAGATTCATATATCTGTGCAGAACAGGGCCCAGTTTGAAATCGAAAACTACAACTTAATAATATATGTCTTATAACTTAAGAACTAAACCTTGTCCAGGTTTCAAAGTTAAACTTGATAAGGACACACTTTTCCCAACGTTAAATTTCGCTTCATTAAAGTTCTCAGTGTTTATAACAACACGGCCGCTTTTGGCATTGGCGGGTTCGTTGGTGTAATCGGCTGTCGACGAATCGTGTCCGAGATTCATTGTAACGAGATATCGGCCAGTGTTGGCGGTACCTCGCACATAGGATAGTATATTATCGTTGACAACCGCAAATTGAACATCTGGATCTTGAAAGGCAGGGGCCTCTCGCAACGTTGCTAAAGATTTGTAAATATTCAAAGAGGAATCTTTCTTTTTCTTTTGTACCTGGAAGAGGAAGAGGTAGAAAAGATGGATGCAGTGTTATTACATGAGGATCTCTGCAGTAGTGAAGGTATGATTGTGAAAATGGGTGTTTCTAGACAACCGAATTAGTGTCAAATTTATTCTATATTTCAAATATATTCCAAAACCCACTCAAAACGGATAACATTTGCATTTACTTTGGCTAAGCGTATACTTTGTTAAAAGTGGCCTATCATTACGTTCATTGCTAAATATAGTAAACATATTAATCAATTGATTGGCTCTGTTTTTGATGAAGTAAAATCTATACAATTTCAAAATAAAAGAAAGAGGAACAACAAAGAATTCAGTAATATTTAGCATGATATAAATCGACTTACACACTGTCAAGTAAAATAAGAAATATTTAGATTAAGTAATTAATAGTATATTTTACTCCGACCTACTTATGAGTGAGTAAACTGTAAAATAGAATAGTGTGCCGTGACACAATGATCACATATTTGTTGTTCTATACCCATTGGTCTATAAACTTCTAGTAATACATAACAAAACAAATCGGGCCAGAGAAAAACAAATATCACTAAACACACAACCTATGATACAGGTAGGTAATACCTCTAAATGGAGGGGCACGGATGGCCCAGTCGTCTAAGGCGCCGCGATTCGCTGTAAAGAGTTGGTGTCCCTTGGGCACACCAGAAACCTATGATTGTGGGTTCGAATCCCGGTCGAAGCAAGGTTGAAACGAGTGCCGTAAAGCTCGAGAAAGCTGCTTTCTAATTTGGCTGATGTCGACTTCTTGTTACTCATATCAGTGATCGGTCAAAGATAGCGAAAGGTCGTTCTCACGTGACCCGTCATGGGATGTCCTCAGATTTTTGTTTAGCGGCAGTGAGAATTAAGGTCTGACTTTAATGAGATTTACCTGCACGTTGCACGTCTTGTAACCCGGATTGACGGGAAGCCATGGCTTGGAGGAGGAGGTGAAACCCGACTGACTGGATGCGTCCCACTGGAGGGGAGAGCGGCAGGGGTCCCGGGAAAACTCAGTGTAACGCTCCTGAAAAGGGGTTGCAAGAACGTAATGCATATATAGTCAAATAAGGACTGAAATATAGTCAAATAAGGACTGAAATATAGTCAAAATAAGGACTAAAACATTGTCAAATAAGGACAAATCGTAGTAAATAGTTATTTTAGAAATTGTTTCTGAAATCGTGGGTCAATTCAAATATGGTGTAAATTTGTGTTTTACTTATTAAACAGACGTTAACTTTAAGTTTTGTTGAGTTATAAATTTAGACTTCCACTGCGTATCATCGGGCCTGCACGTTTTTAAGCGCTGCACGTTTTTAAGCGCTCGGCCTACTTATGGATTTTACCTATTTTGATTACGTAATCTTTTTATACAAATTTAAGCCCAGGACAAGAACGTGATAGGAAGAATGAATATCGTAAGATTGATGAAACAATACTCACAAATGGAATGAGAGAGTAACACCTTAACATAAGACCTGACGCGTTAAAAACTGAAATGACACGTGTCAAAGAAGTAACAACAAACAAATATCGAAGTTATGCTAAGCTGTCCTATGCCTTTAAACGTGAGTGAGTTGGGTTTAACACCGCTTTAAATTTAACAGTATTCCAGTTATATCACGGCGTGTCAGCTTAATGTGGGAGGAAAGCCTGAAGTGATGCAGGTCTTAGACGTTTACAACTTCGGTGAAAGTCACGAACACGGGTATCGTGCTGACAAACCTAGAAACATAATCGGGGCGAACCGGGATTCGAACCCACAATCATAGGTTTCTGGCGTGCCCAAGGGACGCAACTCTTTACAGCGAATCGCGGCGCCTTAGACGACTGGGCCACCCGTGCCCCTGCCTTTAAAACGTCATATTGAGTATCCAGTATTTTGCCTACGTTATGAGTGAGTAAGTGAGTATGGTTTTACGCCGCTTTTAGCAATATTCCAGCAATATCACGGCGGGGGACACCAGAAATGTGCTTCACACATTGTACCCATGTCGGGGATCGAACCCGGGTCTTCGGCGTGACGAGCGAACGCTTTAACCACTAGGCTATCCGACCGCTCCCCTACGTTATGGGTCCAATGTGGCTTGTTAATGTGGAAACCTCTAATAGCGCTTGAGGTGCAATTATAGGACTGGTGCAAATTTGCCATATAGAAGCGTGAGTGAGTGAGTATGGTTTTACGCCGCATTTAGCAATATTCAAGCAATATCACAGCGGGAGACACAAGAAATTGACTTCTCACATTGTGCCCATATGGGGAATCGAACCCGGGTCTTCAGCGTGACGAGCGGACGCTTTAACCACTAGGCTACCCCACCGCCCCCTATATAGAAGCGTTCTTCAACACTTCTTAAAGTAAATCCGGTAAAGGAGACCAATCAAATCAATGTTTTAAGTTAATTTAAGCCCATGTGCTTAAAAGCGTTTTGTTTTTTCCGGAAAACGAGGGGGCTTAAAAACGTGCCGTCCCGGTTCTGACATTTGTCTGTGTTGATTCCAGATAGGCACTGTATTTGTGTAAAATCAATGTCTGTATAAACTTTCTATATCATGTTATTTTGTGACAGGTTTCTGAACAATCTGTTTACCAGTATAACATGGGCCGGAATCTCATCATTTATTAACAATCATTCGACTCCTTGCATCGGTAATTTCATCTGAATCAAAGGTATGCTTGGAACTGGTCATTCTGTGGAGTCCCTAGTTAGAAGCCGAACTCGTCCCCTTTCCCGCAAATTATAGGATGTGCGTATGCTTAGTGTTAGATAACCTGAATTAAGGTAAAGTCTTCGAAATCAAGGCGGTGTGGAAGCCTAATGGTTAAAGAGTTCTCTTGTCTCGCTGAAGTTTGATTCCCCACATTAGTAAAATGGGCGAAGCCCCTTTCTGATGTCTCCCGCCGTGATGTTGCTAAAATATTACTAAAAGCGGCGTAAAACCATACTCACTCACTCTTCGAAATCTAGTAAAATTAGTCCTGGCCATTGAAGGAACATTCATTGAGAAATAGCCTAAAGGTAATACGCCTAGGCAATAAACCCCAAGTTCTACGTACTGGGAGAGTCTAATTAACAAAGTGATCCTCTTCACTACAGGGGTTCGATTCGCCACATAGGTATACTGTCATATGCATATTGACGGGTCCCCTCGCCCTGATATGGCTGAAATATTTGCCATTGTAGATACACCCACTCACCCAAGCACGCACGCTCTCAATCTCAATCACTGGATTTCTGGGCCCACGATGGCCCCGTCGTCTAAGGCGCCGCGCTTCGCTGTGCAAAGTTGCGTCCCTGGGGCACGCCAGAAACCTATGATCGTGGGTTCGAATCCCTGTTAGCCCCGATTATGATTCTAGGTTCGTAAGCACCATACCCGTAATCGTGGTTTTACCGAAGTGGTAAACGTCTAAGACCTGCATCACTTCGGGCTTTCCTCCCGCATCCAGCTAGCACGCCGTGATATAACTGGAATACTGTTCAAAGCGGCGATTTAACAAAGTCACTGAATCCTTTGTACCTTTCCAAAGTTGATGCCCCAGGGGTCCTGTGTCTCCTCAAAGCTGACCTCAATCTCCTCCATGCCCAGTTCCTCGCCGTAGTAGGTGGTGGGCGTCCCCTTCAACGTCAGTAACAGCATGTTCATGACGTTCACGGACTCGACGCCGAAGCGTTTGGACACCCGCTTACGGTCGTGGTTACCCAGCTATATCACCAACAAAGGCAAGAAGACACAGGAAATCATCTTCAGTAATTCGTACTATAATTCTATTTCATGAATAGTCTCTGCCTCACTCTAATTCAGGAACACTGCATTACACATATATGGAATCACTTAGAAATGTGACGTCACACCAATGAGATTCAATGTCGAACATTCACGGTGTCACAATAGATTTTTCTGATGTGCGTACGAATGTGCGTTTTAGGGCCATTTGTTTTGTTTGGTTTTTTCGATACTATCTTGAAATTTCAACTTAGCATCTTGAAATTTCAACATAACATCTTGAGATTTCAAGTTAGTACCTTGAAATTTCAACATAACAGCTTGAAATTTCAAGTTAGTATCTTGAACTTTCAAGAAAAAGGAAAAACAAAACAAATGGCCATAAAGACTTCCGTTACGAATGATATGCGCTTTGTGAATTACTCTTGAAACTATTTCCATAAAATATCGGCTTTAAAAAATGTTGCTCCTCGGAACGATATTTGCCATAATACATACGCTGCATATCCTCATGTTTGGATTTTTCGGGAAATGCGACTTTTAATTTCTGATGTTTCTTTTTAATTTCTAAGTTATTTCTTAATTCAACCAAATCAATTAAATTGTCCTTCTAAATAACTGTCGTATCATCAGACGTGAAGTATGAATGCAGTCATTTTGATGTCCTGCATTTCGTATACGTTTTCACACAGGTTGATACGTTCATTAAACATATGCCCACATCTTTGTCAATCACTCTTCATAATTACCACAAACTTGGGCCATTCCCCGGCAGGCAGATTGTCATATTCATTACTGATGGCCTCCATAAAGCAGTTACCCCCACAGTCGGCCTTGAGACCCTCTACAAGGTCAAAGTTGAAGGGCATAGCGCCATAGTCATAGTACTTGTTCCTAATGGCCGGGGGATCATACAACTCCACCACGATAAATCTGTAAACAAATTGGAAAGACAGTCGGATAAATAATGTCCAATGATGTCTGATGCAATTCCTTATTTTGAGCACATTTTCCCTTGTTTTCTAAGTCAAACAATTGACTTGCCTTTGCATGTGTTTGTGACGGGTGCCACCTGTGGGGCAGGATACGCTCATCTTTTTGCGAACACCTGGTATCGTCACTATTTGATAGTCTTTTGCTTGTTTGTTTGTTTATAACGCCGCACTCAGCAATATTGCAGCTATATGACTGCGGTCGGTAAATAATCGAGTCTGGATCAGACATTCGAGTAATTGACTTCATGAGCATCGATCCACGTAATAGGGAAACGATGACATGCATCAACCAAGTCAGCAAGCCTGACCACCGATCCCATTAGTCGCCACTTACGACAAGCGTAGTCGCCTTTTATGGCAAGCATGTGTTGCTGAAGACCTATTCTACCCCGGGACTTCACGGGTCGAAAGTATGACAAGGAGTGTTGTCGATAACAACTTCTATATTATACATACACAACGTTTCAAGCTACTTCTTGCCCCTTCATTTGGTGATTATATTAACCCAAATACTCCTTGTCATATGTCCAACTTAAATGCCTTTGAAAGACTCTCCTCTCGAATTTACATTAAAAGTAGCAGGCACTGGCAACCATCACCCCAAACCCCTCTATATCACTATATATTAATCTGCTGGGACATTTCCATTTGGTAGTGCTATTGAAAATGTATGACCTTGATCATCTGACCTTGACTGACCGTCCTTGGCCTCATATTCGTCCATGACCTTCTTCCATCCTCTCACAACGTCCCCGATCTCTGGAAGGTTCTCAGTGTGAATGTGCGTCAGATACTCGTACTGGAACTGTTCACAAAACCCGTATGACTCATGTCAGTTGTGTCTAAACACCATTAGTCAGGAAATACAGAAACAGGTGCTTAGCTCCGTAATAGTCACTAAAACAGGTTCATGAGCTTCAAATTATTGACACTGTACAGTCAGAATGCGTGTTCTGATCCTATCAGCATAGTTCGTGAGTGAATGTTGTGGTCACGGCGGTCAGTAAATAAAAGGAAATGGGACATGTACACCTGTGTTTGATAGAATGACCAAGAGCAGGTCTAGCATTTTTAAATGTCAAAATCCTCTCTCAAATCGGGTAGCCTAGTGGCCGAAGACCCGGGTTCGATTCCCGACATGGGTACAATGTGTGAAGCCCATTTCTGGTGTCCCCCGCCGTGATATTGCTAAAAGCGGCGTAAAACCACACTCACTCACTCACTCACTCACTCACTCTCTCAGATAATTTTACTGCCTACAACACACCACATTCGGTCTCTGGCGGGTTATAATGTCACACTATCAACTAGGTTACTCTCCAGGAATAAACGGTGGTCGACAGTGTAGGCAAGGTGATAGTGGTACATTGTATAATCTGTTTCATGTGTTTCTAGGGGGCCGTAAGGCGCCGTAATTCGCTGGGCAGAATTCGGTGTGACTAGGAGTTGTAACATGTAACATACGTACGGCGGGTAGGGACAAGTAGCTTTTACATGTAACATACGTACGGCGGATAGGGACTAGTAGCTTTTACATGTAAGATACGTACGGCGGGTCGGGACTAGTAGCTTTTACATGTAACATACGTACGGCGGGCAGGGACTAGTAGCTTTTACATGTAACATACGTACGGCGGGTAGGGACTCGTAGCTTTTACATGTAACATACGTACGGCGGGTAGGGACTAGTAGCTTTTACATGTAACATACGTACGGCGGGTCGGGACTAGTAGCTTTTACATGTAACATACGCACGGCGGGTAGGGACTAGTAGCTTTTACATGTAACATACGTACGGCGGGTCGGGACTAGTAGCTTTTACATGTAACATACGTACGGCGGGTAGGGACTAGTAGCTTTTACATGTAACATACGTACGGCGGGTAGGGACTAGTAGCTTTTACATGTAACATACGTACGGCGGGTAGGGACTAGTAGCTTTTACATGTAACATACGTACGGCGGATAGGGACTAGTAGCTGTAACGTGTAACATACGTACGGCGGGTAGGGACTAGTAGCTTTTACATGTAACATACGTACGGCGGGTAGGGACTAGTAGCTTTTACATGTAACACACGTACGGCGGGTCGGGACTAGTAGCTGTAACGTGTAACATACGTACGGCGGGTCGGGACTAGTAGCTGTAACGTGTAACATACGTACGGCGGGGCGGGACAAGTAGCTTTTACATGTAACATACGTACGGCGGGTAGGGACTAGTAGCTTTTACATGTAACATACGTACGGCGGGTAGGGACTAGTAGCTTTTACATGTAACATACGTACGGCGGGTCGGGACTAGTAGCTTTTACATGTAACATACGCACGGCGGGTAGGGACTAGTAGCTTTTACATGTAACATACGTACGGCGGGTCGGGACTAGTAGCTTTTACATGTAACATACGTACGGCGGGTAGGGACTAGTAGCTTTTACATGTAACATACGTACGGCGGGTAGGGACTAGTAGCTTTTACATGTAACATACGTACGGCGGGTAGGGACTAGTAGCTTTTACATGTAACATACGTACGGCGGGTCGGGACTAGTAGCTGTAACGTGTAACATACGTACGGCGGGTCGGGACTAGTAGCTTTTACATGTAACATACGTACGGCGGGTAGGGACTAGTAGCTTTTACATGTAACACACGTACGGCGGGTCGGGACTAGTAGCTGTAACGTGTAACATACGTACGGCGGGTCGGGACTAGTAGCTGTAACGTGTAACATACGTACGGCGGGGCGGGACAAGTAGCTTTTACATGTAACATACGTACGGCGGGTAGGGACTAGTAGCTTTTACATGTAACATACGTACGGCGGGTAGGGACTAGTAGCTTTTACATGTAAGATACGTACGGCGGGTAGGGACTAGTAGCTTTTACATGTAACATACGTACGGCGGGGAGAGACTGGTAGCTGTAACGTGTAACATACGTACGGCGGGTAGGGACTAGTAGCTTTTACATGTAACATACGTACGGCGGGTAGGGACTAGTAGCTTTTACATGTAACATACGTACGGCGGAGAGAGACTGGTAGCTGTAACGTGTAACATACGTACGGCGGGTCGGGACTAGTAGCTTTTACATGTAACATACGTACGGCGGGTAGGGACTAGTAGCTTTTACATGTAACATACGTACGGCGGGTCGGGACTAGTAGCTGTAACGTGTAACATACGTACGGCGGGTACATCAGGTCGGTTGCTCCTGGGCTCGTCCTGGAAGATGTTCTCCGACTCGAACAGTTTCATGATGGCGTCCACCCGGATACCATCCACTCCCCTCTCCATCCAGAACCTCAGCACGTCCTGCAACAGTTGGCCCAGCAGAAACGACACGAAATTAATTAAACTGTGAATTGTAAACAAATCGATGACCTTGAGGCCATTGTAATCTTGTAGAACTATCCGCAGTTGAGCAGATCAGACTGCTACATTCATATATTCGGAGGACGACGTATCTAACGTCGAATTATGTGGGCCATATAATATTAATATAGATTCTACGCTGTTCGGGGAAAACCTTCGACTCTAGTCGGTCAGTCAGAAGTTTCAAATCAAAATAACAACCTCTGACGGTCTCATCAACAAGGAAGCTTATATTTAAAGACAAGTGCTTCTTTCTCAATCCAAACACACATGCAATGAGTAATCTTCTTTTGCGTTCATTCCCTCAGGGGGTTCAAATAATACATTAATATACGTATGTATGTACGAATATAGGTAAAAATGCAGATATTGCCACAGCAATATTTAAAGATACAGTACTTATCCAACGTCGACTTGTGTGGGGCTAAATAATAATAAATATAAACTGTATAAGTCGAAAAATCGTATTGTGGAACCAGTTCGGTTTAACTATCGGTCACACACTACACTCACGTTGATGTCTTCCACAACGTCTGGATTTCTAAAGTTCAAGTCAGGCTGTTCCTTAATAAAAGCATGGTAAAAGTACTGTTTCCTTGTCTTACTCCACTCCCAGCCGCTGCCACCGAAATAGGAAAGCTGAAAGGAAAGGTAGCGATTGGTTGAGGAGCCGTATAGAACTTACGTTCATGTCTTTTACTACATCTGGGTTCCTGTAATTTAGGTCAGGCTGTTCCTTCACAAATGCGTGGTAGTAATACTGCTTTCGCTGTTCGTTCCATCGCCAGCACTCCCCACTAAACACGCCCAGCTGGAAGAACACAGCATGGCATGAGTTGGGATTTTGACTTTTTTGTTTAAACACAAAGCCCCCCTGGTTTACATATAGTACGTGTCAGCTAAAACTTAAAGAAGAATATCTTTAAAAGATACCATGCCGCAGTTTAACATGAATACCCCACTCAGACACCGTATACTGACTCCGAGCCAACCAGTCCTTGTTTTACCCCCTTAATGCCGAGCGCCAGACAGGGTAACAACAAGTACCATCTTTTAATGTCTCTTTGTATGACGCGGTCGGGGATGCTACAACTCATTCAAACTTTGTCCATTATACCGTGTTTCCTCGAATAAAAAGGATCTCAATTAAAACGCCGGGTAATTCTATGTACAGAATTCTCCACAGTATTGCCTCTGCAAGGGGGGAAGGGGAGCCAGATGTACTACTTGTGGTTAAGGTGCTCGGTACATGGCGGTGGATTGACTTTACCCAGTTGTTCGGCGGTTTCCTCATTCCAAATGATGACTTGCCGTCACTCCACAGGAAGTAGTCCCTGTACTTCCCCGTCCCCTTCAGACTCTCCTGGAACCAGGGATGCTGGTCGCTCATGTGGTTGGGGACAAAGTCGATAATCACTTTGATATCTGAAATGGTCATTTCTGGAGATAGAAAATTTGTCATTGTCTTCAGGTTTCCCATTCAAACTTCAGGTTTTGAGAAAATAATTCTGATTTCTTTTCAAACATAAAAAAAATTTCAAGCCGGTGTCGACGTAATGGTTGTTGCTTAATTATGGTAGATAGTAAATTAGAAGTATAAAAACTGTTGTCCATCGGTCTCGGGGGAAGATGGGTTGATGTACCCTCTATGTTGGTTTATATTCCATAAGTTAACAGAGGTAAATCAATCTATGTCACCCGAGAGACCGGTGGATTAGTATTTACGAATGTATCTTACCGCACACCTAGTAAAAATGCAGGTACATGGATGTCTTATGCACGCATGCTTTGGTCACAGTAAGCCATTTATCCACTTCGTTCATATTTCGCATTCATCGAAGCAGCAAATGACAGAGAAGCGCAATTCCCCTCTATCTATTTCATTAGGGGAATATTGTACATATCCGGATAATGGCGTCCGTTGGTATGTTGTAAAATGTAAGACCCGTGAAGATCCGGGGTAAAATAGGTCTTCAGCAACCCATTCTTGCCGTAAAAGCCGACTATGCTTGTCGTCAGAGGCGACTAACGGGATCGGGTGGTCAGGCTCGCTGACTTGGTTGATGCATGTCCCACATTGCGAGGTTCGATGCTCATGATGTCAATCACTGGATTGTCTGGTCCAAGCTTGATTATTTACATACCGCCGTCATATAGCTGGAATGTCGCTGAGTGCGGCGTTAAACAACAAACAAACAAAAGGCATAATGTAAAGCAAACAGTTCGGCCCATTCGAGCTCTTTATTGAAGCGTCGTAAAAAAACAACATTCATGCTAGTTTTGATATAAAAAAAATAGTTTTAAAAAAGCATAAAAATACTACAAAACAATTACAAACCCCTGCTGTGACTTTCTTTGACTAAATCGTCAAAGTCCTTCAGTGTGCCGAAGATGGGGTCGACGTCGGTGTGGTTGGAGATGTCGTATCCGAAGTCCTTCATGGGAGACGTGTAAAATGGACTGAGCCATATCGCCTTGATGTTCAGATACTGGAAGTAGTCTAGTTTCGAGATGATTCCTGAAACAACGTTCCGTCTGTCAATGCTGTGATCGGTATTAGACATATCTTAAAATAACCATCATGTCATTTTATTTCAACACGTAATCATAACGTGTTAATAAAAATATATGGAGTGAGTGAGTGGATTGGGTTTAACGCCACTGTGGACAACATTTCAGTTACGGTGGGTATGTTTAATGTGAGGGAGGTCAAATACTGACACGTGACGGGTGTGGATCAAAATTGGGGCTATCTGGGTTTGAAAACAACGGATCTGGGTTTGAAAACAACGGATCCTAGAACGACTAAGGGACGCAACTCTGTATAACGAGTTAACGAATCTGTTGTAGTTTTTACTTTTTAAATAATTGATATGTAGAATATAGTGTTATTTCTCGCTAGAAACTATCCGTTTTGTCACAGATGCAATATTTCAAGATGCATCCCCTGTTTACAGTTGCATTCATTTTTACTGAACTGATAATTCGTGAAAATGGGGTCAGTGATACAAGGTCACTATAAAGCACAATGCCATGTGTGGTGAGTACGCTGAATAGATGGATTAGAGGTGTAACGCTATACGTATTGATATCGCGCTGGTCGATACATTAGCATGAAAAGAACTTGGAATATCCCGATGATTCGTGAAACTACATGACTCTACTTCTGTACTTGACGAAATGTACATGTAATAGAAATGGTCTCTATGTTTTGCAGACTGCAACCAGCCTTCCAAACTGATCCAACAATGATTGAAATAACATTTCAAAACCACATGGAAAAATGTGTGAAACCCATTACTGCTGGAATATCACGGAATAAAGCGACATCAAACCATGCTCACTCACTCACTCACTCAAAACCATTCACCTGTTGTAGATCATAACTTGTAAGATTTGCCTAGAAAAAGTAAAGGGCCAATGCAGGTTTAAAATCATGTAAGCATTCACGAATGGGTTCATTAATTTATTAGTACTGAAAATGGTGCGAATAGTGTCGTACTATGTACCAGTCTGTCAAGATATGTACAGTACTATGTACCGGTGTGTCGAGATACGTATAGTACTATGTACCAGTGTGTCGGGATACGTACAGTACTATGTACCAGTCTGTCAAGATATGTACAGTACTATGTACCGGTGTTTCGTGATACGTACAGTATTATGTACCAGTGTGTCAAGATACGTACAGTACTATGTACCAGTGCCTTGAGACGTACAGTACTATGTACCAGTGTGTCGAGATACGTACAGTACTATGTACCGGTGTTTCGTGATACGTACAGTACTATGTACCAGTGTGTCGAGATACGTACAGTACTATGTACTAGTGTGTCGTGATACGTACAGTACTATGTACTAGTGTGTCATGATACGTACAGTACTATGTACCAGTGTCTTGAGACGTACAGTACTATGTACCAGTGTGTCGTGATACGTACAGTACTATGTACTAGTGTGTCATGATACGTACAGTACTATGTACTAGTGTGTCGTGATACGTACAGTACTATGTACCAGTGTCTTGAGACGTACAGTACTATGTACTAGTGTGTCGTTAGACGTACAGTACTATGTACTAGTGTGTCGTGATACGTACAGTACTATGTACCAGTGTCTTGAGACGTACAGTACTATGTACTAGTGTGTCATGAGACGTACAGTACTATGTACTAGTGTGTCGTGATACGTACAGTACTATGTACCAGTGTCTTGAGACGTACTGTACTATGTACTAGTGTGTCGTGATACGTACAGTACTATGTACCAGTGTGTCGAGATACGTACAGTACTATGCACCAGTGTCTTGAGACGTACAGTACGATGTACCAGTGTGTCGTGATACGTATAGTACTATGTACCAGTGTGTCGAGATACGTACCGTACTATGTACCAGTCTGTCAAGATACGTACAGTACTATGTACCAGTGTGTCGAGATACGTACAGTACTATGTACCAGTGTCTTGAGACGTACAGTACTATGTACCAGTGTTTCGAGATACGTACAGTACTATGTAACAGTGTGACGTGATACGTACAGTACTATGTACCAGTGAATCGTGATACATGTCTCGCAACAAGGAAACATTTGGCAAAACATCGCTCTTCGAATCGATACAAAGTTTTACACATTTAGGGTTTTACATTATTATTACACAATATCAAAATACTGGGATACCTTTTAGTGAAACAATACAGTAGACACGCTATAAAACGAATTCGATGTCAGCGCGAGAGAGAAAGACCACGTGCAGCATGCGGACAATTGAAGTCATGACATGTAAGATTGAGCACCCTGTCATCCCCTGCCCCGGTGCGCACCCATCAGCCTGTAACTGCTATAACTGTGGATGCGACTTATCGGCGGAGTCATTTTGGAGCAGACCAGACCAAGTCGTAGATAGTTGTGGGTTGTTTGAATTGTTCATTCACAAAGTTTTAGACATAATCATATTGGACAGTTTGAAGCAGTATTACACATGTGACAGTTAAGCATACATCAGAACCATTTCTGAGCATAATAACGTGAAGATATATACAATGAAGGTTTTACTTCGAATGAAAACGTCATATCTTTCGCTCTTCAAATACAATTTCCGTATATAGTATTGCTAGTATCCTTGTGGACAATCCGCCGCCATTTAACCAGTCAAAAATCAACATAAGCAGATTAAAGGGGTGTTAATATAATTCAACTGTTAAACCTAAGTTTTACAATTCAAATGTAAAACCTCTAGGAATGTCAGACTAGAACGTAGTACCTCTCACAAGGTTACTGTAAGATAGTAAGATACCTACAACACTACAGGCAAATGTGGCAGTGTGTTTATGAGGCGATGAACAGAAGCTTGCGTATTTCCAAATACATAAAACCAGTCCAAAGCCATGGGAGAGTCCTGGACCATGCCTGTGGAATATCTGCCTTTAATTTAATCAAAACCAATCTAGATGTTTAAAATAGGCAAGTCTAGCTAGCTATATTCCATATCAGCATAAGATAAATATTAAGAAGGGTTTAATGTATATACAGGTTTTCAAATTATATTGGCCAAGCAATGGGATTAAACACGCACGCACGAACACACACACACACACACACACACACACACACACACACACACACACACACACACACACACACACACACACACACAAACACTTACGACCCATTAGCGTCCTTACCCCTTAAGTCTCCGATTCCATCCCCATCTGAATCTTTGAATGACCGAGGGTATATCTGGTAGATCACCGACGTCTTCCACCATTGTAGGTCAGTGTGCCCCCGCTTAGCATACAGCATGTACCCTCCAATGGCAGCTAGCACCACGACTAGCTGAACCAACAAAAAAACGGTACTGAAATTTTGTTTTTCATTTTGGACATCTTGTGGTCGTTCCTCACTTCTCGTCTTCAATGCTCCCTTCATGTTGTGTGACGCGAACGAGGACGAATCTCAGAAATGCTAGCGTTTTTCAAAATATGCTCTGCAATGCTGATCGGGAATATTACCGAAAATATATGTCTCACCGACAGCTCGCGATGAACAATGCACTCTCACCCGTTCTGGGTCAAGTCTGTATACATTTCACCTTATCCTCTAGATTCAAGGTAAGGCGATAGCGACCACAAATAACATTAACCTGTTTACGTGTGCATCAAAAGTAACAGTACTCAAGACGCAAAATTTATCAACGATCAATAGGTGTTAATGCATAAAGTCTTCTTTTGAACTGAAATTAATACCTAATAGGAAGTACACGTGTACGCTTTGGAATAGCTACACTATGTAATACGTAAGCCGTCAGCTGATTGGGGCGTTCTTCTTTTTAACCTACCCGAGATATGTGACACCGATGTTGTTTGACGAGCTGGGAGGAAGAGGTTCTCTTGTTGGTCTGCCTTATATATATTCAAGGACATGTGCTCATGGTGTTTGTTCGTGTCATCATATACAAACACTGAACCATTATGACACGCGGGGGTTCGTTCAAGCCGACCTCTAGTCACAAATGAGATTTCGTGATAATGATTTTTTAATCTCGTGATAAGGAAACGGTCTACACTGCAGACAAGGATCTGTATACAGTAACACACGATCCCATAGGTAAATTGTGTGTATACATAGAGTAGCACGAGGTGTCTGAAATTCGGTCGTGTCCTTGAACAGGGGCAGAGTATGTTTTTGTTTATTTGTTTGTTGTTTGAAGCCGCAGTCAGCAATATCCCAGCTACATGACGGCTATCTGTAAATAATCGAGTCTGGGCCAGACTAACCAGTGATTGATATCATGAGCATACGACGACATGCTTCAACCAAGTCAGCGAGCCTGACCACCCGATCCCATTAGTCGCATCTAACGTCAAGCATGGGTGCTAAAGGTCAATTCTAACCAGAATTTACGCGAGTGATTATACAGTGAGTGGGTGAGTGTATGTTTTACGCCGCTATCAGCAATATTCCAGCAATATCACGGCGGGGGACACCAGAAATCGGCTTCACACATTGTACCCACGTCGGGGCTCGAACCTGAGCCTTCGGTGTGACGAGCGAACGCTCTAGCCACTAGGCTACTCTACTGTCCCTAGAGTATACTAAACAATGGGGATAGAGTATATACTGCACCTATTAGCTTAGTGAACGATTTAAAACTTCGATCGTTTTCTTTGAAGATTTAAAGATTTACTGGTATTTGATTGGGCTAAATGTGGACCATATGTTCTTCCTTAAGATATTTTTAAATTAAAGATTTATAAATAAAGATCGTGTTCTTTACATGAGTTCTGTTGAAATGTTATTTCCATCCCTCTTGAGTTGTAAATCGGTCCGAAAGGGAAAAAATGAGTGACTATTTTTTATAATCCAATACGTATGAAAACTAAAAGAACTTGTTTTAGTCTGTCTTAAGACAAGTTGTTTGTCAACTTGAATCGTTCAGTGAGTTAAATTATATAAATTATGTGTAATGTATGATCATACGTTTGCCTTTGAGTAAATGTATGTATATAATTTCTACAGTGAACATGGGCGAGATGGGGTATGTACATAAAAATGAAAAGACCCACAGCATCCCTAATCCAAATCAATAAATTGATGATCATATATTTTATCACGCTTCAGATACAGCAATTTTAACATTGCAGTATATACAGGAAGACACCATTCTACACCCCATGAAGAAACACTCTGGTCATATTGTCTCAGTAAGGGAAAATATTTTGCTGAAGTTGAATTGAATATTTTGTTTGTGTGTGAATTTTATAATCTCCCAAGATAAATACATAACCATCCCATCCATACACTCCTTCATATATTGATTTCATCACAAGATTATGAAATATTGCATAACATAAGTGTATTCCTCTTGAAGGTTAATCTAATAAGAAATACTGTTCCTTAAATTCGTTTTAACACGATTACACATCTACTTCTGTATGTATTAAGTATAAATATATTGTGCAGACGGTTATATATCTGCTGAATTCTTTGATAGGCATCACTTAGAGTGAGTGAGTGAGTTTGGTTTTACGCCGCTTTTAGCAATATTCCAGCAATATCACGGCGGGGGACACCAGAAATGGGCTTCACACATTGTACCCATGTCGGGAATCGAACCCAGGTCTTCGGCGTGACGAGCGAACGCTTTAACCACCAGGCTACCCGACCGCCCGCATCACTTAGAAGTTGACGATGACAAAGGAGACACAATTTATGGATAACAACGTTGTTTAAGAAGTTGTTATCCATAGATTGTGTCTCCTTTGTATATCTCTGCTATTCTATAGTATTTAGGGCCAGTGGCCTTATACTGAATAAAAATATCTGTCTGTCTGTCTGTCTGTATAATTGATGATCAGTTATACAACGTCCGGCTACACTCACAATTATACACACGCCGTTGTTTGTTGACAACGCTTTGTACATGGATTTGAGGTGTAACGGTTGAAACACGTATTGATATCCTGATATTCACGTTGATCGATACAATGGCATGGACTGAACTTGGAATATTCCGATGGCTTAGGATTCCTAAACTATGGCTATCAGTCTATTCACGGTGACATCAGCATCATATTTGCCTGGGGGGCCCAGTCGTCTAAGGGGGCGCAATTCGCTGTGCAGAGTGGAACGCCAGAAGCCTAACGTTGTGGGTTCGAATCCCGATTCGCTGCGATCAGGTTTCTAGGTTTGTAAGAAGTTAGCACCATACCCGTGTACCCGCGTCATGTCGGGCTTACGTCCGTGGTATATATAACCGAAATACTGTTTATTGGTAAAGGCGGGGTAAATCTAAACTACGCTACTCAGATACAGAACAATATACACACACTTTACATCTAAATATTCACATATTTCTTTTCGCACAACCACGGACTGGTTATATAGGTCCGTGGCACAACATACTGATTAAACAATTGAATTGCACATGTTCCCTTAATATACTGTTGAATTCATTCATTAATTCATTCATATGAGAGTATGGAAGCAAACTCTCACGACAAAATCATTTGTGACTTCTGTTTTCATCATTAATAAATTATTTTATCATTTAACTTAAGCATTTATCCATGACATAAGCTTATGACATAAAAACATGTATGTCATACCCCAATGACATAAGTATGCAAATTAGATATGCAAATTAGATAACCGGAAGAGCGAGCGGTTTGATTTGAAACTATATATTGTAAGTGAAGTTACACCAGAGATATAATCAGATTACACAGAATCGTTGTTGTTACCGTTATTAAAGTTTCAATTATTCTGCAAAAGTCTGTTCAAGTATTTTGTTTAAAATAATCCGAGGAACTTTTTTTCTCAGCGAATTGTTTATTTTGGTTTACATGGCTATGGAAAACATGTATCACTACGCACGATCTATACGTAAGATTTCGACAAGTTGCTGATGTTAATGTTTAATGCAATTATTCCTTAATTTGGAAGCAAAAATGTGAAAATGATGAATAGAATTCATCACTCGTGTTTTTTAATATGGGAAATATCAACCTCGTCCCGTTAATCGGTATTTGCCTCGCCAAAGGCTCGGCAAATACCGATTAACTAAGACTCGGTTGATATTTCCCATATTAAAAAACACTCGTGATGAATCCTCTATGTAATGAGCTGACTTGATTTCATCTTCAGACAATCCCACAGTTGCAACGGGAAACCCCCTTTGAAACGGAATTCCCCGACTATTTCCGAATGACCAAAGGAAGTACAAGGGAAGTAACTCTAAATAAAGGACGAAAACAACGCGAAAGCTTACGAAGAACGGTGCAATGACGATGCCACATGTAAGATGTGTTGATATTTATCATTTCACTGTTATGATTGAATACTGACGGTTATTTCTTTCTAAAGTCGTTCAGGAAGACGACTACATAGAGACTCATTTTCATTTATTCCACGGAGGCTTTTTAACTTGGACGTATAATTAGCTTTCAGTTCATGCAAACCGGTACAGACAAACAACTACTTGCCTACTGTAGTTGTTATCAGTGGTCATCGGTGTAGCCTGGTCGCGGGACATCACATAGTCTGTCTTACAGACCCTGATACATTTATATCAACTACAGCCCATGCAAGTTTATAATGTTTGGCAAGTCTAGATTACTGCAGTATCAGGCCTGAAAATGAGGGTATCACTGGGCTCCCTTTTTATTAGATTTTTATTAAGATAACTGAACAACTGTTTTTTCTGTACGATATGTTCATTTCAGAGACTAGATGTAAGTCTAGACATCACATAGCATATTCATGGGATGGTAACAAAATAACACGATGGTTTCAACATGTTCAAGATATTACTGTGTAACTAACAACAAACAATTTCACAGACGAGGACGAAGGACTTCGGCCTCGTCTGCGAGTTTGTTATTATTATTAGTTACATGGTCCTGTGCTTCAATTGAGACCACTTATATAGGTGCGATTATACAATCTGTTTGCCACCAAATAGTATTATAACAACTAGATATATTTCAACAAATATTATTCTGTTTTGGAAAAGATGTATGTTTGCATACCTCTTCGTTGTTTATGGTTGGTTGGGTTAGGGTAGATTACCACAACTCTTTCCTTGGATCCTTGAATAAATATAGCGGCTACATTTTATATGACCTTATTGCCTTATCAGTTAATAAGATTTTTGTGATTTATCTTTCATTTGACTTGGTTCCGAGATTCGGGTTAGACTTGATGTTTAGTGACCCATGTAATCATGATGTCAGTCATTGGATTGTCTTGTCCAGACTCGGTTGTTTACAGACCACTGTCGTATAACTTGAATATTGCTGAGTGTTGCGTTAAACAACAGATACACAAACAAACAAATTATTATTATTTTATCATTTCTGATTAATAGAGATGATATTTCCAAGGAAATAAGTCTGCATACAATATGTGTTACTGATTCAGTGTGTTGCTGATTCAGTGTGTTGCTGATTCAGTGTGTTGCTTGCAGATGTAAGCAATGGCCGACAAGGAGGACCAGGAAGATGAGCTGACAGCCCTGACCAGTATCTATGACGACAGCGTTTTGACACTCTCCCAGGACGGGGAAGAGCCAGGGGGCCAGTTTGTGGCCTGCTTCCCCCTCCCCGATCCATTCTACATCCAGATAGATCCCCACAGAGAAAAACAGCAAGATGAAGGTTTGTTGGGGCAGTTTCAGCCTCCTTTTCATCAATTTCTATCAAAGGAATTCATCATTAATTTTCCAAAAATATTTCTAATGGCAGATAATAAAGTAAAATGTAATTACCATGATTACTCAAATTTTTTTAGTTATCTGGTTTATCTTGCCCAGATTAAATTCCTAACAGGCTGTCGTGATATTGCATAATTATTGATAACTGTGGTCCTGGATTTACCGAGGATTCAAAACAAAGTGCTCTTGGTACATGTTGTAAGCAAAGTGGGGGAAATGTTACTTCAAATTTTTCTGAGGTATTTTAATTATTGTATGTGCACTAATATTAAATGAAGCATCTTCCTTTTATTGGTCTACTTACACTCAGTGCAATAGAAGCTGTCTTGATGAAGCCTTCATATTAGCTCTAACTGTACTGACATGAACTGAGAAGTTATTAATTCACATGTGGGAATTTGTACTGCCATTTGATGCCCACTTGGGCCTTATATACCCTCTGAGCAGATCTAGATACAGTTTTTGTTGGGTATGTAGAGGATATGTATCGAGTTTGTGAGTGGGTGAGGAGAAGATATTTACATGAGTGACGTAGCCAAGAGTGAAAATATCCCCTTTCCCCCGTCACATATTTATTATATACATTTTGTGTAGTTGTTTACCTGAAAACTGTTTTTTTTCTCATTACAAATGTAAAACCTTGAGAGACATTTCGAGGGAGTTTGCAAAATCTTAAATAATATAGACAAAAGTAATAATAAATATTTGACGTCGCCAAAATTCTTTGTCATACATTTGTATGTGATGATATAGAACATCAACCTCATCATAAAATATTCTTGAAATGTCTGTTGGAAGCTAAGGAATACATGCTGGTTAAGTAACAAAAATGGCGCTTTGTGAAACAAAGATTCTCAATTGACAAGGTAAATAAGAAATTTACAGTTATGGTGAAACAGTGTCAGGAGATAAACAAACGGCAAGAAGTGACACTAACTCCATAAATGACCGTCTGTCAATATTTTTGCCTTGTCAACTAACAAGGAACTAACGTGTAAAGGCAGTCAACAGTTTGTGTACGGGCCAGACACTTATGATAAATGAAGACAATTTGTTGGGAGATAAGTCTTGTATGCCAGTTGTTCCGTCTAAGTGTTTTGTTCATTGCTGTGAAATATTAAGTGTTCTGTTCTGTGAATACCAAGTGTACATGTCATTACCATTAATTGATTGCATTTTTTAAGTTTGAATTTCATGATTTACATTTCAGCGAATTCAAACAATGTGACACAAGATTTAACAGAAGTGAAGTTTCTACCGCCAGTGACCTTGAACTTTGCCCTGCCCCCCGACTACCCGTCCGTCCAACCCCCACAGTTCACACTGTCGTGTAAGTGGCTCACAAGGCACCAGGTGAGTCATTCCCTGATTTCAGTAGTTGATCATTTTGCAGATACAGGTGTGTTTAATTTTGCATTGCAGAACATTCACAAGCTGCTTATTTCGGAATTGTTTTGTACGGTTACTTATTCCAAGGGAGTTGCCTGTGTTAGTGTGTTTATGTTTTAATTGTTAAAGTGACATACGCGATATGGATTCAAGGTTAGTATTAGTCGCCAAAAACCTGTGCTTGTTGCCCTCATGGTGAGAGGAACTGTTTGTTTGTTTAACTTTAAGGATCCTACCCATGTTTGTTTGATTGTATGATTGATTGTATGTTTGTTTTAGGAGCCTAGCCCATGTTTGTTTGTTTGTTTAAGGAGCTTATCACATGCTTGTTTGTGTGTTGAAAGAGCATATCCCATGTTTGTTTGTTTGTTTGTTTAAGGAACTTATCCCATGCTTGTTTGTTTGTTTGTTGAAGGAGCATATCCCATGTTTGTTTGTTTGTTGTTTAAGGAGCTTATCCCATGCTTGTTTGTTTGTTTGTTTGTTGAAGGAGCATATCCCATGTTTGTTTGTTTGTTGTTTAAGGAGCTTATCCCATGCTTGTTTGTTTGTTGGAGGAGCGTATCCCATGTTTGTTTGTTTGTTGTTTAAGGAGCTTATCCCATGCTTGTTTGTTTGTTTGTTTGTTGAAGGAGCTTATCCCATGTTTGTTTGTTTGTTGTTTAAGGAGCTTATCCCATGCTTGTTTGTTTGTTTGTTGAAGGAGCATATCCCATGTTTGTTTGTTTGTTTGTTTGTTTGTTTGTTGAAGGAGCTTATCCCATGTTTGTTTGTTGTTTAAGGAGCTTATCCCATGCTTGTTTGTTTGTTTGTTGGAGGAGCATATCCCATGTTTGTTTGTTTGTTGTTTAAGGAGCTTATCCCATGTTTGTTTGTTTGTTGTTTAAGGAGCTTATCCCATGCTTGTTTGTTTGTTTGTTTGTTGAAGGAGCATATCCCATGTTTGTTTGTTTGTTGTTTAAGGAGCCTACCCCATGTTTGTTTGTTTGTTTATTTGTTTGCAAGAGGCAACTATATGGATCGTGTGGTGAGGTTTGGTTATTATCTTACCCCCACAGCATGGATTGTTCCTCACAATATCAATCGATGGATTGTCTGGTGCAGAAACGATTATGTCATACAGTTTGAATGTTGCAGCATTAAAGAAGAAACAAATACATCATTATAATAATAATATTGTCCTTTCCCTAGCTGTCACGTCTGTGTCACAAGCTTGATGAACTCTGGGAAGAAAACTCAGGATGTGTGATTCTGTTCATGTGGACCAACTTCCTCCAGAGTGAAGCGTATGATTTCCTGGATCTCTCATCTCCGCTAGATCTGTCCAATGTTGTGTGCCTCCGAAGGACTAGCAAGAGTGATAATGTCCTCACCCCCAGGACTAACCCAAGCGAGGACACGCCCTCCAGCTCTGACCCCCGTGGTATTCAGGACATCGCGTCCCAGCAGTTGCTGTTGCCGGCGATCCGAGACTTCAGTCACCAGGAGCAGCTGCGACAGTTCCAGAAGTCGGTGTATTCCTGTAAGGTGTGCTTCATGGAGAAGCTGGGGTCCCTGTGTATTCAGTTCATCCAGTGTGACCATGTGTACTGCAAGGATTGTATGAAGGACTACTTTGTGATACAGATCGGGGAGGGGAACGTGGCCGCCCTCACCTGCCCCGAGGACCAGTGTCAGTCACAGGCACATCCTGCTCAGGTGGGTTGGGCACGGTTTTGCACAATGCACAAATTTGCATCCAGTACACACAAATGTAGAGAATGGATGCAGAAAAAGAATATAAGATGTACTGCATCTTAGGGACGCACAATAATATTCACTGTACCTACAATGCTTCAAGAGCAGTTGTGGGTGTCTGTTATTTCATCAGGCCTCAAAGTTTAAATTTTTAAGTATTTTTTTCCTGGTAGCCAGTGGTAAAATTAAGAAGTCAAGCCAATAGTGTAGGTAGCCAAAATTATCATTTATCAAATAACTATTATATGTACAAGTCACAGCATTAGCATGATTAGTCTTGGAATTGAATATATTAGTGGAAACTGTACTTGAGTTTTGACAGTAGCCAATTTGAAATTTAGGTCGCATTGGCGACCGTTTAAGTCACAACTTTGAGGCCTGAATTCATCGATAAATCATAACCACTGTCCACATGATTGTTGGTTCATTCTAGGCTCTAAAGTAATAATAATACATAATAATAATAATAACCGCATTATCGGTGGTTTGAGAAGGAAGCCAACTCCGTTTGCCTAATCGAAAGTTCGAGGTGGGCTCACATTCGAAACTAAACGCACTTGTTGTTGAGAATATGTACAGTGTAAACTAACCCGCATTACGAACTGCTATTTTGTCTATTTAAAATAAGTATTATTACTTATAATTGGATTAGAATGTACAAACGCGATGACAATACAGCAGAACTCACTTCTACGAACATCGCCAAACTAGGTCGCGGGGTCATTAATATTCATGAGTTATTCCTTTTATGGAACATGTTCTCGGAAAAGTTTGAGGCTTGTATCATGACTGTCATGTCCGAGATCAATTCAAGTGTAGACATGTTTCAAGCGGCAAACTTATCATCAGATTGATGTGTTATACTTGAAAAAGTAGAATGAGTGGTATTGCCTCTGTAAATTTAAATTGAAGTAGATCTAAGTTTCTTGCTTTGTAACTATTTTTGCAAAACTAGTGTGGTCAGCTATGATGACGTTATTCAAACTTCAAAGACTTTGTGTGCATTTATAAAGATATTTCCCATCAATATTACAAAATGAGAATAATATATAATGTCACATACCCATGCAAATGTGAGCCCACTAGTCTAAATGACTCAGTCAACCCAATGAAGCCCAGCGATTTACAAATGTGGGCCCACCTGTTTCGATCACTATAAGACGGGAACAATGTGGGCTTACATTTTAGAAAATGGTTATAAGTAAGCCAGGCTAATGAAGCTTAGCGATTTATAAATGTGGTCCCTCCTGTTGCAATCACTATGACGGAAGAACGTCTTCCTACTAGGAGATATACAAATGTGGGCCCACTTGTTTCGATCACCATATATGACGGGAACAATGTGGGCCCACATTTGAGAAAATGGTTATCAGCACGGTTATCCATCCGTACACTACACAATTTCATATTGCCTGCAAGGACCCTTAAAATATATTATTGGGGATCCCCTGGACCCCCATTTGTGAAGGCATGTCAGAACCTGGTGTGACTGTAGGCTCGGTTTTGGTGATTGATTGGTTGAGGGAGAGATGCCAACAATAGGTTTATAAAGTCAGTTAACTCCCTTGTCGCGGGGGGATGCATCTCCTGTGGAAGCCAGATTGAATGACAAAATTCCTCTCTCTGTCACAAAGGTAAAGGAGCTGGTTTCCCCTGAACTGTTCACTCGCTACGATCAGCTGCTCCTGAAGACGTCCTTGGAGACGATGACAGACGTGGTGTACTGTCCCCGCCCCGTCTGTCAGTTCCCCGTCATCATGGACCGGGAGAGCAACATGGCGTCCTGCCCCTCGTGTCATTACGTCTTCTGTGTTCTGTGCAAGCTGGTCTTCCATGGACTGTCACCCTGCAAGATCAAGTCAGGTGAGTCCAGAACTGGTACTGGTAACCTGGTAACGGGGGGTATACCATGTATACCCTGGAATGCAGCCCCTTACCTAATTATACCCCAACCTTTTAGGTTGGGGGTATATAGTTATACCAAGGTTCCGTCCGTCTGTCCGTCCGAAAACTTTGTCCACAAGATTTCTCTTAAACTATTCAGTGGATTCTTCTCAAACTAAGTGCATATAATCTGTGTCATATGGAGGGGTGCAGTCAACATGGTCAAAAGAAAAAAAATGTTTTTATTCATTTTCCATTTTTTATGAATTTTTCATGACTAAACATGCTAAAGCAGAGATGACACCGAAAAGGTTGAAGTTGGGGGTATTAGTAAGCTCTGCTTACTTTTTCACTTTTTCAGTTATTTCACTGAAACTAGATATTTCCAGGTGAGCTACAGGGCCACGCTTGGCACTATTTTTAAGCTATTTAATTTGAAACTACTGACACACTAGGCAGGTCGGGGGTATTAGTGAGCCACACTCACTTTTGCCCTTGTTTAATGTTGTGTAACATGTCCAGGGGAACCATCACTTCAGGCTTTCCTCCCACATCAAGCTGACACACCGTGATATAACTGGAGTACTATTCAAAGCAGCTTTAAACCCAATTCACTCACTAAGTGAAGCTTTTAATTTATGTTATTGGGCTACATAGAAACAGGCAATTTGACAAAAAAGATACTTAACTATACTTTTTGCTCACTGTAAATGCACCAGCTTATGAAACATAATGAAGGCATGGCGCTTATTTAGTTTCCATATGGATTCAAGCTTTGGTCACTTGATTGGGTAGCCCAGTGGTTAAAGGGTTAGCTCGTCACACTGAAGATCCTGGTTTGATTCCCGACATGGGTGCAATGTGTGAAGCTATTTCTGGTGTCCCCCCACCGTGATATTGCTGTAATATTGCTAAAAGCAGGGTAAAACAATACTCACTCACTCACTCACTCACATACTCACTCACTCACTCACTCACTCACTCACTCACTCACTCACTCACTCACTCAGATGAACAATAAAATCAGTAATAATATCTTCTATCGCTAGAACTTGTAAATTTGTTTCAGTCTCCCTAATGGTTTTTAACTAATGGTCTCTGAGCGTGCACATTCTTATGTCACTTGTGGTATAGTAAGGTATACAACTTTTGACTTGTCTCTGGGACCCAAATTTTGTAGCTTGTGATCCACAGTTTTTACACCCTGGACCCGTACAATTAAAAGCTGTGAGACCCATAGACACCAATACTAAAATATTTATTCCTCTGTTGGTCCACCTCGATGGCCTAGTGGTAGAGCTTCTGCCCAGAGAGCAGAATGTCGGGGGTTCAATCCCCGTCCATGTCATACCAAAAGACGTTAAAAGATGGTACTTGTTGTTACCCTGTCTGGCACTCGGCATTAAGGGGCTAAAACAAGGACTGGTCGGCTCAGAGTCAGTATACTGTCTGTTTAGGGTTTTTGTTAAACTGCGGCATGGTATCTCAGTGGGCTAGGACTATAATATCGGCCATTTAGTCCAGACTAGTACAAGCACACACACGTGCATGCACGTCGCTATAATCTTGAACGATACATTAAACCCCATTTCACTTCACCACCTAGTTCCTGTATTGATGAGGATATGTTCTTCTTGGCTTGATGGTAACCATGGTAACCTGACTTTAACTGGACCAAAAAAGAAGTAGCGGTACAGGACTTAATGCTTCATTTTACAATATTGACCTGATGCAGCGAAGAACTTTAAAAAGATCTCAACTTTGAAGAACTTAATGATTTTCCCCAGTCCGTGTGCCAGGGGCACTTTGTTAGAATCCTACATATATCCCTGTGGGAATTGGGGATCAAACGAAAGGTAATGTACCAGCATGCATTGTATTGTCAGGAAAATGAATTTTTACACCCCAATGTCAAGCAGTGTTTGATGGCCTTCACTGTCTTTTAGTTACTTAAACCTCTTCAACAGTACGTTACTGATCAGTGAAGCGTGATCTAAACCGAGAGGTTTTGACAGGTTTGGTTCAGATACCAGATCTTTAGATACAGTATTAATTGCAAGCTTGTTGCAGATGAGTTGAAGAAGTTACGAGAGGAATATCAAGCAGCTGATGAAATGGGGAAGAAGTTCCTGGAGAAGAAGTATGGGAAGAGAACAATCGAGCAGGCCCTGGAGGAGACGTGGTCCAGCGAGTGGCTCGAGCAGTACGCCAAACAGTGTCCTTCTTGTGGTACACACATACAGGTGAGCAGTACACCAAACAGTGTCCTCCTTGTAGAACACATACAGGTGAGCAGTACACCAAACAGTGTCCTCCTTGTGGTACACACATACAGGTGAGCAGAACACCAAACAGTGTCCTCCTTGTAGAACACATACAGGTGAGCAGAACACCAAACAGTGTCCTTGTTGCACACACACACACAGGTGAGCAGAACGCCAAACAGTGTCCTCCTTGTTGCACACACATACAGGTGAGCAGTATGCCAAACAGTGTCCTCCTTGTTGCACACACATACAGGTGAGCAGTATGCCAAACAGTGTCCTCCTTGTTGCACACACATACAGGTGAGCAGAATGCCAAACAGTGTCCTTCTTGTTGCACACACATACAGGTGAGCAGTATGCCAAACAGTGTCCTTCTTGTTGCACACACATACAGGTGAGCAGTATGCCAAACAGTGTCCTTCTTGTTGCACACACATACAGGTGAGAAGTACGCCAAACAGTTTCCTCCTTGTAGAACACATACCGGTGAGGAGAACGCCAAACAGTGTCCTCCTTGTTGCACACACATACAGTTGAGAAGTCAACAGACAGTGTACTTCTTGTGGCACACTCATACAGGTGAGCAGTATGCCAAACAGTGTCCTTCTTGTGGCACACACATACAGGTGAGCAGAACACCAAACAGTGTCCTCCTTGTAGAACACATACAGGTGAGGAGAACGCCAAATAGTGTCCTTTTTGTAGTTCACACATACAGCTGAGAAATACACCGAACAGTGTCACACGGATTTATGAGGATTTATACAGAATGCACTCTGGTTTTCACGCATATATCTTGATGAACACAAAAACATATTATAGTCATTCATAGCCTTTCAGCATGTTTAGAATAAAGGAATGGTGCTTTAGGTGCTTGAGCAGTATATTTGTGTACATAGATATACTCGAAAATATGGCAAGGAGAGAAAGTGGGCAGCAAAGCTACTTTGAAAGCCGACCCTGAAGAAGTAAGCCTTGCAAGGTTTAGTTCTACACCGCCTGTTGCTATTATGACCGTAAACATCCAATTAATATGAAAAATACTCATAACGGATACAATTTTCTAACAAGAAGGATAAATAATTCACAACATATGACTTTAGCTCTGAAGGTATCTGTGGAGCAGCAGTGTTAAAGCAGTTTGTTTAGGTCTGTTTCCTCGTTTGCAGAAAATCGATGGTTGTAACAAGATGACGTGTACCAAGTGTCGGTGTTATTTCTGCTGGCTGTGTAACCACACCCTGTCCAGGACTAATCCCTACAGCCACTTCAACATGTCCAACAACTCCTGCTTCAACAGACTCTTCGAAGGGATGGGGCCAATGGATGGGGACTTCTTTGATTTTGAAGAAGAAGAGGACTTCTTAAATCTTATCTGAAGCTTTCATTTGGTACTGCTAATAATTATGGTGTTTGAACAGAAATCTGTGCATTATAGCAATTATTTCCTTGGTTGTTTATCAGGATTTATTCCTTATTGTTTATAGCGACATTGCTCAATTGCTAAAATTTCCAATATGCCAAGAGACATGAAACAATGTGAAAAAATGAAAATAGTTTTTGGGGTTGATTTATATAACGTCTCAAAAATTATCTCAAAATATTATGTTTAACAAAAATATAAACAAAACAATGTCATGAGTACTAGTAATTCTTTACATTCAAACACAGAATTTAGTTTTTTCAATTTATTTAATTAATTTAAGGTTGACTAGTCTTTTAGACAGTAAATTAGTGTGGCTTGGCTGTTGTTGTAATTTACAGACAAGGAAGGTAGTCATTGTTGTCATTTTGTAATAAGAAATTCATGAAGATTAGGAATCGGCAGTGTACATGTATATTGTTCTGTGCATCTTCCAAAAGGTCACTCTTGGCAGTTGGTAAGAAAATTATTCAAATCACACATCAGCTGACCAAAATGTTTTGCTGACTTTATGGCACATAAAACTCAAGCATTCTGTGCATTTATCACAATTGTGCTGAGTATCAGTTAGCTTTCAAAGATCGACATGCTCTGCATGTGTGATGCTGGGACTATGAATGACTTTGAGTTTGAATTATCCGTGTTTTGAGTCTTGCACATTTCCCATGGTTCAGTGACTGTCATCAAGTAGTGGTTGTCTCCCTTTGTTAACCGGGACATTTTAAATAACCACTTGAAACGAGTGACTGTCATGAGGTTAGATTGAGTTTGACTGAAGTAGTTGTCTCCCTTTGTTAACAGGGACATTTTAAATAACCACTTGAAATGAGTGACTGTCATGAGGTTAGATTGAGTTTGACTGAAGTAGTTGTCTCCCTTTGTTAACAGGGACATTTTAAATAACCTCTTGAAATGAGTAACTTTCATGAGGTTAGATGTGTGTGTGAAGTAGTGGTTGTCTCCCTTTGTTAACAGGGACATTTTAAATAACCACTTGAAATGAATGAGTTGAAACCTGGCAATTGGAGTCAGAAGTGATATTGGGTGCATTAATGCCAGTTATTTTGCCATGACTTAGGGAGCCCATTTTATGTTAAAGGCATTTATATGTTCAGCAAGATTATATAAGAAGTATGACTGCTCAGACCTACGTGGGGATTCCGGTTACAACTGGTCCCGAGAAACTATCCTAGTCGTAATAGGCGCCCAAATGGATGGGATGGTCAGGCTCAGTAACTTGGTTGAACGGGTTTCATCGTACCCAATGACATGGGTCATTTTACACAATATCAATCAATGGACTGCCTGGTCCAGATTCGATTATTTGCAGACCGATATCATATAACTTGATATTGCTCAGTGCTGTGTTGAAAGACAGATGTCATCCTCAGAGAAAAAATAGCTGATTCTATGATATATTTTCAGTTTCATCCCTGATGCTTTCATGTATAGAAACACATTTCCCTGGGACTGGAAACACTGCAGATGCTTTTTAGTACAGTGCTGGTCTCATGGTTTTGGAATGTGTGTCTAACAGATTTTTATTCAGTAGGATTTATGTTGAATCAGGTATCTAGTATTGAGACTTCAGAGTCAGGTGTTTCAATCTGTTTTGGTAATTAATACCTTCTTAAGTTTAAGATGCTCCACTGTGTGTTAACATTAAATAAAAAAAACTGACAGTGACTTACTAGTCCTGTAGCAAAAGCTTTGTGTTTTAAAACAAATTGTTAAAAATTATGTGAATAAATATTGCCCTTGCAATATTTAGTTTCTACTTGAATATTTACATCTTGTGCCCGGAATTGTTTATCCATTCTTGCTGAATTTATGCATTTATCAAGTTGACATGAAAAGGGATTGTTTATGTGTATTGTTTTGTCATCATGAAGATGCTTATGTGTGTACTGCTATTGACATGTCTTTCAAGTTTTGTGTACAAGAGAGAAGCGATGAGTTTGTCTACCCCAGGTATTTCAGAATCCACTGAAGATTATTAGCCATGTCTTGTTGACCTTGGACGGCATGAGTGGCCTAGGTGTCTATGGTGCTGCAATTTGCTGTGCACAGTTGTGTCCCCTTCCAAAAGCTAGGATCATGGATTCGAATCCCAGTTTGCTTCGATTATGTTTTCGTGTTTGTCTGCATCAGGGCCGTACATGTGGGTTTCACCAAAGTGTTATTTTCTAGAACCTGCATCACTTTGGGATTTCCTCTCACATCAAGCTGACATGCGGTGATATAAACTGGAATATTGTTCAAACCGGCCTTAAACCCATCTTCCCGAGGCAAGGGATTTAACTGACTGTAAAAGTCCAGTTTCCACTTTTGTAGAGGCTGGAATTATGGAGTTATATTTTGGCTGGACTAATGAGTCTATGCATAGTCCAATCCAAATCACATAACGAAGTCAACATCCAGTTCATAAACTGCTGTGCAGATTTTGGTCGATAGCAGGATTTGCAAATCATGTGCACTGTCAACTGAGCATCAACAAATATTTTCCAAATCCTTTCATGATTTGATGCACTTTGCGAAGAAAGACCCCTTTTATAACATTATAGATCTTGATTATGGGTCGCCGCCATTTTGCTTAAAGCAAATACAAGTGATATGAAAGGTGGAATCTGATTGGTCAGTAGGATGGACACGAACCCAGAAATTCCAGCATAGTTCAGCAAGGGTTGAAACTCGACTTTTGTAGTCAGTTTGCTCCCTTGCTTGGAGAAGATGCCTTAAACAGTCTCCATCTTATTATAATAATGTGTAGAACTAGTTTGTCACATTACCTTCATCAAGCAGAAAAACAAAATGGAACCAAAAAACAGGATTTGAAACATCATTTCCAAAAAGTTCGGAACACACCAAGATATTTCCCGGACTTTTTTATATTATTTTCATAGTTGATGATGGAAATAGGGCCTTCATCCAGCCTACAGCCTCGTTGTTTTAATCTTTTAGCAGCATGATTGAACGAGAAAGGCCTCATCGTGAATGTATATATGTGAAATGAGTTACCATGGTAACTATGAATTGTATCTATCAACCATGTCTTTTACAAAATGTGGTGTCTTCATTTTACTAAAATTTGTTACCTACTGAATGACCCTGGAAGGTAGTTCTAGTTTAGTTATCATTTGTTTCTGTTGGAGATGTTCGGATGTTAAAGTGTATGTTCTTCTTGATGTGGTGAAACCCAGCTAGTCCCAACCTGCTGTGCCAGAAATCACACCTTCCCGATGGGAACTCCTGAATTATTAAGTGATTTCCTATATTATATATGTTACAGTCAATGTGTAAAATAAACAAAAAAAACAATGTGTAAAATGATTGAAATTTTCACATAGGCAATTTTCAAAATGCCAAAATATTTCAGTCACTTTTAATTTATTTTCATTTTATTTATCAATATAAGATAGCTATGCGATAAATCGCAAAGAACAATGAAAAACGAAGTATGGTTTATTTTACGATAAAACATTGTTGTATCATGAGATGATTTCTGGAGATTCGAACATGCACTCGCAACTTGAAGAGGTATATTGGATGACGTTATTTTTGAGAGGGGAATGTCTAGTGAGTTGTTCCCAATAGATGGAGGCGGAAACAGATAAAGCAGTGGCCGTACTATCACATCCAAAAGTGGGAGAGATACGAAAATCGGTATTTGGAGAGAAGGTACAGGTAATCGAGGTGAGGAATATCCTGGAAATACCAACCTGTGCATAAAATGGAGGTCGGATTCTATTGAGGGAGTCATTATTTAAATATGTGTAAATAGTTTTAAAGATTGTATATTTTATCATCACCCTTAAAGAGGCTGTACATAATGTTGATATCTCATATAAGAAACGACTGAAGCCCTCATGGTTTATTCTCCCTGCAGTGTTTTATTGTACGCTTATGGATAAACAACTCCCGCTCTTCTATTTCTGAAATATATCTTGATAACGGCTTCCAAACATTTTTTATGGTCTATTTCATCACCTAGTGACTTAAAATGATGCGATTAAAAGAAAACGAAAGACAATGTCTATTTTGTTTTGATATTGTGGCTGGCTTATAGTCCCAGAATAATCGTCTATTTTGATGCTTTTAAGCCGTTTTTAACTTCTTCATAACTCTTAGTCAAAAGACTGCCTGAAAAATAATGGTAAAATATTACTTAATACTTAAATATTTAGGCATTTTGTAAATTGCCTCAGTGAAAATTTCACTTATTTCACATATTGACTGTAACATATACAATAAATAAGTATTGCACAGACAAAATGTATTTCTAATATTACCTTAGTTTGTTGATCAAGAAATGTGTTAATCAGGTCGATAGGGACGAGGGTGCCAACCAATAACCTCTAGGCGTCCGGCATACCATTTAATTGGATGTGTCTTATCAGTGTACAGCTGGTGGGTAAGTTAGACATAGAATGCATGAACATGCATGCTCTCACTCTTTGCAAGAAAAAAGATGCAAATTATTTTTTACATTGGCATCTGCGTTGCAGATACACATTACATTCGGCATACTGCACTGCCAACAGGCTCGGCATCTGGCGTACTGGAAGGGCTTGGCACCCTCAAGGAACACTTCCAGATTGGCATTGTTTCTTTGTGAGCTGGTGTATGTATCTCCTTAATTGTACATTTGTGATCTTCCATGCTGGTCATAGAACATTCTTGCAATCATGGGAGCTTACTCATTCCTGTTGGTGTTGTGTTCGTTTCTTTACACAATAGAATAAAATATTAGAACAAAAGGAATATATTTGTTAAAATTGTGTTCACTGCTTTACACAATAGAATAAAAGGAATCTTTTTGTTAAAATCGTGTTCACTACTTTACACAATAGAATAAAGGAATCTATTTGTTAACATTGTGTTCGCTACTTAATACAATAGAATAACACAATTGAATAAAAGGAATCTATTTGTGAAGTTATTTTCTTTCAGTGGTTGTCATGTGTATGGTAATCAGTTTGTCTCCCTCCAACAATGCAAGGTGAATATAAAGATTACTGCACGAGTGTTTATCAGATACCTTTTACCTCACGAGTTGTTTCAAAACGAGCAAAATCGTCATTAATTTAACCCAATCTTTCGCTTTAATTTTAAAACGAGTTGTAAGATAAATGGTGCAGTAATTTATTTATTTCCCACCCTAAAATCGCACCATTTTAACAACTGTCAATTATATTAATTCTTATGATCGCAATGGCATATTAACTGCTTACTACTCATACCTAGTGTGACCCTCCAAACAAAAGTTTCCGACACATCTGTGGATTATCAAGGCGATGATGAAAATGCAAATTAAATAAGATCAAAGAACATTTATTAACACACTAAACCCATAATGTTTCCACACAGACGTGACCCGTGACGATTCCGGGGTAGAATACACAGACGTAGGCCTTGGTGAATTCGACTGAATCACGAAAAACTTATCAATGGATTTCAATCAGGAAAATAGTACGTCATCATGGTCATAGTCTGACCTTAGGTCATCACCATGGAGTAGCCAATCACGGACCTAGTGTTTGATCTCACACGTTTGACAGTGGCGGATCCAAGGGGGCGGGTGTCGAGGGGGTCTGAGGGAGGACCCCTCTCTTTTAACAATGCTGGATCCGCCCTTGTGTTTGATACCAGTTATCTCAAATGGGTTTCTCAACAGGTGTGTAACAAAAGAAGGTTTAGAACGGGTCGCTTGGATAATCCTGATCCTGTTCAGAAAGTGTCAGGAGTGAGTGAGTTGGGTTTAACGCCGCTTTTAACAGTATTCCAGTTATATCACGACCTGTAAGCTTAATGTGGGAGGAAAGCCCGAAGGGATGCAGGTCTCAGACGTTTACCACTTCGGTGAAAGAAAGTATGTCAGGATGGCCGAGTCGTCCGAGTTACTTAAAAAGCCGATATTAACTGCTGGAGGTATATGACGGTTTACTGCATTGCCTACAGCCGAAAACGATTCGCACAGGATCATTATGTCCTGTTCCAGTTGGTTTGAGAAGGATTGAATTCCAAACCATTGTGTTTCGCAGTGCTTACTAAACCATGTTAGCTATGAAATTATGTAAATGTGTATGGCAGAAGTTGATGCCAGTGAGCGCCCACGTGCCCCGACAGAGAATGAGAAGGATCCGGCGTGTGGCCAGTTATCAAAGACGCAACAGTTTGCTGTGTTTTGTTTTGTTGTTTAACACCGCACTCAGCTACAAGACGATGGGCTGTAAATATCGAGTCCGTACTAGACAATCTAGTTATTCCATCACGAGATACGATGCACCAAGCAAAGTCAGCGAGTCTGACCACCCATCAAGCTTTGTTTGCTGAAGACCAATTGTAACCCGGATCTTCATGGGCATTGCTGTGTAGATATGAGTTCTTCAGGTGTATAAGGTCATCTTCGAATCACAGATTTGCGAAATTATGATCGTGGTTTCATCAAAGTGGTGCATATTTTACGACCAACGTCACTTAGCTCTCTCTCACATATGATGTTTGAAAGGCATTAATTATTTAACATTTTATTTTCAAAATAAAAAAACTAATACTTACAATTAAATTTGTTAAAAACAACTGTTTAACACCACATCCAGCAATGTTTCAGCTACATAACGGCGGTCATTAATCAATTCTGGACCACACAATCTGGTGATTGGTATGAGCAACGATATACGGGGTCCGGGCACGATGACAGGCCATCAACCAAGTCACGACCACCCGATCCATTAAGGCGCAACTTACGACCAGCATAGGTTGCTGGGGGACCTGTCATAACCAAGACTCCCCACGGTCCGTCAGTTGTAAGAAACTGGGTCCACTTGCACAAAGCGATCTTAGCGCTCAGATGATCGTAACTCCCATACCTAAACGTAGGCTTACAATAGTCGTAGTGCATTGTGCAAGTGGGCCCTGCAGGTAACAATCACATATCCGTTTGAAAGTTTGCGTCCGATGTTTGTAAGGACATGCAGAGTCCTTGACATACGAAACACCCTGGGGGCCTTAAAAAAGTACTTCAATTCAGAATGTCAGAAAATAATGATTTCGACGCCGGGGCTCCGTTCCACAAAGAGATTTTAGTGGTGAGATGATCGTAACTTCCAGACAATCGTAGCGTTATGGTCGCTTAGCGGAACGGGGCCAAGGGCAATAATGCCTATAATTATGTACATCAAGATATCGTGGGATTGATACAAAATGGTCAGAAACACTAGTTGGCTTCCAACACATCAGAAAACCTCAGATATCCCAGGAATGCAGCTGGTAGCCTTGACTCAAGTCTCTAATGTTGAGGTCAATGTTGACCGGAATACACTGGCGAATCTTTATCCTGCACAGAGATGTCAGCCTGAGCGGTGTGGAGCTACACTCGTGGATGAAGGCTAAAAACTCCACCTTCCCCATGTCTGACAGATCGGATTCTTCTACAGCTACACTGAATACCCTCGCAGACTCCTCGTCCATCTCGAACCCAGCCATCACCATGAGTTTTAAACACTTGAGGTAGTGAGGCTCTTGTTCCAACGTTATGGACGGGAAGACTCTCCACAACGACCTCCAGCCGTCACATTCAGGGTAAACTCCACAGGCTAACAATAAGTGTATGGTTCTGACATTCACGCTGCCACAAGCATACTGTAAGCAATTGAACCCAGCACCATTTACCATGCTGACATTAGCTCCGAATTTTAGAATAACCTCAACACTTTTCCAAGAGTCAGGTTTGTCCATTCCACAAGCAACCTGAATAGCGGGTATTAAAGAGAAACTTGAACACATCCGGGATACGTCTACGTTCAAGTCCTTTCTCGTCGTCAAGAGGCGCAGTCTTGACGTCAACCCAGCATCATTAACGCAATCTTTGAAGACCGTGTACAAGAGACCTACACCTTCTGGGTTGTTACTGGCAATACAGTTGTAAAGACAGACACCGAACAGCACGGTTGGGTCTGATCCAGCTACCAGCAATAATCGGATCAGCTCGGGCTTAGTACATGTTGTTGCCTTCACTAATGGCGAGATGTAGTTCATATTTTGGTGATTGACATCCGCGCCGGCTTCAATCAAGAGACGAGCTACAGTCACGTGTCCCTTTCCACATGCATGCATGAGGGGTGTGTTCCCATCCTCATCCCAGACATCGACATCACAGCCCTCGTGGAGGAGACACTGTACAAGGTCTGCCGACCCGGATCTACTTGCTTGGATCAACGGCCAGTACATAACAGGCATGCGGAGGTTGCTTGGGACGGGTCGTGATATGTTACAAACTTCTACCCCGTGGTATAAGAACATGTTCGCTATGTAAGCGTCACCTAACATACACGCTGTTGTGAAGGGAACCACGTAATCCACCCTCTCTCGGCTCGTGTATGCCTCTAGGTGGCGGCGGACAGCATCGTGGTCCCTGCGTTTCACCGCTTCAGTCAGAGCAGCGTGTTGAAGAGACCTCACAGTCCCCCAGGTGCCAGGTCTTTGGTCATAATCCGTCATCACCTCCATGTAATCGGTGGGTCTCGGTAACATCCTGAAAAAAAGAAATCACGAAAATTATGTTTCTGCATTTCAATAATTAGACCCCCGTAAAGATCCGGGTTAATTGGTCTTCAGCAACCGATTGCTTGGCGTAAGAGGCGATTAACGGCATCGGGCGGTCAGGCTCGCTGAATTGGTTGATGCATAAGTCGCATTATATGACAAGCATGTGTTGCTGAAGTCCTATTCTACCCCGGATCTACCGGGTCAAATGACTTGCTTGATCCGGGGTAGAATAGGGTGGTCAGGCTCGCTGAATTGGTTGATGCATCAGTCGCATTATATGACAAGCATGTGTTGCTGAAGACCTATTCTACCCCGGATCTACCGGGTCCAATGACTTGCTTGATCCGGGGTAGAATAGGGTGGTCACTGACAGGCTCGCTGAATTGGTTGATGCATCAGTCGCATTATATGACAAGCATGTGTTGCTGAAGACCTATTCTACCCCGGATCTACCGGGTCCAATGACTTGCTTGATCCGGGGTAGAATAGGGTGGTCACTGACAGGCTCGCTGAATTGGTTGATGCATCAGTCGCATTATATGACAAGCATGTGTTGCTGAAGACCTATTCTACCCCGGATCTACCGGGTCCAATGACTTGCTTGATCCGGGGTAGAATAGGGTGGTCAGACTGGCTGACTTGGTTGATGCATATCATCGTATCCCAATTGCATAGGTCGGTGCTCATGGGGTCAGACACTGGATTACAGACCGCCGTTATATAGCTGGAATATGGTTGGGTGCGACGTCAACAATTAACTGTGAGTTAGTAAAGTTTTACAGCGCTTTTGGCAATATCACGGGGAGAACACAAGAAACGGTTTCACGTATTGTACCCGTGTTTGGAATCAAACCCGTGGCTTCAGCGTAACGAGCGAACGCTTTAACCACCACGCTACCCCGGCTCCCTTCCAATAATCAAATTTAACCACCACGCCACAACAGAATCGTGAAATATCGCGATTATTAATTAACAAAGATGGCTGAAATTTTGCAAATACATATAAAGGGAAAAGGGGGGCACGGGTGACCCAGTCGTCTAAGGCGCCGCGATTCGCTGTGCAGAGTTGCCTCCCTTCGGCACGCCAGAAACCTATGATTGTGGGTTCGAATACCGGTTCGCCCCGATTATGTTTCTAGGTTTGTCAGCACCATACCCGTGCTCGTGGGTTTCATCGAACTGGTAAACGTCGAAGACATGCATCACTTCGGGCTTTCCTCCCACATTAAGCTGACACGCAGTGATAGAATGGAATACTGTTAAAAGCGGCGTTAAACACAACTCACTCACTCTAAAGTGAAAACAAGCCTATCTAGAGGTAAGGAGTATTACCAACAGTAATGACAATTGCAAAGGGCGCTTTTTCAAGAGCTATCCATATTGCTAGCGATAAACATCATCATTGACTTTTCATCAACAAAAAATAATTTCTGCTTTTGTAACAAGCACTACTCCAGAGCGTATCATGCGCGTTTAATGAAAGATCGCATACAAATGAAAACCGAAAAAATCGTAAATGTCTTCTCTGTACATTTTTGTTAAATACATTATATTATAACACGTGGATTAAATTGTATACAGCACAAAATCCCGTACTTTCAAACGGCAGTTCGTTGGTTTTGGACGGGAATTATATATTACGCAAACCAATTAAAGAATGACCACAATTGGAAGGCTGTTTGTTGCAGTACCCACCAGCCATGACAGATTAACTACAGCCACATGAAAATAATGCAAAAAAATATCTTAAACACAATACTGTTCCCAGCGCACTCACCTCCTGCTCTAGAAGATGCGTCAGATGTGATGCCTCTGCTGCTGCAGCTGTTGTCACAGGACCGTTTGATACCGAGGAGTGGTGGTCACCTTAACACACACGTGAATGGGGGGGACTATATACCGATGTCATGAAGCATCATCCGTGAATCTCCGGTATCATTACGTAATTCTTAAAATTATTTGTTTATGTGTTCGTTTACGTGCTTGTATTGGTCGAGTCTTCTAAATGTGTCAACATACTGGCGATTATAGAAGGGTTTGTTCCCACTGTGCCGACAGATAATTCGGATTAATTAAGATTAATCAAGTTAATCCGGATTAGCCGTCATGCCTTGCCGCACTGCCGACACCAGCCAGGTACTTATTAGCTATGGTGAAAAGTGTTCACGAAATATGTCGAGGATGAACTTTCGTGATATGATTTAACGTGTCATATGTAATTGTGAAAAATGTATTTATTTTCCCCATCTTGTGTTTCCCATCTTGTTGTTGGGTTGTAAATGATTGTATGTCTGAAATCAATAAATTTAAGAAATTCATAAATTGTGTTCAGTGCTCCTTTTCCATCGGACCAAAACTTGCCGTCTCGATATTCCCCATTTTAATCCTTCTATTGTCAAAGGGTAGATTAGCTAAATTACCCTAAACAATGGCTGCCGGCACAGTGAGAACACCCCTTATAGAAGATCAGCTGTAGCTGAGTTTACACGAGCATAGGCCGTCGCAAGCATGTTATGTTGACAACAATAACAAGTGCAGAGTGCTTATATATACTACTTAACGTTTGATAATTATAAACATAGTGTCATTCTATCTAAATATACACGACATATTATTGGAATAGGTTTGTTGTATAATGGAAAGATAAGACATATTCCCTATCAAAAGAGGAGATGATACATTGTGATTGCAACTGATATTCGTTTGAAGCAATGTGTTAATACAAATACAAATTTGTAATACAAATGAGAAGGATTAGCTGAAGCAATATCGGACATGGAAAGATCCTTCTTTTCCCCGATAACAACAAATGTCTTGTTATTGTATGCTAAATATCCTAAATATCATTGTGACAATAATGATACATTTTATATTATTTTTTATTGACCATAGAGGAACCACGATTTACACATCCCCTGACATACCTACGTGGTTAAGGGTTACTGGGGTGATAGGGGTCGTGCACCAGAAAAGAAGGATGCGGAGGAGGAGATGCTAGCAATATCTATGAATTATATAAAAAGTTATGAATTGACCATTTTTAGATTATCGTGACACTGTGTGAGGTATGAAACTTTATCGAAATGCAGGGTCTTTGTAGTTCTTTCTTCATACCAGTAAAGGAATATTTCAATTAGGGTTCTAGTCTAATAGCAATAAAAGAAAATATGTTCTATGGTTTTAGATTCTTTATTGTAAAAAGAACATAATTCATCTTTACATTTTCCAAAAACTAGGAAAAACGATTTAGTTGTTATTATTCTATGGATATGTTTGTACTGAAAGTCGTTGAAAGGCATTTGGAAGTGATACGCATAAGGAACAGAATTTATAGATTTATGGATGAGGAACACAACGTTTCGGGGTATATGCTTACTCCATCAGGTGAATAAATGATATCAGGCAGAGAACATATATGTACCTGTAAGAACAACAAACCCAAGAAGATGTCTATTCCAGAGCACCCTGCAACTGTGGCTACCAATACATTAGAGAAACCCCCAACAACTCAACACCAGACCTAAAGAACATCAGACCTCTGTCAAGAAACTAGGCCTGAAATCCGCTATTCCAAAACACACCCTCAAGTACAAAGGCCATAACATCATGTAGGAAGCCACGTCATGTCCACCACCACCACCAACAACAACAACTGGCGACAAAGAAAACTACAAGAAGCCATTGAAACCAGGAGACACCAGCCACGAACCGTGAGCAGGGAACAAATCTGCTACGTGCTTGGGACTTATTGCTTTGATCTTTGTCGGTGCTAATTATCCAGCGACACTCTTACAATCATTAATTATCATTTTCCGTTTAATTCTATCACGTTTCCCATTACAAAATATCGAAACTGTAAAGAGTTAAGCTTCTTGAAAAATTGTTAACTTGGATTAGGGAGGAATGAATGGGGCATAATTTGGGATTTTATTATTATTATTTTACTCCGTAGAATTAATTGTCTCCTTTTCCTTGCATAGTTTATCTGTTTTTTCGAAATTTATAGAAATTATATCATGTAGTGGAATATGGGGACATTACTGTCCATTTGAATATATATGGGATTCTCTATTTACCTTTTACGGAGAATGGAATCGACTTGGTCAGATAATCCAGATTGGTTATTTTCGGGCGCTGACGTTTTATATTCAGATATACAAACATTGTGTACAATCCAGTCAGATGCGACACACGTTCCAAATGTTGAATAATACACTTCTGTCTGGACTCAAAGGCGTAATCGGTCTGCCTGTATTTACGTTTTCAAGGACGCATAATTCGGGATTTTATTATCATTATTTTACTCCTTAGAATTAATTGACTCTTTTTCCTTGCTTTGTTCATCTGTTTTTCGAAATTTATAGAAATTATATCATGTAGTGGAATATGGGGACATAACTGTCCATTTGAATATATATGGGGACAATGGATCCCCCTGTCTGCAGCCTCGACCGAGTTTACAATAGTTCGAAATATGTCCTGAGTTTAATGTTGCACTGAAGCGATTTTCCTGGAAACGTTTGACGCTCTATCCACTAGACCACTATACATATGTAAGGTAATATATGTAAATTGTAAGATAATATACATAATAATATTAGATAGAATTCATACATTACAAATCTTATTTAACATATTTGGCAATTTGTAAAATCTTAATAGTCTTTTTAGTTTATATTTCGCGGTTCTTTAATTAGTAATGGCGTAGAACGGAACTCCGAATGTTTGACAGGTAATGTTAAAGTACTAGTGCTTACAAGGTATTTTTCACCCAGTTACTGATTTATTGATATGAAATATTACATATTCTTGAACCCAAGCCATTTTCATGAGTACATGTACTTCATAAAGCTACAACACCGCGCATGTTCAGAGAAGTTATAGTGATGTTCATTCTCCTCTACAAGGATGATCCGCTCCATTTATTCTTCGCCTGACCAATTATTGTGAAATGAGAAGAGTATGCACATGCACCTCTTCAGAAACAGATCGCCCACTGGCCCCTAGCGTTGATTTGCCAGTCACCAATCGTGATTGATGCTGATAATTATAGCTCCCTGCTTACAAACAACCTGGCGACAATGCGAGTATTGACCACGGACATTCTCGCGTGATTGTATTGCTTCTGATACCCTCGTACTGGTCGAGCGATTCCTGCATTTAGAATCAGAAGTGTTAATTGGTCTTTCACTTAGATGGACGCACAAACAGCCGCGTATTGGTCCAGCGAGTTAAATCACACAATCAGAATTGTTAATTGATACGTACACTTACGCTGTGACACAACGGTCACGATCAAAGAGCCGGGAATAGTCTGCTTTATCACAGGCACATCATCAGTGATGTATCATGTCTTCAGACATTAAACAACAGCCTGCTACAAAACACACGCGACATTAATGTACACAGATGTACAATCAATGAATAAAATTCATTTCTTACACACCCGTGGGTGAGAAACCCATTTGAGATAACTGGTATCAAACATAGTTTTGAGATCAAATTCCAGGCCCGTGATTGGCTATTCCATGGTGATGACCTGAGATCAGATTATGACGGACTACTTTCCAGATCATTGATTGGTTACCATGACGTCACATTCAAATGACATTACTGATGGCTCTGCTACTGAAGTTGTTAGCAGTACTTTTTACACGACACTGCTTATTACTGTCCGCAAACTGCCTCGGAGTCTTTCCACTTTTATCAACTCGTACGCGGGTTGATATATTTGATATCAATAGACACTCGGAGGTTTTCTATTTACCTTTTACGCAGTATGGAATCGGTTTGGTCAGATAATCCAGATTGGTTATTTTCGTGCGCTGACGTTTTATATTCAGATATACAAACATTGTATACAATCCAGTCAGATGCGACACACGTTCCAAATGTTGAATAATACACTTCCATCTGGACTCAAACTTTTGTACGCGGAGAAGGCGTAATCAGTCTGCTTGTAATTACGTTTTCAAGGACGCTTTTTTACAACCAATTATAAATTCAACATCAACCTGACCATTCTGAAGAAGGGTTGTGAACCAGCGCGAAAAGGAATTAGCTAAAGTGCCAACCTTCAACATGATTTGTTGACCTTGGCCCGTAGGGGTCGTAATGATTCCACATCACCTTTCAGACCAACGATCCTTATTCAGTGAGTGAGTATGGTTTTACGCCGCTTTTAGCAATATTCCAGCAATATCACGGCGGGGGACACCAGAAATGGGCTTCACACATTGTACCCATGTCGGGAATCGAACCCGGGTCTTCGGCGTGACGAGAGAACGCTTTAACCACTAGGCTACCCGACCGCCCCTTCCTTATTCAGAGTGAGTGAGTGAGTTGGGTTTAACGCCGCTTTTAACAGTATTCCAGTTATATCACGGCGTGTCAGCTTAATGTGGGAGGAAAGCCCGAAGTGATGCAGGTCTCAGACGTTTACCACTTCGGTGAAACCCACGAGCACGGGTATGGTGCTGACAAACCTAGAAACATAATCGGGGCGAACCGGGATTCGAACCCACAATCATAGGTTTCTGGCGTGCCCAAGGGACACAACTCTGCACAGCGAATCGCGGCGCCTTAGACGACTGGGCCACCCGTGTCCCCCCTTATTCAGAACATCGGACCATAATATAACAGGTATTCTACTTCACTGTTGTTTGAAGCTTACATAAAAGCCCAACAACCAGTCAGTTGTGACATATCCTCAGATGAAGACTTGTTACCGACTCTGGAATTCCTTCCTTACTTTTGTTTGCTTGTGGTTTAGCGCCGCACTCAGCAATATTCCAGCTACATGACGGCGGGCTTCCTTACTACGTATACGGAAACCAGTACATTGAATGATTTTAAAGGAATTTTAAAAGGTGAAAAAATGCACTGAAACAAATTTGATTTAAATTTCCAACCTTTATCTAAGGGCAAACTATGGTATAGACTCTAATGCATCTGATTGTGTGCTTACAACGTTTTACTTTAGAGTCGACAACAGTTTTTATACAAAATAACTACTTTTTATCAGTCACCCTACTTTATATTAGTTGCCCTTGACATTATAATTGATTCAGTATTTGACATCTGGAGGGGTAGTAATATAAGTCTTTACTTGATTATTCTAGCTTCACACATGTTGTGAAATAAATATGATTAAATCACGTGTATTAGATATTACAAATCTACAATAGGAAATGAATACTATGGAATCACTGTGCTTTCCAAAGAAGCAGTTGGGTCAGTTGTCTTAGGTGCCGCAATTCGCTGTACAGAGTTGCGTCCCTTGGGCACACCTGGATGCGGTTGTACAAAACAACCTTAACGCTACGACTGTCGTAAGTCTATGTTAAGGAATGGGATTTACGACCACCTTTGCGCTAAGATCGCTTTGTACAACGCCACCCAGAAACCTATGAGAGTGGGTTAGACTTCCGATTTGTCCTGATTATAGTGAGTGAGTGAGTGAGTTTGATTTTACGCCGCTTTAAGCAATATTCCAGCAATATCACGGCGGGGGACACCAGAAATGGGCTTCACACATTGTACCCATGTCGGGAATCGAACCCGGGTCTTCGGCGTGACGAGCGATCGCTTTAACCACTAGGCTACCCGACCGCCCCCGTCCTGATTATAGCTATAAGTATACCCGCGCTCGTGCTTCACCATAGTGATAAACGTCTAAGACCTACATCACTTCAAGTTATCGCATAACCTCAAGCTGACACGCAAAAAAACTGGATTGCTGTTCAAAAGGGGCAGTCGGGTAGCCTAGTGGTTAAAGCGTTCACTCGTCACGCCGAAGACCCGGGTTCGATTCACAATGTGTGAAGCCACTTTCTGGTGTCCCCCGCCGTGATATTGCTGGAATATTGCTAAAAGCGTCGTAAAACCATACTCATTCACTCACTCACTGTTCAAAGCGGCCTTAAACCAAACTCTCACCAAGTGGTGTTTGATGTTTAAGGCCGAAGTATTACAGTTATATGACGGCGGAGTCAGACAATGCGGTGACTAACACCATGTATGCACATCGATCTATGCATTTGGGATATGATGTGAGGCATCAACCGAGTCAGCGAGCCTGATCACCCGATCCCCTTAGTCGCCTCTTACGATGGGAGGGGGTCTCCAGAGAAGCAGTAATTATTGCTACAATTCACCAGCAAATGACAGATAAACAGACAGATTACAGGTCACTCAGAGGTCATTATATCCAGAGTTTATTGTGAACTCCCAAACAATGAATGATCTGTCAAACATATACTACTCAAAAAAGTTTAAGAACACCCAATTCTTACATAGAAGAAAATAATAGTCTGTTCTTTAACTTCTTTTGAGTAGTATGCATAAGCAGTAGCTTGGGAAGTGATCTGGTGCACAGACCTCAGATCACAAATGTTTTAACTGGCAATTGCCTTCAAAGGGACAATTGTCCCAAGTGGAATGTGTCGGGTAAATGTCCAACTGACAGTTAATAGTACATGGTACATACATGGTAGAGATGTCACTTGTCGGGTTCGTAAAAAGGCGACTATGCTTGTCGTAAGAGGCCACTAACGGGATCTGGTGGTCAGGCTCGTTGAATTGCTTGATGCATGTCATCGAATCCTAATTGCGTAGATCGATGCTCATGATAAATATCACTGGATTGTCTGGTCCAGACTGGATTACTTTACAGACCGCCGTCATATAGCTGGAATATTGCCGAGTGCAGCGTTAAACAACAAACAAAACTTGTAGGGTTAATGTCAAGCATAGTGTTAATGTTAATTGTAGTGTTAATGTTCAGTTGCAATATCCATTAGGCAATTGTTTTATAGGGTCCATGTCCAAGAGGTAACTGTAGAGTTAAGAGTACGATGGCAATATAAATGTGGCAACTATAGGCACAATGTCCAAGTGGCAATTGATGGGATAATGTCATAGTGGCAATTGTAGGCTTGATGTCTTGGTCTGCTTGGCTACCACTGATTCTCACAAGTTACCACAAAGTGCAAACTTGTTGCATTAATATTTACTATCAAAAAGCACAAACTCTGTTACGTTCACAGGTAAAATATCCAGGAACACTTTTCTACTAGCTCACTTTAAAGATGTCAGAAAACCTCAGATATCCCAGGAATGCAGCTGGTAGCCTGGATTCAAGTCTCTTAATGTTGAGGTCAATGTTGACAGGAATACACTGGCGAATCTTTATCCTGCACAGAGAGGTCAGCCTGAGCGGTGTGGAGCTACACTCATGGATGAAGGCTATAAACTCCATCTTCCCCATGTCTGACAGATCGGATTCTTCTACAGCTGCACCGAATACCCTCGCAGACTCCTCGTCCATCTCGAACCCAGCCATCACAATGAGTTTTAAAGATTTGAAGTAGATTTCAGCTTGTTGCTGTGATATACCCGGAGAGAACACCTTCCATAATGGCTTCCAACCCTCAGTCTCTGGGTTAACTCCGTAGGCCAAAAGTAAATGTATGATCCCTACATTGACATTGGAACAAGCATGTTGTAAGCAATTGAAGCCAGCATAATCTTCCCTATGGATCTCAGCTCCTATCTTCAGGATCAGTTCCACGATCTTCCAGGAGTCTGACCTGTCCATACTACAAGCCATGTGTAGTGGAGGTATAGCCATGTTGTCCGCAGCTACTGGGGACAGGTCAGCCGTACTCAGCTCTTTTCGGGCTTTCAGGAGCCTCAATCTTGTACTCAAACCATCAATATCATACACGCAGAGTTTGGTCTCTTTGTATAAGAGTTCCACCCCTTCTAGGCTGTTTAATGCAATACAGCAGCGAAGACAATCACCTCCAAGCACATTAGGGTCAGATCCAGCCTCCAGCAACATCTTCATCAGTTCAATGTTCGGTACTTGGGAGGGCGCCAGTAAAGGAGAAGCATATTCACAGTTTAATTTGTTAACATTTGCTCCAGCTTCAATCAACACACGAGCTACCGAGACATGTTCGTGTTCACAGGCATGATGAAGAGCTGTGTTACCTTCATCATCAGTAACATTGACATCACATCCTTCATCGATGAGAAGCTGCACAAGCTCAGCTGAACCTGAACAGCATGCCTGTATGATAGGCCAATACAATATACAACAGTTTGAACTATTCGTTGGTTTTGATATCCTACTAATTTCTACCCCGTGGGACAAGAACAACTGGACCATGTCAACGTTGCCATATCTGCAAGCTATTGTAAAGGGAACAACGTAATCTGGTTTGTCTGTTTCGGTGTGTGTATGTCTCTCTAGATGGTGTCTTACAGCTTCCAGGTCTCCTGTGTGGACAATTTCTGTCAGTTCTGCGTGTCGTCGAGACCTCAAGGAGCGATCAGCATCATCATAATCTGTCATTACCTCCATGTAGTCAGTGGTTCGTTCAGAAAACGAAAGAGCCATCCTACAATAAAATTATGAAAATTAAAATAATGTTTTCATGTTTAATGTTTTTTTACTTGGCAGGAAGCTTTAATTATAATTATTATGACAATGCTAATAATGATGATAGTCCATGTCCATTTGTATTGCACTTTTACCATGCTTGATATCATGCTCAAAGCACACCCTGTATCCCTGGTCAATGGATCAGTGTGCACTCAATTTTCATTCTCAGCTCCCTGGGATGTATACGACCCATGCTGCCTGTGAGGCCCTGGAAACTTCATGTCATTGCTAATTTTGATAGAACGAAAATGTTTATGGATGAACTGATGAAAAGTTGCCCCTTGAGGTTCATGCTGTGCTTTAACTCAACCTTGAAAGTTGTCAGCCAAAGTCTCCTCACATCCAACCGCACCATATACCACGATGTACAGGGGGCGATTTTAGGTATTAGATATCGCTTGCCACTGCTGCATGTTGACATCCAAACTGTGTTGCACCAGACTCGGTTGCAAACGTTTGTTTATTGGTTAACGACAAAATGTCAGCTAAATGACGGCGGTCTGTATATAATCGAGTACCAGACAATCCAGTGATTGACATCATGAGCATCGATCTACACGATTGGGAATCGATGACATGCATCAACCAAGTCTGCGAGCCTGTCCACCCGATCCTGTTAGTCGCCTTTTACGACAAGCATAGTCACCTATTATGGCAAGCATGGGTTGCTGAAGACCTTTCCTAACCCGGATCTTCACGGGTAACTCGTAACATACCTATGAACAAAGCATATATAATTCAGAAAATAAATTCTCAGATTAATGTCATGTTTTATATTTAGTAACTGTACATGTAGCAAGTTGATGCTCGCTTTCTTGTAATGTGCAGCATCTGGGTCTTCGTCATCCACGAAGCAAATGCAGCTTCTGAGTTTCTTCAGTTTGCTTATTATGATCACTTTTCATTGATACAATGAAGAATGATGCACCAAGTACAACACAAGCATCAGGTGTTAGCCAGCTGTCTCGTTTCAGAAAAAAATTATGACATATTGCTGTAAAATGTCACAGATGTATGTGCACATAGTTGTGAAGTACACACAGGTTTGATGACGTCAAGCTCAAGAAGTGAGTGAGCCAGTTGGGTGAAAGGCTGTTTGACTACATGCACAGTGACACTGACACAGTACGAATCACCAAGAATGGTTTCTGAGGGAGTTTGGTTGAAGGCCGCTTTGAACAAGATTTCAGTTATTTCACCAAATGTCCGCTAAATGTGGGAGGAAAGCCTGAAGTGATGCAGGTCTCGGATGTTTACCACCTTGGCGAAACCCATGAGCAAGTGTATGGTGCTGACAAACCACGAAACATCATCAGGCAATCTCAGTCATGTTCAAAGATCAATGTTCTGTAGAAACCTTGCTTTGTTTGTCACTAACAACATTGTGCCATACTGACATGTACAAGGTGCAGGTAGAAATAAAAACTTGGTTGCATTTTTTAATATCAGGTTGCACTAGTGCATGTTTTATATGGTTAAATCAAACCTTCCAATTAAGATACTGACATATTAATTATATAAAAAAATAATTTCAAATTTCCAATAAGTAAGGCCCACTTGTGTTAAGTAGAAAACAAACACTTTAAAAAAAACTGTTTTATACTTCAAACAGATAAAATTCAAAATCAAATTCAGTTCCACAATATTAACAGTTTAACAATATACTCCTGTAAGCATGAGCATCAGCTGCAATGTCACACTTGCTTGAATGGCTTCCTCAGCATGACGTATTCGTCATATTAAGCACCCTGCTCCATTAAGTTTCCCTGACAAACTTCTACACCAATGTGTAAGTATAGTCTTTGTAAACGCCCCCATAAAGAGACCGAACATTCACATGACAGTCCTGAGTTCGGCGTGTATATAACAATAAAAATAGCTTGATCACGGACAACAAATTTAACTTTAATAATTTTAGTAATATTTACTAAAATGTCCATTAATAATAAATATGCGGGTTTATCAAAACCATACAAGTTAAATTTGTTGTCAGTGATCGAGCGGTAGTGAACAAACATTGCGAAAACGTTAATGAAATTAAAACAGTTTCATAATAGTTGCAAGGCAATTATATTCCCCTTCTGCATTACTGTTCTCTGTACGAAGTATACACTCTCATTCAACGTTCAGTCTATAATGGGAACGCTAATGTAGATTGCTCACAAATTGGTCATGGACGCTTATTGGAGCTAGGCGCTTAATACGGCAAATGCGGTACTTTGAATATATTGACTCAAACCCTCGTTTCTACATTGTCTCAGCAATGCAATAATAATGCATCATTCAAAACAAGCATATAGTCGACGAAGTCATCTATATCCCCCGCCGATTTTAACACGTTATGGTCCCAAACCAGGTTACTGACCCAACATTTCCCTTAGCCCATGTCAAAATAGCTACAATGGAAATTCTAAAATAAACATTTCTAAAACACCTTTATATCAAATGTCACCAGTTCTGTTCAGTATGTGCTTTATATATAGACATGCAATGCTTGGCAAGGAAATATTTCTGGAAATAATGCCCAGTAATACAGATTTCTAAACTTCATAAATAGCAAAAGGCAACAATTCAGCATTGTGTCTGATAGATGTGGAAAATTTGATCCGGAATCGAACCCTACCCTTATTGTTTTCTAAGTAGAACTTGTTGCCATGGAAACGTTAAAAATAAAAATGTCTAAAAGTGCTAAATATCAAAAGGCACCAGTTCAGTATGTACCTAGTAGACACAAAGTAGATTGCAAAGTTTTGTAAGAAAGGAAACGAAACCGGAAACGAAACCGGAAACGAACACCACCCTTACAGAACCGAAGTCCAACTTGCTGCCATGGAAACGTAAATAATAAAAAAATTTAAAATTCCTAAATAGCAAAAGGCACCAGTTCAGCATGAGTCTGATAGACATGCAGAGAAGTATTTAACGCTTTCTGAGTTATGCTCCGGAAACGATTTCGGGATGCACACACACAAGCACGCCCGCCCGCCCGCCCGCATACACTCAGACACGGACGGACATAACCTATTTCTATATCCCCCGCCAACTTCGTTGGGGCGGGGGATAATCAAACAATAATGGTGGCACAACAACTTCACACTGCAGATATCTCACAAGTCTCCGTGGTAAGTCAGGCTGCAACTGTTCGACACATTTATCAACATTTGCTGCCGTAATTTCACACGACAAAGCTCTTTGAGATCCATGGGCAGCAGCCTCCACCGAGTCACAAGGCTAACAAAATGTTTTCGATCTTCAGTGGAAAGTTTGGAACAATCTTCCACAGCTCTGCTGAACATCCGGAAAGATTCTGGTGCACAGACCTCAGATCACAAATCAGGTGAAGTTAGGCAACCTTGCCTCTGACAGTAGTTGGATGGGTGACCTTTTCGGCAGTTTGTCTCATGGAAGTTTCAGGGCTTCAGTCCTGTCTCACACTGAAGCACTGTCTCCTGAGGCAAGTGACTTTGTTTGAAATGTGCCCCTGTTTGCCTTGCAGTGAATGGGTACCCAGTAGGATGTAATGATAATGTGATTGTTAACCTGGCGCCTCACAGGCAGCTTGGCCTGTATGGTCCCCCAGGGAGCTGAGAATGAAAATGGAGTATGGGAAATAATGTAGTACTTTGAGCAGGCTTCAGCATGTGGATTTGGCGCACTATGAATATGCATAATATTATAACACAGGTAATGTCATGGTGGCCACTATAGGGTTAATGTTAAACTGGCAATTGTCTTCAACAGGATAACTGTCCCAAGTGGAATGTGTGGGGTAAATGTCCAACTGGCAATTAATAGTACATATATATGGTAAGGATGGTACTTGAAGGGTTCGTAAAAGGCCATTATGCTTGTTGTAAGAGGCGACTAATGGGATAGGGTGGTCAGGCTCGCTGACTGGGTTGATGCACGTCATCGAATCACATCGATATCAATCACTGGATTGTCTGGTCCAGACTTGATTATTTACAGACCGTCGTCACATAGCTGGAATATTGCGAGTGCTGTGTAAAACAACAAACAAACAAAACTTGTAGGGATAATGTCAAGCATAGTGTTGATGTTAATTGTAATGTTAATTGTAGTGTTAATGTTCAGGTGCAATATCCATTTGGCAGTTATAGGGTTTATGTCCAAGAGGTAATTGTACAGTTAAGGTCATGATGGTAATATAAATGTGGCAACAATAGGCACAATGTCCAAGTGGCAATTGTTGGAATGTCATGGTGGCAATTCTAGGGTTGATGTCTTGGTCTGCTTGGGTACCACTGATTCTCACAAGTTACAACATAATGCAAAATTGTTGCATTAACATTTATTATCAAGAAGCAAAAACTTTGTTACGATCACGGATAACATATCCAGTAACAACTTTTCACTAGCTCACATCAAAGATATCAGAAAACCTCAGATATCCCAGGAATGCAGCTGGTAGCCTGGATTCAAGTCTCTTAATGTTGAGATCAATGTTGACCGGAATACACTGGCGAATCTTTATCCTGCACAGAGAGGTCAGCCTGAGTGGTGTGGAGCTACACTCATGGATGAAGGCTATAAACTCCATCTTCCCCATGTCTGACAGATCGGATTCTTCTACAGCTGCACTGAATACCCTCGCAGACTCCTCATCCATCTCAAACCCAGCCATCACAATGAGTTTTAAAGATTTGAAGTAGATTTCAGCATGTTGCTGTGATAAACCTGGAGAGAAAACCCTCCATAATGGCTTCCAACCCTCACTCCCTGGGTTAACTCCGTAGGCCAAGAGTAAATGTATGATCCCTACATTGACATTGGAACAAGCATGTTGTAAGCAATTGAAGCCAGCATAATCTTCCCTATGGATCTCAGCTCCTATCTTCAGGATCAGTTCCACGATCTTCCAGGAGTCTGACCTGTCCATACTACACGCCATGTGTAGTGGAGGTATAGCCATGTTGTCTGCAGCTACTGGGGACAAGTCTGTCGCACTCAGATTTTTTCGGGCTTTCAGGAGCCTCAATCTTGTACTCAAACCATCAATATCATACACACAGAGTTTGGTCTCTTTGTATAAGAGTTCCACCCCTTCTAGGCTGTTTAATGCAATACAGCAGCGAAGACAATCACCTCCAAGCACATTAGGGTCAGATCCAGCCTCCAGCAACATCTTCATCAGTTCAATGTTCGGTACATGGATGGGTGCCAGTAAAGGAGAAGCATATTCACAGTTTAATTTGTTAACATTTGCTCCAGCTTCAATCAACACACGAGCTACCGAGACATGTTCGTGTTCACAGGCATGATGAAGAGCTGTGTTACCTTCATCATCAGTAACATTGACATCACATCCTCCATCGATGAGAAGCTGCACAAGCTTAGCTGAACCTGAACAGCATGCCTGTATGATAGGCCAATTCAATATACAGCAATTTGAACTTATTGTTGGTTTTGATATCCTACTAATTTTTACTCCGAGGGACAAGAACAAATGGGCCATGTCAACGTTGCCATATCTGTAAGCTAATGTAAAGGGAACAACGTAATCTGGTTTGTCTGTATTTCTCTCTAGATAGTGCCTTACAGCTTCCAGGTCTCCTGTGTGGACAATTTCGGTCAGATTAGCATGTAGTCGTGACCTCAAGGAGCGATCAGCATCATCATAATCTGTCATTACCTCCATGTAGTCAGAAAATGAAAGAGCCATCCTAAAATAAAATATGAAAATTAAAATACTTGGATTTTTTTTATTTCAAAGGAAGCTTTAATAACAATTATTATTAACAATGGTAATAATAATGATAGTCCATTTGTATTGCACTTTTTCCATGCTTGATATCATACTCAAAGTGCACCATTATTATCCGGGTCAATGGATCAGTGTGCACTCAATTTTCATTCTCAGCTCCCTGGGATGTATACAACCCAAGCAGCCTGTGAGGCGCCAGAAGTATAACAGTCACATTACCATCTCCTGTTACTGGGTACATAACATGTTCTCATTATTACAAGACCTATCACTGCCAACGCAGAATAATGATCTCAAAATGGTGCATTTATACCGACAACATGAACTCCTTATCAAAAATTCATGTGAGTCTCATATTGGAGTAGAATATAGGTCTTCTGCAAACCAAGCTTGCCTTAAATGGCGACTATGCTTGTCATAAGAGTCGACTAACAGGATCGGGTGGTCAGGCTCGCTGACTTGGTTGATGCATGTCATCGTATCCCAATTGCATAGATCGATGCTCATGATGTCAATCAGTGGATTTTCTGGTCCAGACTTAAACAAACAACAAAATTGATGGAAAAAACTGTTTATGGATGAACTGTTGATGAAGGACTGATGGAAAGTTGCCCAATGAGGTTCATGCTGTGTCTTAACTGAACCTTGAAATTTGTCAGCCCAAGTCACCTTACCACATTCCATGATTTTAGGTGTTAGATATCGCTTGCACCTGGTGCATGTTGACATCCAATCTGTGTTGCACCAGACTAGGTTGCTCTCGTAACATACCTATTAACTATAGGTATAAATTTCAGAAAATAAATTCTCAGATCAGTGTCATGTTTTTAATTTAGTTACTGAACATGAAGCAAGTTGATGCTCGCCTGATTGTAATGTGCCGTAAATGGGTCTTCGCCATCCACGAAGCACCTGCAGCTTCTGGGTTTTCTTCTGTTTGCTCGTCATCACTTTTCACTGATGCACCAAGTACCAGGTACAACACAGGCATCACGTGTTAGCCAGCTATCTTCTTTCAGAAAAATTAATGACATATTGCTGTAAAACGTCGCAGGTGTATGTGCACATAATCGTGTGGAACACACAGGTTTTTATGACGTCAAGCTCAAGGAGTGAGTGAGCTGCATGTCAGCTAAATGTGGGAAGAAAGCCTGAGATGATGCAGGTCTTAAGACATTTACCACTTTGGTCATCTAACCACAAGCATGAGTATGGGGCTCACAAACCACAAAATATAATCTGGGCAAACAGGCAAATTCAATAAGGTTGAAAGATCAATGTTCTGCAGAAAACTTGCTTCGTATGTGAGTCACAACATTATACATGTACAATACTGACATGTACAAGGTGCAGGTTGCACCAGTGCATCTTTAATGTGGTTAAATCAGGCTTTCAAACTTTTCAATCACATTACCGACGCATTATTTATATAAAACAAAAATTTCAATTATCCAACGTGTTAATTAGAAATCAAACACTTCAATAAAACTGTTTTATACTTCAAACAAATGAAATACAAATTCAGTACACAATAGGAACAGTACAACAACAAAATCCTGTAAGCATGAGCTTCAGCTGCAATGTCTCTTGTTTAAATGGTTTCCTAGGCAACCAAAAACATCAAATTGATCAAATATACGTCATATATCAGCATGACGTATTCGTCATATTAAGCACCCTGCTCCATTAAGTGTCCCTGACTAACTTCTACACCAATGTGTAAGTATAGTCTTTGTAAGTGTCCCCATAAAGAGACCAAACATTCACATGAGTCCTTAGTTTGGCGTGTGTATATTACAATGAAAATAGCTTTAGTTTCATTGACATTTTCACTTAGTTTGTTCACTACCGCTTGATCACGGACAACAAATTTAACTTTAATAATTTTTGTAATATTTACTAAAATGTTCATTAATAATAAATATGTGGGGTTTTTAAAACCCTATAAGTTAAATTAGTTGTCAGTGATCAAGCGGTAGTGAACAAACGCAGGGCAAACCTAAAGAAAACTAAAACAGTTTCATAATAGTTGCGTGGCAATCATATTCCCTTTCTGCATTGCTGTTCTCTGTACGAAATATACACTCTCATTCAAATGTTCAGTCTAACATTGGGATGCTAATGTAGATTGCTTACAAATTGGTCAGGGGCACTTATTGGAGCAGGGAGCTTAATAAGGCAAATGCAGTACTTTGAATACATTGAATCACACTCTTGTTTCTAAATTGTCTCAGCACTGCAATAGTAATACATCATTCAAAATCAAACAATAATGGTGGCACAACATCGTCATACTGCAAATATCTCACAAGGCTCCGTGGTAAGTCAGGATGCAACTGTTGGACACATTTATCAACATTTGCTGGAAGTAGCTGCCGTAATTTCACACGACAAAGCTCTTTAAGATCCAAGGGCAGCAGCCTCCACTGAGTCACAAGGCTCACAAATCGTTTTCTTTCTTCAGTGGAAAGTTTGGAACAATCTTCCACAGCTCTGCTGAACATCCTGAAAGATTCCTCATCCATTCGGAAACCTGTCAACATTAACAACTTCAAGACCAAGAAATAATCCTCCAAATTGTGCAGGACGGGTGAGGGGAAAAACTTCCATAATGGCCTCCATCCATCAAGAAGTGGGTTAGCTCCATACGCAAGTAGAACCTGAACTGCATGAAGATTGACAGTGGAGCAAGCATATTGTAGAGGCGAGTAACCTGCATAATCTTTCTTATGGACATCGTTACGAACCTCCAAAATACTAACTATCACTTTGTAGGATGGACAGAATAAAGGGTTTGAACAGGTTACATGAAGAGGTGGAAGCTTTCCTGTAAAGCCATCTTCTTGTGGAAAGGTGCCTTGGTGTAACAGATCTGTCCTGCTTACCAACATCTTTTTGGAGGCAGTCAGCATCAACACATCTATTAGTTCTAGGTCTGGGCATAACTTATACAGTACATAAACTCCTTTGAAGTTGTCTCGTAAAATACAGGTCAATAAACAGGTTCCGTTTCTCTGGGAAGGATCCGATCCATGCGTGAGCAGCATCTCTACCAATGTGTTCTCACCTGCATAGCAGGATCGGAGTAAGGCAGTCTCCCCATCCACATCCTCCAGAGTGACGTCTGCTCCGGAGTTGAGGAGCAGTCGTGTAACTTCAACATTTGACTGGGTGCAGGCAAGATGAAGAGCAGTGTTACCATCTTCGTCCTGGGCATTTATATCACAGCCTGCTTCAAGAAGACATTCAATAAGGTTCATTCTGTCCTCTGGGGTGTCGCAGGCAAAATGAAGAGGTTGTTTGCCTAGGCTGTTTGAGTGGGCATTAACTCTAGCACCAGATGAAAGAAGCAATAATGCTATGTCCCTGGCATTGACATGACACGCCTCGCATAAGGGTGTCAGAACATCATAGACTTCATCAATATCAGTTATCTCCCCAGAGTCAAGAAGGTTCCCAACCCGATCTACGTCATTGTTTCGTATGGCTTCAGTTAGGGACTCCATGACATCATCTGAAAGGAGGGAACCGCACCTATAGCACACAGGTGAGTCATCAACACCGTAACTTTAATTCAACACATGCATTAGTTCAACACATGCTTTAGGTCAGCGCATTCTGGAATATCCCATTCTGAGCTTGAGTGTGTTGGTTCGAATGAATAATTGATCAGTGCCCCTACCTACAATTAAATGCCATAGCGTGTACCTGTAAGTGCAAATATAAGCGACACAATATTTGCACAATCACGAGACATGTCTACTGTACAATTCTGACTATATCACAAACATGCGATGATACCATGTCTTCACAAAAGGTTAATAAAGGTGTTTTCATTGGCACCCGTTGCCCAAGTACCATTATCTTATTTTCTGTGTCTTCCTAAAACAAGAGGCAGCTATTTCATTACCATCACACTCTAAATAAGCAACATGTTCAAAAGCCTTACTACTGCAAAAGTCCATGACTATTATGAACAAGAAAACAGTGTTATCACTTTGCCCTGCCAAGGGGCACATTACAATCTTGTTTGTTCAAAAAATTGGTGAATAATGTGGAAGTTGAGGTTAACAATAAAAAAAAGAGTCTTATATAAAGCCTTAAGAACAGATAGGCACTGGGTAGGCTTTGTCATAAGAAAATCTGATGAAATTAAAACACTTAAAAGGCCCTTTCTATATTTTTAAGTATGAACAATTGCTCAACCAATGAATGAGCGAGTATTGTTTTATGCCGCTTTTAGCAATATTTCAGCAATATCACAGCCAGCGACAACAGAAATGAGCTTCACACATTGTACCCATGTCGTGATTTGAACCCAGGTCTTTGGCGTGACGAGCCAACGCTTTAACCACTAGGCAACCCGACCGCCCCACTCAACCCATGAAGCTGTATTAATGGGAAATAGATAACATAATGAAATCACATGGACATAACTTCACAATTGGAAAAGGACTTGAAAACAGGATGCACAAAATCTAAAAACGTGTAGCAAGGGACGTAACACTGGAAAAAATACATTATGGCACTCATTTTTTAACTCAGTCTTCATACATATGTCATAGAAAGCTTGCAAAATTTCATTCATTTAACTTCAGTAGTTTCTGAGAAAACTTGTCCACATTTCACGCAGTACGCACAAAGTTGAAAAGCATGGAGCGAGAGCCTTAACTGAGTAAAAATTTTAATTTAAGACACCAATGTTTGAACTCATTTTAGATCTCGACCAGTAAAATCAGTGTGTAAAATGTCATTCCACTAACTTAAATAGTTTGAGAAAATGTGTCCCAATTGAGCGCAGATGGACGGATGAACAAACGCTGTCCCTCTACTCCCCGCCCCATTTCGAGGCGGAGGATAATAATCTCCCCAGCATATGTTATGAAAGTTAGTAAAGGAGATAACAAGTCATAAGCAGCATACATTCACCTCACATTAAATAGTCGATAGAACATCTGCCTTGAGAGCAGAAGGTCGGTGGTTCAATACCTCGCCATTTCATACTATAAGACGTTAAAAGATGGTACATGTTGTTCTGCCTTGCACTTGGCATAAAGGGGATAAAAGAAGGACTGGTCGGCTTGGAGTCAGCATACTGTGTCTGAGTAGGGTATCCATGTTAAACTGCGGCATTGTATGTCAGTGGGCTAGCACAATAATAGCGACATTTGTCCGGGTTACTACAAGCATACACACACAAAAATCCGCAAATCGCTGTATAATTGCAATAATCATGAACGCGATGTTAAACCCCATTTATGACCTCACCTGGCATTGAATAACTATTCTGAACCAAACCAATGTATCTTCATTACATGCAAAACTCATGACAGATAACCTCACCAATATCTGATGTTGTCCAACACAGTATAACTTAGTCCTTTTCATCTAGAGACCTGTGAAGATCTGGGGTAGAATAGGTCTTCAGCAACCCATGCTTGCCGTAAAAGGCGACTATGCTAGTCGTAAGAGGTGACTCACTTGATCGGGTGGTCAGGCTCACTGACTTGGTTTATGCACGTCATTGATGCCAATAGCTTGGATCGATGCTCATGATATTAATCACTGGCTGACTTGGTTGATGCATGTCATCGAATCCCAATTGCGTAGATCGATGCTCATGATATCAATAACTGGATTGTCTGGTCCAGACTTGATTATTTACATTCCACCATCATATAGCTGGAATATTCTTAGTGCGGTGTTAAACAACAAATAAACAAACAAAAACTACAGAAAGTCCCTTGCTTCCAGTTACTGTAACAACAGTTAATAACATAGTTCTGAGCACTTCTGGTTAAATGGCCACAGCCAGGGAAAGCATATTCCCAATATGACCAGTGCAGTATAACTTGAAACAAAAGTTCCTATGCTAATAGCTACCTCAATAACAAAGATAAAAACATTTTCTATTTAAGGTTCTATGCTTTGTTTGTTTGTTTGTTGTTTAACGTCGCACTCAGCAATATTCCAGCTGTATGGCTGTTTGTAAATAATTAAGTATGGACCAGATAGAGCAGTGAGTGACATCATGAACATTGATCTACGTAATAGGGATACGATCCTTCCGATCTAATGACCTTGACCTTCGATCTCAGCAATGCGCCGCCAAATATTTTAAATTGACAGAAGATGTGGTGTTACAAACATGAAGTTATTGTATTATGAATTCCATGTTCTGACAAAAAGGTTTCTGAGGAACTTGACCTTAACCAGGTTCATTGGAGTTAACCCAAGTTTTGGTAAATTCCAATTAAAAATACTCAATGTTATTGTGTTCACAAACTCTGTTTGAGTGACCTTGACCTTCAATGGCATCCATAATACACGTGACATTACTTTTTGTCCGAAGCCTTGTTCATACCTAGTGACCTGGACCTTCAATGTCAACCAATCATGTCAGTGGCATGTAGCCATACTCGGCAATATTCCAGCTATATCATGGATGTCTGTAAATAATCAAGTCTGGACTAGAGAATCAAGTGATGGATATCATCAGCATTCATTCATGCAATTAGGATACGATGACATGCATCAACCAAGTCAGCGAGCCTAACCACCCGATCCCGTTTGTCGTCTCTTACAACAAGCATAGTCACCTTTTACGGCAAGCATGGATTGCTGAAGACCTATTCTCACACACATCTTCATGGCTGGTCTCTAACACACAGTCTGGCACGAACACATTTTGAGACAGTAGGCGTTTCGGGTGCAATGAAAGAATCCATTTCAATTGAGTTGGGGACTGGGACGGACAGTGCTTTGGTGCACGGGGAATTCAAGCTCAGATGTAGTCATCAATGCACCATGCCAACTGGCCCCATAGTTAACCATCCACAACACTTACTTACAAAACTGTGGATCCAGGTGACCCCCAATAATTAATTTCAGGGGTCCTTAGAGGTAATATGAGGGTCCTGTAAAGTATTGGTATGGTGTTGTATACTGTACTATAAGATATTATTTCAGGACCTTTATATTTCAGATCATGAATTTAGTACAAAGAAAATTATTGTGCATCCTTTGGGATGCAATCTTTTTTTGAGCGTCCATTTTATACATTTGTGCAATTTTTCTGAAGGTTATTTTGCCAGGGATTTATCTTGGCTGCCAAACGAAGTGCCTTTGGCAGGCAAACTGGGAAATTTTTATATATATTTTTGCAAATTGGCATCATTATTAAAGTTTTTATTTTCTCAAATTACGACGCATTTTAAAACTGCATTCAATGCAATGGTGTAAAACTAAGCACCATAACCTTTTTCATGTTATTAGTCATGTTGTCAGTGAAATACAAGTCAGCTCTATAGAGCCATGACACTGGCCATCATTGGCAATCACTACGACTACATGAATTGGGAAATTTATGTGTGTGTGTGAGGGGTGAGGGGTGTGTGTGAGTGTGTGTGTGTGTGTGTGTGAGTGTGTGTGTGTGTGTGTAACATAAACTTTTTCCTTTCTTATTGTTTTCTCATACAGAATAGTTGACTTGACTCAGTGTCAGGTTGATGGGTGTTAGTCAGTTGTCAGTTTTCCTTCTTTACTTTAATGAGCGAGTAGACTATGGCTACTATTCTCAGACTGGGTTTTCTGCACAAAATGTTGTATATCAAGATACTAGGGCTGGGACGAGTCCAAATTTACTACCCGGGTACCCCCCCCCCCCTATTACCCGACCCTACCTGGGTACCCACTGTAGGTCTCAGGAGATGTCTCAAAAGGTCTGATTGGGAACATTTTTAGAATAGCCCTGGCAAAACGTATTTAGATACATGTATTAAACAATCTGGTCATTCATACACTGAAGTTGAATTAAGTTATGTCTTTATTCAACCATATGAAAAAATCAGAAGGAATTAGTGTCTTGTAGTGTAACCATAGAGTTCAAGATTATTTTTGTCATTAAACAATATATCACATGACTAACCACGGGTCCGGGTATTCCTGTGGGTACCTGGGTCCTACTCAGTACCCACCCGACCCAGGTACCCGAGTTACCCGTCCCAGCCCTACAAGATATGTATCATAATGTGGCTTCTGTATCAGATATGTATCAGATATGTATCATATCTTGTGACACCTGTATCGTGACATCCCTACTGCTTACTGGCCATGCTCACAGTGACCACAATTTTTTAAAGTAAAATCAGCAATAGCCAAATCACTTTGTTTATTTGTTTGCCCAATCGGGAAAAACAACATACACATGGCAATTCATGGAAGGTTAACTAACATTAGTGCTTATATAAGCGGGTGACATGTGTGGCTCATTGATGATTGACCAAAATCTACAATGCAGTTTTCAGCAACATTACTCCGTCATCCAAACCAGTTTGGACCAAAGCAGCTTTGGTGCTGTGCGGTATCGCTACTGCTACCAGACCATAACACAGATCTATTTTATGGTCTCTGCTGCTGCTGAACACCAAAGGAAGCTTTACCAATTCCTTAACAGCTACGTTACGTTTTAGACAGTGTGGCGTGTTCAGGTCTTACATAACATAAAACCATTAATAGTTACGCAAAGTTGTTCCAAAGCCATAATCACATGCGCGAAAACCGGGGCCAAAAACATGGCTAACATATGAAACCATTGCCATTGGGAGTGAATGCTACATCTGAAAGATCTTGTCGTGCCTGCACATATACTGTACTAACAGCCAATGATCGTGGCCTTATTCACAAAGTTGATCATATTTACCTCTCGGATCTACACAGGTATCAGGGCCACCTGGTGACAGAAGTGTTACGCCAAGTCCGAGAACCCATGCAAGCCCATGATTAGCACTGATTCAATCTTGTTGGTATGAAACGCCTGCCACACTCACCACCCCATTCGTCACCACTCGCTTCTTTCCGTAACCTACAAGAATGGCACGAGTTGGACACGAATGCACAAATACAGCAGACTATAGACTTAGTTTGAGAAGTAAGTGTTCTCGCCAAACTACACAGTAGGCCTATTTGCAAAGCGGATTGTTATAACCATATAATTAAATATTCGTTGTTCATTTTAATTCCTGCATTCTGATCAGCTACGCGGATTCATACAGTTTGCACATCGGGTTTTCGATTCATACCTCAATGAATCGAAAATAAATCCACAGTCAATCCTGAATGTAACAGCTCTAATCAAATTTCGAGATAACGTCATGTAGGCCTATCTATTTTTATTTACATTCTAAAACCATGGCTCCTTTGTCTTTGACCCTGGTCCAACTAACTGAGTTGTTTTTTAAACATCACTTGGTAATTACGGAACTTCTTTTTTTCCCTATCATTTATCTTGATGATATGACAATTTCATGAAAAACGTTTGTCGGCAGCGGGATTCGAACCCACGAATTCCGCACGGAAGGCTGACGAACAAGGGAAAAATTGTTCGAATTAACAACTAAATATGTACTTACATCAGAGACCTATTTTCTGGTCTCTGCTTACAGGACTACTGGCTTATCCGTTTATGAACTGCGAAATATGTTTGTTACAGTATGTTACGCTTTGCATTCTGGTATTTGTACAGTACTTGTGATTTGGTAGCTTATCGAAACGAAACAAAACGAACAGACAGCAATGAAATTATTATCATCTTGATCAGGGCTATGTTTGCTAATAATAGACACATCAACATGGACAAGTGTTATCAAGGTGATTGATAAAAGTGCTGCAGTTGGTCCAAAATGAATGGTACATTTGCCCCGGGATATGCATTCTATAACCCAAATCAACAAAGTGCGAGGTGCACGTGCGAAAGGCTCGGGGGACAGATTTCACGTGCTTCACGCAAAGTTAGTATCAACCTTGACTTATCCTTATAAACTTCCCTTCGTGAAAGAACGTCGTTGGTCTTTGGCGCATCGTAAATATAGCTATGTGTGACATTTTTTTTATTTCGCCGTTCACAGACTAATTTCATTTGTGAAATCTAAATTGATATTTTCTCGGAGAATTCAATCACACAAAAATAGAACATAAGTGAGTAATGGTATATGTGATTTATCAGGACACCAGTAATCATTCAGAAACGTCATCCACAACCCTAGAATCGTTTGGTTATAAGACAATACCTAAACACTAATGTCAAAGTAAACGTCTCTCAGTATTGGATAGTGTTTCCAAAATCTCGTTTCGCGTGTGCTAGCTATACGACGCCTATTACACCACACATATTTCACTTTCAGTTGACATACATAATCCCTAAATTCCTCATACTGCTTCGAATCAAATGACAAACTGTCTGGGAAGAAAATGTAAATGGTCTGGATGAAATCAGGCGAAACAAATCGCGTGTGACAGAAACCTGTATGGAAGCAAAATGCCAAACAGATGACCTTGACATTATCATAAAGGTCATCAATGACCTCAAAATCTACTTAATGATTCTTTTACACACAATCAACGAACTCGCTAGATCATGGTGTTTGTACTGGAGAAGGTGAGGTGAAATGGGGTTTAACGTCGCATCCAAGATTATTGCACTTATAAATGGCGACGTGCAAGTTCGTGTGGCGGCTTGTACTAGTCCGGAGTGATGCCAATTAATAGTGCTAGCTCACTGAGATACCATGCCGCAGTTTAACATAAATACCCCACTCAGACACAGTTTACTGACTCCGAACGGTCCTTGTTTTAGCCCCTTAATGACGAGCGCAAGACAGGGTAACAACAAGTACCATCTTTTTACGTCTTTTGGTATGACGCGGCCGGGGATCGAACCCCGGACCTTCCGCTCTCCGGGCGGACGCTCTACCACTAGACCAGGAAGTTGTACTTGAGAACATAACGGTGACTACAAGCTCCAAATGTATGTTGCCTTTGTGCTCGATTTAGTAACGCAAGGTTTGCAGCCATTTCAGACGGAGACGTCTAGAGTGAGTATGGTTTTACGCCGCTTTCAGCTGTATATTATCCCAGCAGCACCATGGCGGGGGACACAAAAAATGGCTTCACACATTCCACCCATATCGGGAATCGAACCCAGGTCAACCGCGTGATGAACGAACACTTTAACACACTGGCTACCCCAGCGCTCTTGGGGATACAGAGATGGGGCTCTACATTAATTGTATTCATGTGGGGAACAGAGCGTGTGCGATCTGCGTGACAAGTTAACGCACTATCTACAATGACACCATTCGTCACCGTTCGTCCCTTTCCGTTACCTGCAAGAAGACTCGTTCCCCCAATCGATGAATGTTATGTGCGAAAATACGACAAACCATTCAGAATGCGCATATGACTTCAAGTTCTTCGTCAAAGAACTGTTCGAAACCGTCTGAGAACTGCTCACCTTCAAGCACGACGGCCATACTGCGGGCCGATTCTGACTCAATTACACAGACGTCAACGTCAATTTTGGGCACAGCGACACTTACGATGGACTCAGAGGAATTGGAATCAAGTCGTCTTCAGTGATGAATCCCGATTTAATCTTCGATTTGCTGATGGTAGGGCGAGGGTGTGAAGGCGCCGTCACGAACGTTACGCCCAGTGTTGTGTACAGGAAGTTGACAGATTTCGAGGCGGAAGTGTCATGGTGTGGGGTGCTTTCTGTGGCAATGCACGTTCCAGGCTTCTCAACCTCAACGCTGCTGCTTACCGCGACCAGGTACTGGCACCAGAACTTCTGCCTTTTATGGCAGCACATGGACCCGGTTTGATCTTCCAACACGACAATGCCAGACCCCACATAGCAATTTTGACAAGGAATTTCCTTCAGAATGCGGGAGTCAACGTCATGGGCTGGCCGTCAAGGTCTCCCGACCTCAATCCCATCGAACATGTCTGGGATGCTCTTGGCAGAAGTCTGCGCACTCTCTAGAACCAACCACAGAATTTGCAAGATCTTGGCACCATTTTGCAGCAATAATGGCGTCGTCTTCCCAATCATGTGTTCACAAGCATCACAAGGTCCATGCGGAGGCGTTGTGTGGCAGTTGTCAACGCACATGGTGGCCATACACGCTACTGAACTTGTGTGCCATCAGATTCTCATGCTTGGGATTTAAACTGTTGATGTTATTACCGAATACCGTAGGTGCTTGGAACAAATTATGGTTACCACCGTTAATTATAATCCTTCTTTGGACATTAATGATTAAAAATTACCTTCTCTGATACATTTGTCCGTTTTATATCATATATGGGATTACTTTTAAAAATGTGAAGTTTTTAATTTGACTATTTATATCTACAAAATGAAAAAAATAAAATCCAGAATAAAATGGAGGCCAGAACAATCCTAGAGCCGAGGCATCTGGACTTGACAAATCATTCTAGACTTGAGTTGGAATCCTTATTATTTTTCCTCAAGGGTCTGGGACACAGACTACGTGAGAGGCGACGTGATGGGCCAGGCCAGGTGGCGTTGTTGATTGCGGTCATCACAGGGTTGTCTTGTTCAGATTCGATTACTTACAGGAGGTCATAATATGGTTGCCCAATGACCAATCCCACCACCCCCTCCCCTCCGTTCTCCTCCTATGATAAATAACTAGTCCCTTACTTCAATTGGTATTATGGGTCATCACTGCAGTTGTCCCCCTTGACCATGATCAGAAATTGTTTCGGTTGGAAGGGTATTAGTATTGATTATTCGCCGCGTTAAAAGGAAATTGCAGCACAAATATACCACCGATCGCTTTTAACAGCAATCACGGACTGAGATACTCTGATTACAAAGCCCTCGACCTGAACGTTGACACACATCATTGTTTGACATATTACTCCAGATGGTGACAACTCTGGGAACGTACGTGGTGAAATGGCTCTTTACAAACCAGCGTGAACGGGATGCTAGCTGTACATCTGTTTTAATTACACCCTATCCTCTTAGCTAACTGTTTATGTGAAGCGGAACGCGTTGGCATTGAGAGTCAGTTCAGCAACGACGTATTCATTACTATAACGGTCGGCTGTATTCATCGTGTCGACAAACCTAGGAGTAGTGCTCTTTTTCTGTTACGGATTTGGGATCTTCTAATCATGGATACACGTTTTTGGTAAGTGAACCTCTTTGTTCAATGAATCCATTGAAGAATCGACAATTATCAATAATTACTGACAAGGTCCTTGACGAAGAAAACATATTCGATAACACTGAGATTTAAACCCTCGAGTCCATGGCTGAAGATATTTTGAAAAGTGAAACCATCATTCATTGAAACCATGGACCAAGACATTTATAACTAGTTGCAGACGAAGCTCTCTGGTCGATTTGTTTCAGTTGACCAATCACATCCTTGCACACACGGGAAGACACTTTGAACTGTTTGCAAATGAGATCCTCGCATTCTTGGAGGAACAGTTCTTGAACTAATACAAGGTGAAAGGTATGACATTTGTTCTTCGCCTTGAAATCATATCTCCTTATGTTTGAGTGTATATACATGTTTGTTGACAGAAACATTGTTTAGACGCAATGGATGTTAGAGAATTATAAACGATTTCAGTTCATTGTCGATGGTTTGTTGTTTAACGCCGCACTCAGCAATATTCAGATATTTAACAACAGTCTGTAAATAATCGAGTATGGACCAGGCAATCCAATTACTAACATCAGGGGCATCGATCTACCCATTTCGAATACGATGACGAGAAATCAACTAAGTCAGTGAGTCTGACCACCCGATCCATTTATTTACCTCTTACGACAAGAATGGGTTGTTGGGGACCTTTCCGCTTACCCGGTGTCCTCACGGGTAAAACGCGATTTAATAGAAATACTCAGGATGGTCTTCTCATTTGATATTCCTAGCAGTGGGACCCGTGAAGATCCGGGGTAAAATAGGTCTTCAGCAACCCATGCTTGCCGTAAAAGGCGACTATGCTTGTCGCAAAAGGCAACTAAGTCAGGCTCGCAACAAACCAACCAACCAATCATAGCAGTGAGTGAGTGAGTTGGGTTTAACGCCGCTTTTAACAGTATTCCAGTTATATCGCGGCGTGTCAGCTTAATGTGGGAGGAGTGATGCAGGTCTCAGACGTTTACCACTTCGGTGCAACCCACGAGCACGGGTATGGTGCTGACAAACTTAGAAACATAATCGGGGCGAACCGGGATTCGAACCCACAATCATAGGTGTCTGGCGTGCCCAAGGGTTTGGTTTGGTTTTGTTGTTTAACGCCGCACTCAGCAATATTCCAGCTATATGACGGCGGTCTGTAAATAATCGAGTCTGGACCAGACAATCCAGTGATTAATATCATGAGCATCGATCCACACAATTGGGATCGATGACATGCATCAACCAAGTCAGCGAGCCTGACCACCCGATCCCGTTAGTCGCCTTTTACGACAAGCATAGTCACCTTTTACGGCAAGCATGGGTTGCTGAAGACCTATTCTACCCCGGAATCTTCACGGGTCGGCGTGCCCAAGGGACGATATTCCTAGCAACATACCATGTGACTTGGCAGATTTCATGAAATTAATCTGAAGGAATTTGGTTTGCAGAGGTCACGTAACTCAATCTAAACACCGTGTTTTTATCTAAACAAAAAATGTAAACATGTTTTCAAAATTTATGAGGAGTGGCGGAGTAGCCTAGTGGTTAAAGTGTCATGCCAAAGGTCTGGGTTTGATTCTACAAAGTACAATGTGTGGAACCAATTTATGTGGTCCCCCGCCGTTATCTTGCTGGAATATTGTTGAAGGCGGCGAAAAAACATACTCACTAATCATGACATCAGTTCAAACAACAACTTCTCTTAAATCGTTACATTCTTTATGCCATTAAGTATCGGCCAACGGGCCTAATTCATTTGGGAAACAAACTGTTCAAATTATTAGTTGACAATCAATTTGGAAAAAAATAGAGTAATCATTTATGGTTTTCAAAGAAGGTGGAAGAAGGTCTAGGTATGGGCAATTGTTTACTCTGTAGATATCTTGGCGACCCGTGAAAATCCGGGTTAGACTAGGTCTTCAGCAACCCATGCTTGCGGTAAAAGGCGACTATGCTTGTCGTAAGAGGGCGACTTACGGGATCGGATGGTCAGGCTCGCTCACTTGGTTGAAGCATGTCATCGATCCTCATTATATGGTAGCCCAATGACAATCCCACCGCCCCTTCCCCTCCGTTCTCCTCCTAAAAAATAGGGGCGGTCGGGTAGCCTAGCGGTTAAAGCGTTCGCTCGTCACGACGAAGACCCGGGTTCGATTCCCGACATAGGTACAATGCGTGAAGACCATTTCTGGTTTTCCCCGCCGCGATATTGCTGGAATAGTGCTAAAAGCGGCGTTAAACCATACTCACTCACTCACTCACTCCTAAAAATAACTAGTCGCTTACTTCAATTGGTATAATGGGTCATCACTGCAGTTGTCCCCCTTGTACATGATGAGAAAATGTTTCGGTTGGCAGGGTATTAGTATTGATTATTCGCCGCGTTAAAAGGATATTGCAGCACAAATACCACCGATCGCTTTTAACAGCAATCACGGACTGAGATACTCTGATTACAAAGCCCTCGACCTAAACGTTGACACACATCATTGTTTGACATATTACTCCAGATAATGACAACTCTGTGGGAACGTACGCGGTGACATAGCTCTTTACAAACCAGCGTGAACGGGATGCTAGCTGTACATCTGTTTTAATTACACCCTATCCTCTTAGCTAACTGTTTATGTGAAGCGGAACGCGTTGGCATTGAGAGTCAGTTCAGCAACGACGTATTAATTACTATAACGGTCGGCTGTATTCGTCGTGTCGACAAACCTAGGAGTAGTGCTCATTTCTGTTACGGATTTGGGATCTTCTAATCATGGATACACGTTTTTGGTAAGTGAAACTCTTTGTTCAATGAATCCATTGAAGAATCGACAATGATCAATTACTGACAAGGTCATTGACGAAGAAAACATATTCGATAACTGAGATTTAAACCCTCGAGTCCATGGCTGAAGATATTTTGAAAAGTGAAACCATCATTCATTGAAACCATGGACCAAGACATTTATAACTAGTTGCAGACGAAGCTCTCTGGTCGATTTGTTTCAGTTGACCAATCACATCCTCGCACACGGGAAGACACTTTGAACTGTTTGCAAATGAGATCCTCGCATCCTTGGAGGAACAGTTCTTGAACTAATACAAGGTGAAAGATATGACATTTGTTCTTCGCCTTGAAATCAGATCTCCTTATGTTTGAGTGTACGAGTATATGCATGTTTGTTGACAGAAACATTGTTTAGACGCAATGGAAGTTAGAGCATTTACAAGCGATTTCAGTTCATTGTTGTTTGTTTGTTGTTAAACGCAGCACTCAGCAATATTCCAGGTATATGACGGCAGTCTGTAAATAATCGAGTATGGACCAGACAATCCACTGACTAACATAAGGGGCATCGATCTACCCATTTCGAATACGATGACGAGAAATCAACCAAGTCAGTAAGTCTGAATATTCCTACCAACATACCATGTGATTTTGCAGATTTCATGAAATTAATCTAAAGGAATTTGGTTTGCAGAGGCCACGTAACTCGATCTAAACACCGTGTTTATCTGAACAAAAAATATAAACATGTTTTCAAATTTCATGAGGAGTGGTGGATTAACCTAGTGGTTAAAGTGTCATGCCAAAGGTCTGGGTTTGATTCTACAAAGTACAATGTGTGGTACCAATTTATGCAGTCCCCCGCCGTTATCTTGCTGGAATATTGCTGAAGGCGGCGAAACACCATATTCACTAATCGTGACGTCAGCTCAAACAACAACTTCTCTTAATTCGTTACATTCTTTTTGCCATTAAGTATCGGCCAACGGGCCTAATTCATTTGGGAAAAACATTGTTCAAATTATTAGTTGACAATCAATTTGGATAAAACTAGAGTAATCATTTATGGTTTTCAAAGAAGGTGGCAGAGGGTCTAGGTATGGACAAGGGTTTTACTCTGTAGATATCTTGGCGATCCGTGAAGATCTGGGGTGGAATAGGTCTGGGTGGTCAAGACTCGATTATTTACAGACCGCCGTCATATAGCTTGAACATTGCTGAGTGCGGCGTAAAACAACAAACCAACCACTAACTGGTCTCAACCCAGGAATTGTTCGAGCTGTTGAGGCAGTTTGCTATCGAATCCGTAGATGCATCATGGCTGGTTGAATTGGGTGTCTTGTTGACGTGACGTCACACGTGGATACCGGTCAATGACAAGTCGTGTGTGTTGCACTGCTGTAGATAATGTCTACAAAGAGAGATGATATTGTGTTTCGTTGAACTTTAAAATATCTGGCAACTTCTTTTTACGCCATTCCTGTTTGCAGCATAACCAAGGCGCGTAGACGTTGTCATTGTGCAAGCGTTATTTACGGTCAAACAAAAGTATTCTTTATGAGCTCCAGGTAGCTAAACAATTCTTTGTGCTCTTCGCTCACGCGTGCGAGTATCAATGCTCCATGGAAACACCAAACATTCAAACTGTGAACGGTGCAAATTGTAAATCAAGACAAAAGTCGAGTTGTCTTTATGAATACCCATTGAAAGATGTATTATTCGATTTCAGAATAAGTTAATTTTTATTGCACTTAATATGAAGCACGGTCACCTTTTTCTGTTGGTATAGAACGAAGCCAGATACAATGTGGCAGACGATGAGTATCATGTTTTCGAACAATCAATTACGTATAAAGCACATACCTATAATCTATGAAACCTACTAACCATACACTTGATATGTTGATTCCGAGCAGCGATTGTAATTTAACCCAAAACACATTAATGTACATCGATCATACTATGTTTGTATAGTGCGCAGGGATCACGAGTGTCATTCGTGACCAACTCGTGTCATTCCGGGACAAGCCGAATAGCTTGCAGGTTACGGAAAGGGGCGAGTGTGTCACGACTTAACCCGTCTGCTGGTGAAGCTTTACACAGAACGTCAAACCTCAGTATTCTAAACATCTGGAAACAAGGACTTGAACCTTTCAGAAACACTTATATAAATAGTTGATGTTCGTTCCCCTGTGGGGACGCTGGGCAAGGATAAATCAATGTCTACTGGTAATTCAGGACAATTTGATCCAACTCACAAAACGCGTTTGAGACAAGTAGGCGGTGCACAGAATGTGGGCAAATATATTTCGTTTGTTACAGTTAAAGAGGGTGTACGCATGTTGTGAACGTGCAGGTCATGACAATTAAACTGACTACGTACACGTGGACACGTGTTGGTCATAAGACGAGTGAGTGAGTGAGTTGGGTTTCACGCCGCTTTTAACAGTATTCAAGTTATATCGCGGCGTGTCAGCTTAATGTGTGAGGAAAGCCCGAAGTGATGCAGGTCTCAGACGTTTACCACCTCGGTGAAACCCACGAGCACGGGTATGGTGCTGACAAACCTAGAAACATTATCGGGGCAAACCGGGATTCGAACCCACAATCATAGGTTTCTGGCATGCCCAAGGGGCGCAACTCTGCATAGCGAATCGCGGCGCCTTAGATGACTGGGCCACCCGTGCCCCCCAGACTATTAAGAGGTTGATGTGACAAGTCGATACCAGAATGCTCTTAAAGTCGATTGATTGAAGTTAGTTACAAATGTATAAACACGTCAAAGGTAGGTAAGCATGGCCAAATCATACATTCTCAGGCTCGGGAATTGGCCTTCAATGTCACAAATTGGAGAAAGAATGTACAAATGATCTCAAGCATTGTCAAGAGATAGCATTGCCACTGTTGTTAGCCGAGACAGGACACGCACATATCGATCGTACCACTTGTCGCGGACCACCCGCTACCCCTTTCCTCACAGTGGTACGCGCCATACAGAGTCATTCGGAATTGTCTCGTTAGTTGTCTGGTTAATTGTCAGGTTAATTGTCAGGTCACAACTCATCCTGGCTTCCCATAGTGAAATGAGGACTGTGTCACCACAATAGTTGCTGATGTTCGATACCGCGAGGACGAACGAACTGGTTAGTTGTAATAATTCTTTACACCCCTAGGTGTGCATGTCCATTGTTTCAACTGGTTGTATATGCACCTGCCGAGGTTGGACGTTTCGATTTAGCTGAGAGGAAAGTTAGCTTTGGTTCAGGGTTTTGCACTATTGTTTGTTTGTGTGTTTGTTTGATGTTTAACGCCGCACTCAGCAATATTCCAGCTATATGACGGCGGTCTGTAAATAATCGAGACTGGACCAGACAATCCAGTGATTGACATCACGAGCATCGATCCACGCAAGTCAGCGAACCTGACCACCCGATCTCGTTTGTCGCCTCTTACGACAAGCATAGACGCCTCTTACGACAAGCATAGACGCCTCTTACGACAAGCATAGACGCCTCTTACGACAAGCATAGTCGCCTCTTACGACAAGCATGGGTTGTTGAAGACCTATTCTCACCCGGATCTTCACGGGTTTTTGCATTATTGTGAACAACGCATCGTGTTCATAACGTAAGTAGTTTGGCGCCGTGTATGCGGGTGATTGTGATTCATGGCGTTGACATCAATATCATTAATATCAATATCAATATCAACCTTCAGGGGAAGTTGCTCGCTCACAAGAATATCACATGTATGTACACACGCACTCATAGCGTCAGTGTTCTTGGTGTTTTTCCGTAGGGATTCCATGGATAAATATTTCACCAGCACCCGATGAATGCCAAGCTAACCTTCGACTGTTTGTGAATGCGTGTCTTCGGACGCGACGCCGTGGATATATTTGCTGGCTTTTAACAAGTAATTTATCTTCTTGACTCAGGAATAGGTCGGCGTGACATAATACCATTTCCGATTTCAACGTGGGTTCCAAACATTAAATTAGTTGTGTTGATTTGAAATAAACTGCCGGAAAGAAAGTTTACACTCATATTTGATGATGGCAAAAAATAAACATACAAGATGGTGGTGAGGTGAAATGGGGTTTAAAGTCGTGTCCAAGATTACTGCACTTATATAGCGACGTGAATGCACGTGTGTGTGTGCCTCAGTTTAATATGATACCCCACTCAGACACCGTATACTGACCCCGAGCCGACCAGTCCTTGTTTTAGCCCCTTAATGCCGAGCGCCAGACACGATAACAAGAAGTGCCATCGTTTAATGTATTTTGGTATGACGCGGTCGGGGATCGAACCCCGGACCTTCCCCTCTCCGGGCGGACGCTCTACCATTAGACCACGGAGGCAGTCTGAAAAAAAAGGTTCGTTGATCGTAATGTATGTGATATGGGTATCATAGGCGATATAACATGCATCATAGCAATCATGTGTATCTCACAGGCGACAAGGGCAACACGTGACAAGAACATGGGGGTCATGCAAATTAGGAGAGTGAAACAGGTATTGTCATGATCAGTTTGGGTTTTTCTCAGATACCAGATATTCTCAACAGCGGACATGACCACCGCGAGCACCAGTGTACGCCCAGGCTCATTGGCTTCCCTTTGTTAACGGGTCTGACGATCCAGAAGATCTCACAAATGCTCAATAGGGTTTGAGTCTGATGAGCGAACTGGCCATGGAAGAACGGCGACATTGTTGGCAGCTTAGAAATCCTGCACAACCCGCATTCCCTCTCTCTTTCGTGGCATATCTTTTGAGCGTTTTCATTACCAGTGATGTTTTGGTAATGCTCCATTGCACTTTATACCTTTTCTGCGCGTGCATTTCCAAATTTGACTTGCCTTTGCATGTGTTTGTGACGGGTGCCACCGGTGGGGCAGGATACGGTCACCTTTTCGCGAATACCTGGTATCATGACTAATTGATTGTGATTCATAAACACATGCTCATGATATAGTCGGAATCGTACAATTGGATACGGAACGTGTTTGTCGCTTTATTTTACTGGTAAAAAAGGGTTTAGTGATTTTTCACTGCTGCACGTGCACCTTCCAAACCAACGGGTTGTGTTTTGGACCTTACGTTTGCAGTGTTTCGGCGACTGTTTTCAGCTTTTAGTAACGTTTTCATAACGTTTGTAATTTGTTGGTTAAATCCAATTTTCAAGTGTATACTTTCTTTTGCCCGGTAGTTTTGATATCAGCGTTTCCATCCACCGGTATGTACTGCATACAGACCACCCACTTCAGGGTGTAATACGTTCACTTCTTTACTCTAGGTTAACATCTTTTACCAACAAACTTTAATAATAACGTCGTACTTTTTTTAATAATTGTTCCCAAATGTGGAATAATGTACGGAATATGTCAGAGTTGTATTTGTTCGTCCACCGTAATCAGTGAATTAATTTTATTCTGAAAACAACCCTTTCTCAAAGTAACCCTTCTTTGACATTTTGTTCTTATTTCACCCGATCGAAATGTTTTTCAAATTTTAAAAAAATATGCTTTTGAATTATCAGTTTTAGAAGAAAATCGTTAAACAGATATTAAAAATAAAACTAACTGAACTTCATGTGGCTCCGCTAACATGATAGAAACTATGATGTTTAGATTACCTGTACTTGAAATACTGTGAGTGAGTGATTTGGGATTAATGCTACATTGACAATTACTTATCTTTATACGTCCTGTCAGTTTCAGAAGGTAAGAGACCCGTGAAGATCCGGGGTAGAATAGGTCTTCAGCAACCCATGCTTGCCGTAAAAAGTCGACTATGCTTGTAAAAGGCGACTATGCTTGTCGTGAGAGGCGACTTACGTGATCGAGTGGTCAGGCTCGCTGCCTTGATGGATGCATGTCATCGTATCCCAATTGCGTGGATCGATGCTCATGATGTCAATCACTGGATTCTCTGGTCCAGACTCGATTATTAACAGCCCGCCGGCATATAGCTAGATTATTGCCGAGTACTAGAAAGTAGGAAGCCCAAAGTTTAAGTATGGAAACAAAATGATATATGTTATTATACTCAAAAAAGTATTTGGCATGAACAGCGTACACAAGATGCGTGAAACCATTAACATATGCGTATATTTAATTTTGTATGGTTTGTTTCTGTCTCTTGTTCTTCGCTTTGGTACTGGATACGTTAACTCAGCATATATCATTTGTCAACGTGGTAGAATAAATGTACGGATTGCCTTCACACAAGAACAAAATACGTCATTAATGCGCTGTACATCAGTTTGTATACAACACAATGCAGATATTCTTTGACCCTAGGATAAAAAATCTTCGTTTTTAATACTCCAAACAGTGACGTCCAATTTCCTCTGCTTACAGCTTGACGAGCACAGACGGGATGACTGGAACGGAGAAAACTGGTGCAGAAGGACCTCCTCCAAAATACACGTTGTGCAGCCTGTGGACTGAGTTCAGTCTGACTACGGGGATTCATGGATTCAATAAGATCTCACCTTCTGGCCGAATCAGCTATCGCGGGTAGGTGCCAGGTGTTACGTAGTGACGTATGAGTATTTGGTAGAACGTCAAATGTAATATTGTTATGTTGCTAAGCAGTGCCTCTCGTTGCTAACCAAACTGGTTTCCGGACCCAGTTTCACAAAGCGATCTTGGCACTGCGGATATCATACTTTAATCTTTACGTAAATTCATAATAGTTGAAACGTTAAGATCGCTTTGTGCAAACGGATCTTAGTTTTCGCCATTGTGTTTAGACATGTGGCTGAGTCAAGTTACGCCCTTTCAGAACAGTGATGTTTTCCACAATAAGCAGGGGCGGTCGGGTAGCCTAGTGGTTAAAGCGTTCGCTCGTCACGCCAAAGACCCGGGTTCGATTCCCGACATGGGTACAATGTGTGAAGCCCATTTCTGGTGTCCCCCGCCGTGATATTGCTGGAATATTGCTAAAAGCGGCGTAAAACCATACTCACCACCATAATAAGCAAAATATGGATATCTTATGCTACGTCCAGTAGTAATCATCACTGGTATGTCAATGGCTACAGTAAATGATCGTCCTTGATCTTGTGTAATGACCATATGACCCTTCTGGTTCAGCTCACGCTACTTCTACACTCAACTTCGTACATGTGGCAGCTGGATATATTGGACATTCTGCTATAAGCGAACCAATCCCAATGGGGTCATGTAACTGTTATTGTATCGTTACGAACCTCGGATATTGCGAGCTAATTTTTCTGTGTGAGTGAGTGTGTGAGTGAGTGAGTGAGTGGGTGGGTGGGTGGGTGGGTGGGTGGGTGGGTGGGTGAGCGAGCGAGCGAGCGAGTGAGTGAGTGAGTGAATGAGTGGGTGGGTGGGTGGGTGGGGTGAGTGAGTGAGTGAGTGAGTGAGTGAGTGAGTGAGTGAGTGGGTGGGTGGATGAGTGAGTGAGTGAGTGAGTGAGTGAGTGAGTGAGATTAGAATGTTTCCACCTTCACTGTGGGGACGCCAAGGATGGGCGCAGTATTGTGAGTTGGGGAGTATGGCTTTACAGCGCTTTAAGAACCCGGGCCTTAGACGTGATGAGCGACCGCTTTAACCACTGGGCTACTTTACCGCCTTTCGACGAAGTCTAGCCTGTAATTGCACGCTACAATCCCTGATCCCCCATTATTTGTGGAAGCAGGTGTTGTTAGTCTTGTTAGAAATGACTATACATGTCATAACGTGTTTTTTAAACGTCTTTAAAAAATTGAGTATCTTTTCAGTGGATCTATTCACATTTACATATTTCTTTACTCAGATTGCTATGGATATTGGCTATAAGTGGTGCTACGGCGTTTCTCATTTACAACCTGGTCAAGGAGTTTGGGGATTACTACAGCTACCCCACCGCCACCAAGGTCACCAACAAGGTCCAGAGCTCCATCGAGTTCCCCGCCGTCACCATTTGCAACAGATGCCCCCTCAACAAAACTCGTCTTAACGTTAACCCCCACATTGAGTCGTATTTTCAAACGTCAAGTCTTCTAAAAAGGTTCAATAAACAGGGAACATTTAACTTCACCGACAGTAGGTATAGTGACCTTCGCCAGCCACTGTCTTTGGACTGGTGGACGAATATGTCAATGGATGGGTCTTCGTTGCTTCATGAGTGTTACTTTGGAGGAGACAACATCGACTGTGCGACCCATTTCCAACCTGTGTTCACCGATGAGGGTCTGTGTCATACCTTTAACTTCAACGTCAGTGACATTGTCAACGTTAACAACGCCGGCAATGCTGCCAACTTCATTATAATCTACAACATCGCCCAGAGATATTACACTTACAGAGAAAACATGGCGGCAGGGATAAAGGTAAGATAGGAGCCTAAGTTCTTAACAAAATGAATGTTTGTTCTCAGAAGTTCAATTCCATGGTCAAGTGGATGGAGCATCTGCCCGGATAGCGGAAGGTCGATGGTTCGATCCCTGGCTGCCTCATACCAAAATACATTACACTATGGTGCTTGTTGTTGCCCTGTTAAACAGCGTCATGGTATATCAGTGAACTGGTCCGTAAAACAGGCATTAGTCCGGACTAGTACAAGTAGACACAATAAACGCCATACGGGGAATCAACACGTGGCTTTGGCGCGTAATGCCAACTAATTTTACTGCAAGCTATATAGGGTATCCTTCATCCTGTGGAAAGTGAATTAAACGTCGCTGACGTTAGTTCTAAAGCCCGCATTATATCATCACAACGTTCAATATGACGGCATCTTATTGAGACAATTAATTGACGTTTTGACGTCATGACGCAATACAATATGACCGTCCAAGCTGTCTGAGTTGTTTTTCAGGATTTGGTAGGATTTTCTTGTCTTAAATGTGGTGTCATGCTTACTTTGAATATACTAGAAACTACAATTTGGCAGTTTATAGCCCATACATTTTCAAATCAGAGCATCTAAGAATGTTCTATGTTAGATACATCCCATCGCTGTAGAGATGCACACCAGTTTGAACGGGGAAGAAAATTAGACTGGTAATTTTTTTTTTATCCAAAGCACATTAAAAGTCAAGAAACAACCTTGAACTTCCTTGTTGTGTACATAATCAGAAGGTTATACTGTGTAAAGCAATCTATCCCATACCACTATAATAATAATATACTCTTGAGATATCAACCAAATTACGCGATGAATTACCTCAGATGTTATAAAAGATATTATATTGATAAAGAGTTAGCGAGAAGCGCATATATAAACTCTATTACGCCCCAAAACAAAATAAACAGAAACTAATAACGAAGCACGCATTTCACATTATATTTTCAAGCAAATATTTATTATTTCAGACACAATTGACTTACCTCATGCAAGGACTTTTTTAAAACATGCAGTTAATGGGAATACATTTAAATAGATCAATAAACGCATTGTGGAACCAAATTTATCCTTCTGGTTGTTTAAGTAATGATCACTATTTTTATGGTATTGTCGCCTTTGCTATTCAGGAACCAGTTCATCAAGGATACATCGATATAAACACTCTAACTAAGGGGAATCGACAGCACACAATAACGCCAATATAATTGCCTATTGTCGTCATCAGAATTGATCAAACAAATGACCCGCCTGATCGTGATGGTGAGTGTATTTGTCAGTATGCAACAAAGCAACCGTGTACACATTTTATGACAGAAAACAGTTGTATTGTAGACCTGGTTTTTCTGAAGCTGTAAACTGCATACTTTCACTCCTTTTGATGTTCCGTATAGATATAACATGCAAGTCAGATATGTGCATAATGCATGATCAATATTTATCACTGGCCCCCTCCACTGTCATCATCATCAGCAACAACAGCAGAAACACCATCCTTAATTAACATCATCACTTTCTGTGATACCCAGAGTACCACTACATGTGAGACCCCTCATCGTGATCCTCACCGCCATCCACCACCACCACCATCATCATCATCATCATCATCCTCACCATCAGTGTTCGAAATAGACACGGCCCGTAGGCCCGAGGCCGACAGATTTGTTCTCGGGCTGATAGTTTCTAAATTTCAGCAGGCTCTGAAGGCCTGCAGTTTATTTTAAGCTGAAAACATGGCAATGTCATTAAAATCAGATCTTAGTTCTCGCTACCGCCAAACAAAGATCTGAGGACATCGCACGAGGGGTCACGTCAGAACGACCTTTCATCCGACCAATCAGAGCGTCGCTTACCAGATCATGAAAGTAACTTTCGGAATGTGAATTCTGATAATGCAACCTCGAAAACTTTAACACGGAGTATTCCGAACGATAGTTACGGGTTTAACGACTGAATCCATACAATGTTGGCCATCTATTAGCCATTCCAGAATGTTCTTTTATTCAGGTTTCAAATTTGTAATCGAGAATTTGTCAAAATATGTTTCGAAGCGTAGTGGCCAATTTGAAATTAGTGGAATTAATAATATCATAATGAAGTTTCATGAACTTACCTGACATTTATTAAATTTATCACTTTTCGCAATGTCAGAAAATACGTATTTCATTTCAGTTTATCATATTTTATCAATAGATTTAAAATTATTCACTAATCCCCGCAATGTTATTGAAAAACGAATCTGGGACCCATGCTTCCACAACAGGTCCATATCGAACATGTCAAAGAAAAAAATAAGGAAGTTTCAAGCAAAATCGTAAATTAAATAAATAAAGTAATAAATAAAATCAACAAACATATTTTTAAAAATTGTCAAACTTACATCAAAGTTACTTTTTCCATCATTTCGTACGATCGTGAAATGTAAGTCAAATGACACTTCGGCATTTGTCGCCTCGATGTTTAGATTCGGACACGATGTTTAATGCCAGAATATATGTACGGGAAATCTTTGTCACAGGTCGTAACCTAGCACGATATGTCCACGAAGTTTATATTTATATATAAACATAGGTCGCGATTTCCTGTTTCAAACGTTAAACTTAAAAATAACACGATTTAATCACTGAAATACACTCTTCACAGGTAGATTTTTAAGTAAATTTATTGTACCTAATAAAGTCGATATATTTAATTTAATATCATAGATACGAATATGAAATTTTGGAACTCGATAGTCACATGTTGTCGTTGAACACAGGCATTGAAAACTATTCATTGTCATGTCACATAAGGCCACTAGGTTGGGCTGAACTCAGTATCTCGTGTGACCGCCCCGGGCAGCAATCACGGCTTTGCATCTCCACGCCACTGACTGGATAAGTGTACGAATTCTGTCCTGCGGAATTCTGCGCCATTCTGCTTGTAACGCATGGGTAAGTTGTGGGAGTGTCTGCGGCGTGTTCTGACGTTGACGTACACGTCGATCGAGTTCATACCAGAGGTGTTCGATTGGGTTGAGATCTGGAAATCTCGACGGCCAGGGCAAAGCTTTGATGTTGGCATTATGAAGGTAGTCTACCGTGATACGAGCTGTGTGCGGTGGAGCGTTGCCATGTTGAAACAGGGATAGCCCCCCCCCCCCCCCCCCCCCCGGTCTGCGGTGAAATTGAACTGTGTGTATCGGTCTTTGGATACGTCCTCTGGCGATGTTCCGATCGGCAGCGCTGAGCCTCAGCTATTTCGAACTTGAAAAATGTTGACAATTGAATGACAAGTTGTTGGCTTATGCTTGCCTTTTTAGAGCCACTATCACGAGTTGCGAATGGCATAACTTGCACGTGCATTTCGGTTTACTATTTACCTCCATGACATTTTTGAACAAATGTGACATTGCAATTCGACAATGGCTGCGTTTTGACGCACTTTTTGTCAAATATCATGCCACCAACATTTCCCAATAACATATATCCAATTTGTATACCGGATTTTGGGTGTGTAGTCATACATACTACCTGTGCGTTTCTTTTTTTTTGAAGAGTGTATATCATACAGGCGGATGGTATCCATTGCAATAGTTTGATTGGCTGCCTTAGGTCACGTGCTTGAATTTGACCAGTCACGACCCACATAGCTGATTACGGCAAATTGTCATTAGAAACCAATTTCTATCCAATAAAATTGCATGTCACAAATACTGGCGAGGTAACTGTAATATTATTGATGTTCGGAGCTTTCTAACGATACCAAAGATCGAACGAATCTTCGCACGTGTTATTTATACAAAGCTTCACAAACGGAGGTATTTGCCGGGATTTTCTCACGTAACTGAGCGGAAAGCCACTATTATCTGAAAATATGTGATGATAGATAGTATTTAAATTTCTTTTGCTCATCATTTTCCTATAACTTTAACAATGAAAATAAAAAAGAAATAAGTTAGTGGATAGTTCTATTATGAAATCTTAAATTGCCAAAAATCACCCTAATTTTCGCTTCCTTGGTGCTCATCTAATTTTTTTATTAAAAAATAACTTAATTAAGTTCTATATTATTATTTTTTTAAATTACGAACATAATTTTCATATTTATAAACAATAGAATTAGCAGAAGATTCCTTGATAAATATAGGCTTCATCTATTACCACACAATCTCTGGGAACTCGGTGTGACAGCAGTTAAAGCTTCTGACTGGTAGGGTTTTGTTATTCATACTGCAAGAGTATGTCTCCCTACTTCAGCTGAAATGTTTGGGCCTACAGCTTTTTACGGAAGCCTTTTAGGGCCATTTGTTTTTTTAATTTTTTTCGATAGTATCTTGAAATTTCAAGATACTAAGTTGAAATTTCAAGATATTAAGTTGAAATTTCAAGATATTAAGTTGAAATTTCAAGATACTTAGTTGAAATTTCAAGATAATAAGTTGAAATTTCAAGAAAATAAGTTGAAATTTCAAGATACTAAGTTGAAATTTCAAGATACTAAGTTGAAATTTCAAGATATTAAGTTGAAATTTCAAGATATTAAGTTGAAATTTCAAGATACTAAGTTGAAAATTCAAGATATTAAGTTGAAATTTCAAGATATTAAGTTGAAATTTCAAGATACTAAGTTGAAATTTCAAGATACTAAGTTGAAATTTCAAGATACTAAGTTGAAATTTCAAGATCGTATCGAAAAAAATAAAAAACAAATGGCCCTAAAAGGCTTCCGTAGCTTTTTCTAGGGGTCTACAGTTTTTTAAAATGAGCTAGCCCTTTAGACTCTCAGTTTATTCTGCTGAGTTTCAGACACTGCTCACCATCAAACCCCCTACATGATATTATATTCCTGAAAATGATAATGATTTCCCACCTGATAGTATATTACTGATTATGATAAAGGCTTCCTACATGATAATATATCTCTAATGATGAGTGAGTGAGTATGGTTTTACGCCGCACTCAGCAATATCACGGCGGGGGACACCAGAAATGGGCTTCACACATT